ACAACCACTCCCAAGTCCTTGTACTCAGTGACCACTGGAAGAGTAATGCCATTCATTGAGTAATTGTGCACGTGACTATGAGATACATGCATAACTACACTCTTGCTTAAGTTAATCTTCAAGGCCCAATCACCTGACTAGTTTAAATCTTCCTGCAAAGCAAGTTGATCACTGTCATCGTGTAAAGCCCTCCATATCTTGATGTCATCAGCAAACAGTAAGCAGGATGACTTAACTACCGATGGAATCTCATTAACATAAATCAGGAAAAGAAGTAGGCCTAGAATTGTACCCTGAGGAACGCCACTCTTAACCGATTCCCATGTTGATAAAACCCCGTTAACTCGTACTCTTTGTCTTCTGTCCTTTTGAAAGTCTTGAATCCAGTCGGTAACCACTTTATTGATTCCCATACTACCTAACTTTACTAGAAGACCTGAATGAGAAACCCTGTCAAACGCCTTGCTAAGGTCGATGAATATGGCATCCACCGGTATATTAGCATCAGCTGAGCTTGCCCAACTTTCTCTGGCCAAAAGAAGGTTGGTCAAGCAAGAATGACCTGCTCTAAAACCATGCTGTTCCACAGCGAAAAGTTTGTTCCCTTCAATGAACTGAATGATAGCATCACGAATTATTCTTTCTAGTAGTTTAACAACAATACTGGTCAAACTAACAGGACGATAGTTCTGAACTAAGTTTCTAGATCCGGTTTTGAAGACCGGACTAATGATGGCATCTTTCCAGTCTCTTGGACATTTAGACTGGTCCAGAGACATATTGAAGATTACCGACAATGGCTCGGCTATGTTTTCAGCCAATGCTGTTAATATACGTGGGTGGAGTTCATCAGGGCCACTGGACTTACCAGGATTGAGCCTTAGAAGCCACTTTAGGACAGTATCCTTTCCAATGTATAAGGGTGCCATTTTCAAGTTACCTTCTGGAAAAGTTACAAAGCTGGTATCAATATTATCAGAGAATACTTGACTAAAGTGCTTGGACAAAGCCTCAGCCTTAGTCAAGTTATCCTCAGCCATGTTTGTCTGGTCATCTTCAAGCATAAGAGGTGGGATAGCATCACTCTTACGTGTTCTTCTCTTGATATATGAGAAGAGTCTTTTTGGGCAGCCTGGTGAACTTTTAACTAACTGGGTTTCGTAAGCTATCCTTGACTGGTGAATCAAAGTTTTACACTGGTTTCTGGTTTCACAGTATTTCAGCCGGAACTGCTGTAGCCCAGTAGAAACAAAGAGATTCCAGAACCTTTTTCTCCGTCTTAGGAGTGTTATAGCTTGTCTATTTATCCATGGTGGCCGGTTTGTTGGTCTTTTAGGAACCCTCCAGGGAATGAAATCAGTGGTAACCCTCTCAAGTGTATTCTTAAATCTATCCCATTCATCTTCAATGGATGAGACAATATTGACTGACCAGTCGGCAGTTGAAGCACGCTCCTTTATAGAGACTATGTCAGCATGCCAAACACTAGGTCGGGATTTGGGTTGAAAACTGACTAAATTGCCAACCCTTAAGTTAAAATCTAACACCCCATGATCACTGTTTGCTAGAGGTGGATGAATAACTAGACCATCCACGTCGTCGTTGTCATGAGTAAGCACTAAGTCCAGCAAGGAAGATCCTTGGGTAGAACCGAATCTTGTACTACCTAAGACATGTTGTGTCAGGGCATTTTCCATGGTAGTCAAGAGTAACCGGCTGTCAAACTTATTAGTGGATCCTGGAGATGTGACAGCTACCCAGTCTATATGAGGTGCATTAAAGTCACCTAGAATAAGACAGCTACTGTGTTTACTCCATTGTTTGAGGTGATCTAAAATAAAGTCATCACACTGACAAAAGGGACTTCTATACAGAACACCAATGAGTAAAGTGCCAGTTGCAAAGCTTACTTCACAGCTAATTACCTCACTTGTCCCACTGTCATGCGCTTCAGATTTCACGGAACGAACATGTAGGGAGTTGTTGATGTACAGAGCAACCCCGCCACCTCTACGACCCTTAACCCTGTCGCTGCGCAAGCAACTAAATCCGCATAGCTCAGGTGTGTCATCTAATCCAGAAATCAGCCATGTTTCAGTAATGGCCACAATACTTGGGCTAAGGTCTTCCACTAATACACCTAGCTCATGAAATTTGTTCCCGATACTACGTATATTAGTGTACACTACCTTCAGGCTTCCTATGCGGTCCGGCTTATCCACACAGGTCTTGGAAGCATACGTTTCCAAGACCTGACTATTTGAAAACCCACCAGTTTAAGGTTAGTCTCACCATTTTTACGTCTTGTTTCTAGCTGGGACAAAACTTCTTTTCGTTTAAGTCTGTCTTCAAGAGATAAATCAGGTCTGACTGAAATTCCTGACCCGGCAAGGTTGTGTACATTAGCCAGTAGATGATTCCGTTCATCAGGAGAACCTAAGACTACTTTAAGCAATCTACGCTGATTAGAACATTCATCATCTCTTTTGCCTATTCTAATCAGCTTTTTAATCGATACTCCAGGGAAATTCGCTGGAAGCATCTTCCTTATAATACTACTCACTAATTTAAGGTCGTGATCGTGCCTTTTTACGGGATCAGATTCTTTGGACTCTTCTAAATTTCCAACAATTATGTTAGAGTCTAAGGAGAGCTTGTCGTGTTTAGCAGTGGCTACGTCTTTTCTCACCACTACTGATGCAGCCTGGCTACAGGTGACAGACGTTTGCTTACCATCAGTATTACTATGTTTCTTTCGATTGCTTATTTTCGTTACCCACTGATCATCTGCCTGCAGTTGCTTCTCAGGGCTGCTGCAGTTTTTGATGGTACAATCGAGATCAGTGTCTGCACCACCTTCATGGTGAACTTCGCTTACAGTGTTCTCTGGTGCTGAGATGCTGTTTGCAGCTTCCGTTCTGTTACCCTTTCGCTTACTAAGACGCTTCGAACGCCTAGTAGGTTTTACTTCCGGGGTAACTGGGATAGTAACCGCCGGTGTGGTAACATTCATGATGGCACTTGCTGCGTCATCTTCAGACGGGCAGTCTGTGTCACTATTACTCGCCACGCTATCATCAGGAAGTTCCATAGCCTTAGACAGTAGTTCGTGAGCCTCCCTTATCAAAGTCATCTTTGGGGAGCAGCACATTCTGCACATCCAGTTGGATGTTGGAGCAATACAACGTTTGTATGCAGCTGGACGTAATCCAGTACACATCTTATGATACCACTTTTTACAGTTATTACACTGTATTCCATCATCTACCAAAAAGTAACACTCCACCCTATTACATTTATGTGGTACTTTTGACATAATGAACTAATGGAACTGCCAAGACAATTTACCCAATATAGACTATATAAATGTTTAAAATAAAAACTTAACAGACAAAAGTCAAGTTAAAGTTTTTTTAAATGTTCTCGAAGTGAATAACACAACAAAAACAGCAATTTGTCAAATACGTGAAAATACGTGAAAAAAGCACTCCCTTTTTCAAACAGCGCGCGTTCAGAAAGAAGCGGTTATCAGTCTTTCTTTACCCATCCTGGTAACTGAATATTTTCACCCTCTGTTTCATCTGATTACGTAATGCCGAAAGTTTTCATTGTGTATGATCATTATTGTTCAGGATAAAGTGTTTATTATTATTACATATATTATTATTGTACGCATATATTGACTGATTGATTTTTGTTTAAATGAACCCTGTGCAAGTATGTCAAAATCGTTTCTGTAGATGCAATTAATAATGACTTTGTGCTGTAAACAGTTGATGAGAGGCCAACGAAATAAACAATGATGGTACCATTTTATTCTTCAAAATCTGTTGTTCTTTCTTCATTCAAATATATTAAGGGGAATAAATGTATGAAATATCATTGATGCAGAAAGACAAATGTGCTGGTAATATTCCGTTTATTTTATATTCTACTCTTGGTTGACCGCTTACTGCTCAGTTATTTAAATCCAACACGACCAAAAACTTTGTACTGCATATCATTTGAACTAAGCAATTTTTTTCCCTTCACGTTCCCAGTGGAACATAGGGATTCAAGCTAGAGCCAGCTTGAAGTTTCTGTAGCAGTGGTGTTTATTATTTTTTTACAGGATGGGGTTGCTAGCCTCATGCCCAACCTTTCCTCTTTACCAGCTTTATTTCTGGCTTAGCGAGGTTTGGGAGTGCGTCGGTGGCCGGGGATCGAACCTCGGACCATGTGCATGGTTGGCTAGCGTCCTAACCGCTGTGCTACCGACGCACGAACTAAGCAATAAAGCCAGTCCACTTTGGCCAATAGTTCTTTTCCAAGAAAACAAATCTAGTAAATATTTGAGGACAGTCCGTATCGGAGCTCGGTTGGTCTGACTTCCGCTATTCTGCTACTGTGACCTATGTATTTGACCTGACAATCATTGTAGGCAGGGTATTAGATAAAATAAGTGGGATAGACAAAACAAGGGCTGTCGAAGTGCGGGCACAATGTTCACTAACATTAAAAAGACAAAAATGAGGAAAGCTTAACCTGACAAAACCAAAGATGGAAGCCCTAAAACACCTTAAGAACAACAAGGATGCTATTAGTAATCACAAAGTCAGACAAAGGAAACGCAACAGTAATATTAGACAAATCAGACTATTTGGACAAGGTGAATACTCACATACAAACTGGACCATATGAGGAAATTAATAAATCAATAGACACCGTTACAAAAAGAATCTATTTCAATGGGGAATTCTATTAGCATATTTTGCTTATACTGCAAACCCAGGGCTTGTCAACTTTTCAGTACAGCGCTTACGTGAAGTGGTGAATTTTACTGAAGTGCTGTTTCACAGTATTCACTAAACAAACATATGAGGGGGGGAATCTCCTTTCCTAGTATCTCCAACAATAAAAGCACCGAAGTAAACACATGCCTACTTCAAACTGTACTTAGAAATGAACTAGTAAAAACTCTTTTATTGAAGAAATAAAGTGTACGAGTAACATTCACTTACCGCATTCTAGCTCTACTTGTTTCATTCTGCTTTTGAGTTAAAAGTCTTTTAAAACTGTCTATTAATTCCAGATATGAAGTAGGTGTAACATAGGTTTTTCGACCTAAATTTCTTAAGAATTTCTGTGATAATGGTATAATAGATGTGTGAAAATATTTGAATAAATGAACAGTAGATTCACGAACATCATCTTCCATATCTAAATTTTGAAGTGCTCTGTTTGCCACTCGAATTAAACCATCTTCAGGCCATGGCTGTTGAAAGGAGAGAAAAAAAAGAAGACGAGAAATCATTCCTGAGCAGGTTAAATGAAGGTGAAGATATTCTTTCTTGCAATGCTGAAATCAGTATCATACAGTTAATGATTATAGATAAAACAGTCCAAAATTTAAACGTATTATTTTTATGAGTATTGTTCCCTTGGGTTCCAAATGGAACACAAGGCTTCAATATCATATCGCCATTTTGTCATATTCTCTGCGATCCTCTACAACTGGCCCCACAATTGCCCACTGTCTCTCATCTCCTCCTCGCACGATCTCATCTATGTCACCCTTGAGACACAGGCCAGAATAGCTGCTTCCCATTAGGGTTCCACTCGAGAGGTAGCTTGACTTGCGATTTCATCTGACGGTCTCCTCCTAGGCATGTGTCCAATGCATTTTCATCTTCTCCATATTTACTGGGTCTTCTTTTCGACCCAATGTATTCCTGTCTTCTTGCTCCCCAAAGTCGTCGAAATAATCCAGTCCAAGTGTAACTGTTCACTCCTAATGCGTTTCTATCATTTTTAGACGGTTCATACTTCTTATTGTAAATCCTAGCATGTATAATTCATTGTATTATGGCTGAAGACGCTATTCTTAAGATAACAGATACAAACATAAATACAATAATCAATGCTACAATGGACAGGACAATATACACACTTTCACAGCTTCCTTCCTCTCAAGTATAAGAAAAATTTAGTAAAGACCCTCAGCCACAGAGTTAGAGCTATATGCTCAAAAGAGGTGACTGCAGATGAACTAAGGATTGTATATGATACCTTGACTGAAAATAGCTGTACAGATTAATTCTTCAGGAAACATATGACTAAGAAAGTTGAAAAGGACTACTCACTACCCGTAAACAAGAAGTCTGTATACATACGACTGCAATTCAATGGCGATATACCAAGTGAAATAATTACGAAGAAGTTCAGAAAGTTAGTCCAAAGAACATTTAATGCTGGTAAACTACATGTCTTATTCTCTACACGACCGACAGTAATTCTTCGACTGAAAGATGAAGTACCTAAACTAGCCACTTCCAACTGTATCTACCAATTCAACTGAGCTTTTAGAACGAGTTATATTGGGCATTGATCTAGGAACTCCACTTTCCGTGCTCACTTGAGAACGTCTACCAGTGTGGCTAAGTAAAGGTTTGGTAAAAACCATCAACAGTGGAATGGTAGACCGCCTGGTCCAAACTGGCCACAAAGACAGCCAGCACTGAAGAATTCTTCTCCATCATCTATCGGGTACTAAACAAATTACCGAAAACATTCAGACACAGCATGCTCCAAACAGCTAAGGTTATCTCGATTCGATGAAATAACCGGCACTTTGTTTGCAGAAGAAGCAAGTCCAGCAACTACTACTGCCCTGGTCGGCCTTCAGTGGAGACTATAAATTCATGAATTTATATTATTATCTTTCCTCGTTTTTCTGACATTCAGCTTATTTCATCTTGATGCTATTGAACTGTAATCCACTGATATTATTATTGGTTGGATGTTATTTAAACAACATTAATTTTGTTCGTAACACTAATTCATTCACTATAATGTATATATGACTGTAGAGCCTGATGATGAAGTTATGGAAAAGAGTAGTCTTTGTTCACTATCCATTCTTTTGAAAATTTTAATGGGCATTTTTAATCAGTTAAAAGGATAATATTTGTTATTAATGGTGATCAGGTTGAACGACGGTGCACATGGAACCAGACAGTTATATAACGAATTAGCAAAACTTGAAATTCTTGGATCACTGGATCAGGTCTTGGTGGCTGAATGGTCTACGAGCTTGCCTTGTAACTGGAAAGTCCTGCGTTCAAACGCAGATAAGTGTGTACTGCTAAAGGATCTCAAATTAGGACGAACGGGATAGCTGTTCAGTACTCCACTTTCTCTCAACACCATCAAAACATCGTAGTCTGAATGCATATATATATATATATATAAACTGATTTTCTGACTTGAACTCAAGCTAATACTTTAAAGTGCTACCATGGCATCAGAAACAATATGCTTTAAGCTTGTGGATCTCTGAAGTATCATTACGTCATGCACAGCGGTCGTCTTCACACTAACGCATAGTATGTTTTGTCTGCTTTTGTCTGATGTTTAGACTGGGAAGCTTCTATATGCACCAATATATAAGCTGTATTTAAAAGTACCTTTCAGGACTGTAATGTAATGTGTACTCATAATTATTTGATTCAATCTGAACCTTCCTGCTGTTTGACTGGACTGAAGTGTTCGGCCTGAGGTTGACATGTGGCTCCTTGAGCACATGCCTCAACGATGTCTGATTATTTAACCGGAAGTAAATTGATGGATGGTGACTAGCAGGGGAATCCAGGATGCACATTTCGACCTACTTTGGACTCGTCAACTAACTGGATGTACCTACATTTCCCAGTGAGTGATGGTGTTCCTACATAGGCTCGAATCCAGTACACTTAGTTTCAAACACTAAAGCCTAATCCTCCATAATACTTGGGCCACGACAGCCACCTTTTTTACAACGGGTGTCAGTTATTATTCAATTCAATTTCGACTTTCCCCTCGATTGATTGGACAGAAGTGCTCGACTTCAGGTTGACTTTACTTCAAGTTCAATAATCAGACATTGTCGAAGCATCTGCACAAGAAGGCGACATGTCAACCGGAAACCGAGCACTTCAGTCCAATCAGTCGAAATAACTGACACCCACTGTATAAAAAGGTGGCTCTGGTGGCCCAACTAGTCTGGTGGACAACTCTTTGAAGTTTGGAACTATAGATACTGGTTTCCAGTCTCGGTAGGAACACGACCACTCGCTGGGGAATGTAGATACATCCAGTTGACGAGCTGTAAATAGGGTGAAGTGTCCGTCTTGGATTCCACTGTACTGATAATGTTTACGCATAAAATAAATACCACCACAATTTGTTGAATCAGCTGTTGTTAGGATAGAATTGTAGGATTTCTAAAGAAAGTTTTTCTTCTTGATGCTTAAACTCAAAACTGTTCGAAGTCTTTTTATTCCTATCCAAATAAACATGATCATACTTCAACCAGAATTAAGAGAATACAGCCGAGCAGTGTGACAATACAGACTAAACACGGGAGATTTTCAAGGCAATTTATAATAGGCTTACACTTATCTGTATAACTAGGGTAAATAGTAAGTTCTCAGGTATAATGTTTATATTTGTAAGGCTGTTTATTCAGTAGCTATGATGCCACACAATTTGAAAAGCGATGTTAACACTAATATCGTTACTAGAATGACCAGTAACACACCTCACTACAAGAATACTACTCAGATATGCAGTCAACAGGTCAATGCCACAGGTGTTGATCAAAAGACAAGTAAATTAAGAAATAATATGTTGATTAAGATTCTTTTCCAGCGCTTAAGGTGTTGTCTAGGAGGATACTGCAAGCTTCGCAATAAAATCATTCAGCTCAGAGAACACAACCAATTCAGAAACATTTAATTCTATCTAATATTCACCATATGATCATAGCTCAGTTTGTTGTCATCCAATTACTAAAATGCGGGAACTCACAATCGGATTAACTAAATCGTGTGATGCCTTAAGTCACTCGTGACAATGAGTAATACAATATTTTGCTCAGCTTCACGGGATCACAGTAGCGTGAAACAGATGAATTGTTCGGAGAACACTGTTAATGACCTTAGCCTCGATGAAACAACTTTTCAGATAATCTAGATTTTTTTGTTTAATTTGAGTCTAACAGGATTGATCACAAAGTGACATCAGTTGGAGATCAACTAGAAAACTTGGGAGTACTGGACCCACCATGTGGGTGCGTACTGATGAGGCATCCAGAACTAAAACGAAACAGCTGTCCAGCAATTCCAGGTTTTCCAAGGGTCACCTCGTGAACAATCCTGTAACCAATCAAATCCCTGCAAAACAACACTCAATAATTAATTTGGGTGTTCATCAACTACTCACACTGATCAGTCACATATAGCGTATACACGACCTCCTAAAATAAATACAACTTTAAAAGCTATTACTGTGAATTTCGCTTCACATTTTGAGCATATTATTTTCGAATAGAAATCACAAATAAATTTCAAAGGTGAGAAATATCTACTTTTGCTATAAGAATACAACTTCTGCGCTGTGGTAGAGTATAATTCCATTGTGGATAAAATTTATTTTGATAAAGTATCACAGTGTTTGTTATACAGCAATATTTACTGATGACCACACGTTTCGAGCACAATTTATTACTGCTCATAATCATATCAAGGCACTACTCATCACACATCTTTCTAACTTCGTTTATATAATTCCATTATTTTTCATCGCTTAACTTGATTGGTAGTAGTATTTTCTATAGTTCCGGTATGAGTGTTAGGTGTAGACTCGATGAACAAGGATTCAGTAACCAACCTCTCTCTCTCTCAACCTACCCATATATTTCTTTTTAGAATTTTAACTCTCTCCCACCCACTCTACTGTGTGGTTGTGTGTTAATACATGCAGTGCGAATGATGAGTTTCTTTTCTAAATTACTTATCTTCGTAGGATCAATCATTCTAACCTTAACCAAATTCGTTTGTTCTGACAGACAATCTTACTATTCCTGCCTGGTCTACTAGTTTGACTCACCTATGTAGCTGACTTAACTCACGGTCATTGCAGGGTATTTTGTAAATTATATTATTTAATTGGGTCAGCCTACAAGGTCCTTTAGCCTACAGAGATCTTCCTACCTGAGTGAGTTGGTATGTCTAAATGTCACCACCCTAATTCCGGCCTTATTAAGAATCCTACGTACAGCCTCAGATGTCCCCTCCTTATGTGGTAAAACTACTGTAGATGTCTTATATTCTCTTTTATTTATGTTATCATTATTAGTTTCACAATTATTTTTATTTTGCTCTTGAACTTTTCTCATCTTTCTGATGAATTTTATAGGATAGTTATTTGACACCAACCAGTCATTCTTCTATCTGTTTCATTTAATCATTTAGGTGTTTTGTAGTACTACTTATTGTTCCTGCTCGGTTTGTTAGACACTTAGCTAAGCCTGTCTTCACAGAGAGATAACGGATAAGATGAATTAAAGTCTAAATACCTATTAGAATGCGCTGGCTTTTTACAAACGCTGCAGCCAGCACGTGCAATAGGAATGACCCGTCACTCAAAGCGGAAATATGGAAAATACTACTACCACGAATCAAATCAAGCGATGGAAAAAGATAATGGAATTATATAAACGAAGTTGGAGAGTTGTATTATGAGTAGTGCCTTGATACGATTATGAGTAGCAGTGATAAATTGTGCTCGAAGCGTGTGGTCATCAGTAAATAATACTTATGGTATCAACATCGTCTTGAACTCAATTTTATATATTCACCGTGATCAATAGCCAGAATTCCGATAGTTGCTAACTCATCATCGGTAATTTGAAACGAAAATAAGTTGTCGAAAATATTAGTAAATAAACACCAAGATATATACATTTTTTTATTTCATAAATATGAATACTCTCTACACACACATTCAACTAACCTGGAACCAATCAATTGTACAACAATTGATCAAAGCAGGAAATTGTCTTAAACGATTTCTGAACGCTTCACCTATCGGTGAAAAAGCCATGACAATGTGTAATTTCTCACGACATCTATCCACAAATAGCGCATACAATGCTAAAGGTGACAAATCGGCTGATTTACTGCCTCCAGATGCCTCTAAACAATTCTGTATGATATCCATTAGTTCCGCCTTTTCCTCTGATGTATACAGATTAGGTACTTCACCAGAGTTAAGCAAGTTATCGACATCTTCTAAGAAATTTTCTTCTTTTATCTGACTATCAGTCATAAGGAATACGGTATTTTTACCCTCTCCTCCAGCACGTCGTAATAATGCCTATAAGATGTACATGAAATAAATTTGGAATGGTGTGTAATGTTAACAGTCTTCTGACACGAAAAGCAAAAGAATTCTAAGTTTTAAAAAAACGCAGTTTCCTTTGTTCAGCGAAGAAATATCTCTTTCCGACGAATTCATTTTCAAGCTAACTGTACAGTCGTATTTGTATTACGGAAAATAAAAGAACATTACAATGACCAAGGTACAGAAAGAGTTTAAAAAACAGTTTTTGAACACATAATTTAGGTTTTCCTCCATGCATAGCTAGAGCTTCAGCTATGCAAAAATAGAGCGAACATAAGCTTTTGGAATGGTTGGATTTGATCCTGTAGATGACTTTAAAGAATTAAAGAAGTGCGACTAAACGACCTGACTCCAGAATATGTTCACAAATGGAAGACTTCGGCGTTCTATGCTCAAATTTCATTAACCAAACCGGGTAATGTTCAGCTACAGGTTTACAGAAAACACGATTACAAGGACTAATGTAATTAGTTCCACACGACCACATGAATGTGTATTAGCACATCGAGGCGGACATAAACTGTAGTTTATCCCTGAGGTATTTTCGGATCATATTTGGGCTGATAAATACTAAATGTAAGTCATTACGCACCCACTGGGGTTCGAACCCAGGACTTTCCGATCACAGGGCTAGCTCGTATACCATTCAGCCACCACTGGGACCTGATTAAGTAGCTCATGAATTCTAACGTCTACCAATCTGATGCTCGCTTGTGACTCGCTACAAGACGGAGTTTCCTGGAGTTCTAGTAAGAAGTCGTGACCAGTGAGGTCCATCCACTCAAGTGTGAGGATGGATATCCCACTGACGACATTGGTCAGGGTCGCGCTAAATCACGGATTGGTAGAAGTCATAATTCATTAGCTGGCCACTGAATCGGATCCCGGTGGTGGCTGAATGGTATACGAGCTTACCTTGTAACCGGAAGGTCCTGGGTTCGAACCTCCTGTGGTGGGTGCGTACTGCCAATGATCCGCAAACTAGGATGAAACAGCTGTACAGTACTCCCAGCTGATTTTCAATGGTTCTCTAACTGATATCAATCCATGATCAGTGTCTTCTTTTGCACTGTGATTTGGCTGTGGATGGTTTTTTTCTTGATGTTTCTATCGATAAACCTTCTAGGATATCCATTATTTAAGAGAGTTGTGCGAAGGCTTTCTATTTCTATGTCGACGGTATCTACAGAGCAAATTTCCGCAATTCTAGGGCATAGAGAACGGATAAAATTTCTCTTCCTGTCTGGAGGTATCCAGCTGTTGTAGTTAGTATACTAACCTGTAAATGTTGTCCTTACGTAGATCAACCTTGATAACGCTGCTGTCCTCTCTTCTATCTAGCACCAAATCTAAGAAGTGAAATGTGGAGTCCGACTCTTCTTCGATAGTGAAAACCAAAGATGAGTGAGAACCATTAAATTTTCCAAGAAGCTCAGCAGTTGAACAGTTTTCATTACAAATAATCAAGGTGTCATCAATATACCGGTTATACATATGCAGACTCGAGATTGTTTCTTTCAATTGCCGTCTCTCCAAGCTCACCACCAAGACGTCCGTTCGGAGAGGTCCTAATGGAAACCCCATGGAGCTATAGTCACCATTAGCCCCCACAGACGAAGTTAACAACCGCTGAATTTAATGAAATCGTTATCTCTGCCAACCAATTTAGCATGCAAATAGCCTCTCTACGTCTACCAAGACTATGGAAAACCATCCACAATCACATATGGGGACTAAGAAAGTGGTATCACTCACGCTCATATCGTATATACAGCTTATGCTGAACAAAAACTGTGGTTTTCCTTATGACTTAATGGGTATATTTCGCTATTTAAAAACATTCTAAACAATTTTGCTCTTAATAAGTAAATTAAAGATCAACCAGTTTTAGAAAAAGTGGCTGTCAGAGACGCTTATTAAAATCCTTCGCTGAGGATCATCCAGGTTTGTTTAGAGATGAGCAGTCTTTAAGAGGTCTACTCACTGTAAACGTATTTATCTTCCGGCACAAAAAGTAATAATGTATTTAAAAAGCATTCAGTTGGTTTCATAGTTCACGATTTCAGATCATCATCAGTAACCTCTGTAACGCCCACCACTCTTTTTTTGCACAGAATTGTAGTACATCTGGCAAAAATTACACTAACAAGAAAGAAAAGTTTGTATATCATTGCACTTCAAGCACTAAATGGGATCACTGTAGACTGTGCTACTGACAAGAATTATCAGTAGTATATAGACGCAGATGGATAAAAGGTAGCCAAAATTGAAAATAACATTTTTAGTCATTGCCTAAAGAACTAGAAGTGTTTGTTCTTCAAATCTGGATTCAGCTTACGTTGTGGCCAGGAAATAATCTCATTGGGCAACTTTTCATCTCTTGATATGACCCTCAAATAATTAACAACCAATCAGGACAGTTTATTTTCCTCTGATGACCTAGCCGACCCTAAATGTAGCTAAAACTGTATAAATATGGTGTGTTTTTCCTTAATAAAAAGTTACCAAATCTCTTTTCTACTCCCGTTACGTCGCCACCTACCTTTATATCTTCACGCCATTCATTTTTACCATAATTCTTAGATATTTCAGGTTGAAATACTGTATAGCCTGCCATGGCTGAAGCCAGCCGGGTAAGTGATTGACGACCAGAGCCACCAACACCGACAAGTAAAGCATTTCCACCAGGTACACGAAGAATTCGACATATTCTTGACAAATGTTCCAATACATATCTGGAGTTTTCAAACGAAAAAGAAAAACACACCCCATAATTTTGGTGATAAAGTGATAAAATCATAACATAAATCTTAAATAATGAATAATTAAATTGAAGACGAGGAAAGAAGTGAAGCCATTTCTATTTAGCGAAAGATTATCTTAAACAACGCGATCTCACAAGTCAATATATGATTAATTCACTGCCGGGTTGATAACATCAGTAAACAGAGTTCCAGTTCCAGTACTCCCTGCAGGTTTTTCAATGGTTCACTAACGGATGTCAGGTCATGATGAAATCCTCCAACCAATCAAACAAAATCCCTACAAAACTAATACTTGAAAATATTTTACCGAATACCATGTAATGATTGTGAGGTCAATTACATTGGTCATACTAGTAGATCGTTGTCAATTAGATTAGATACTTTCATCCTTTTTCTTACCACACACTCCTACGTAATCTTCCTACCTCTTATTTGCGACCCTTACTTGTACACAATTTGACCTGTATTGTAATAATTCATGCTCTTTTGCCTTCTATATAAATATGTATGACATGTACGTCTCCTGTTCTCACCAAGACCCACTCTCCAATTCGCCCATAAGAAAGACATGTACATCAAGCTACTCCATGTGGAGCATCATAGCAGCTTGATAAATTGATAAAGATTGAAAGCTGATGTTAAAAAGACTTTTTATGCAGCTAATATCATAATAATTGAGTATGTGAAGCCCTCTGAGCATGCAAAAAATGGTGTCTCATCCCACTGTATTTACAAATTTGAATGTACGTATGGACACACACATACATAGGGAGGACTCATCGATCTCTGCAAGCGAGTAAGGGCTGGCTTCACAGCATATTACTAAATGGCTCCAGAAATAAACAGAATCTTCAAAAACCATTTATAGTGAGAACAGGAGACCTAGCTCCTCTATTGCGAAACATATTATAGAGACAGGACATAAAATTGACGTTAACATATCTTTTAAACCTATCTATAAAACGTGTTTAGGGCATATCCTAAAGTTTGTGGAAGCCCTAGATGGCGATTAGAAAGTTTAAACCAGCTTTATGCATTCAAAAGCAGTTCGTCACCACACTAAACCTTCCTTGGTAAACTTCGTTTTGATACCAGCCAGTGTAGATGTATTTATTACCTCTGTTATTTGGTTTAGTGATCTTCATTGTTATTTTGACCTTCAATATGTCTTTTTAACTTCACCTAAGTCTATTTTCTTACCTCTTAACTCTTTATTAATTTCAGATATATACAGTTCTATGACAAGTCCGTGTGTCTGATCAGATTGTTAGGAATGTGTTGCGCAAATACAACATTACACGATTCAGACAAATTACGTCTTCTTATTGCTTTGTCTAAATTCATAAAGGGAACTAATTGTTTTGAATCTTTGTTTGTCGAATCAACATCAAACACGCGCAATCGAAATGACGCAACGCTTAGACCGGAATCAACAAGGGAGAGGAAATATATATGTATATAATCTTAACTTATTGATAGTCTAAGTTGCTACAGGATGCTTTATTCTAGCGGCGGTTGATATGAGTGTATCACATAGTACTCAGCACTATCCCTGCATTATGGATACGAGGAAAATGACATGAAGATGGAAGAGAATAACTACAATTTTTTTTACAATGATTGTTTCACTGTTGTGCAACAACAGAAGTGAATACGTTTAAAGCCAGATGTCTAGTACTGTGTAAAGAAGGCAGTTTAACTAGTGAAATTATGAATCTCCAAGTATTGGTTTCGTAGGGATGTTTTTGTTTGATTGGTTGGAGGATTTCATCATGAGTTGACGTCAGCTAGAGAAACATTGGAAAACCTGCAGGGAGTACTGGACAGCGGTTTCCTCCGTCCTGGTATGAGACTCTTCAGCAGTACGCGCCCGCCACCAGGGGTTCAAACTCACGACCTTCTGGTTACAAGACAAGCGAGCTCGTAGACCAAGTCCCAGCCACTCACTGGGACCCGATCCAAAGGCCAGCCAGTCCATGAATTCTAACTTGTGCCAATTCACTCACCACATAGCGCGACCACTTCGCAATGTCTTCTTCAATGAGTAAATGTCCTCACCTTCAACCTGCTGCAACCTACTGGTCACAACTTCCCATTAGAACCCCAGGTAACTACCTGTCTGAATAGGGTCAGTCGCTAGTGAGCATTAGATGAATTTTCAAGTATTGGTTTTGTAGGGAATTTTGTTTGATTGGTTGGAGGATTATTTGAATTAACTGAATATCAATCTGATGCTCACTACTGACTGGTAGGTAGTTACTTGGGTTTTGGTGGCAGTTCGTGAACAGTAGGGTACGGCAGGTCAAGTGTGAGGACAAGTACTCGCCTATGACATTGGCTAGTGGTCGCGCCATCTCATGAATTGGCAGATGTTAGAATTCATGGACTGGCCATTGGATCGAGTCTAGGTGGCTTCGTGGTCTACGAGCTCGCCTTGTAACCAGAAGGTCCTAGTTTTGAACCCCAGTGAGTCCATACTGCTGAAGAGTCACAAACGAGGACGAAGGAAACAGCTGTCCAGTGCTCCCTGCAGGATTTCCAATAGTCCTCTATCCTGAAATATTTTATTTTTCCCTAATTGGATCTATCGAGTCTTTAAGCCGACAAAGTTTAACTCTGAGAGAATTGATTGGATGAAATGCCACTTTAACTCCAGTTTCACTCTAAGAACTCAGAAAAAATGTTAAGTTAAGCTTAACTTTGTATCGAAAGTCATTTGCAAAACCACCAGTTCAGTTTGTCTTAACCTATTAAAATAAATCCTCTAATGGTGTTTTCTACACTCATGAGTATTTAAAATGTCTACCTACAACCTGATGATTAGAAAGTTACTACGAAATTAGAGAAATATTAAAATCGTGGGTGGATTTTCTGTCAGTTACTATTGTACATAAAGATCCTGAACAAAGGGAACTAATGTGCGAAGTATTACATGATATAAACACCATTCTAAATAAAGCGATTATTATTATCATTATTAATATTATTATTATTATAGGCAATGTATATTGAGGTTATAAAATGAAATATAATCGTTACTCAACTCAATGACAAAATATTAGACAATATACTTCCCCCGCTAGGATATGCAGATGATACATTTGTAGTGCTATAACGAGAAAATAAACAATCTATCTCTTCTAGAATCCAGTTTACTTCATTCAGCAGCATGCAGAATCAGACGTCTGTGAACTACCATTTCTAGACAGCCTGGTTACTTAAGAGCAGGGAAAGCGGACATTTTATTATATCTATATTCAGGAGGAAAATCCACTCCAACAAATATTTCGACTGAGGATCATCACAGCCCATCAGCTGTTTCAAGTCTTCTCAGACAAGCACACTCTTTGAGATGTTAACGGATGAGAAGGAAAAGGAAGAAGAAGAAATATTAAACATTACTGAAACTCTCAAGCAAAACAACTACCCAAAGAACTTCATCGACAAAATCAACACCAACATTAAATATGGTCGGAAACGTATTCCAAAAACATGAACCTCAACACTTGTCATTCCATATAGAGCAGAGACGTCAGACGATTGCAGAAGAGTACTCAATGAGCTAAACATCAGAGTTTTCTTCAAAACATCTGACACACTGCGAAACAACCTTGTTCATATAAAAGACCAAATCTCTATCTAATTGTGTCTATAAAAACAAAATGCTTGCTTGGAATGTGATGCGACGTACATCGGACAAATATCGCTGGTGAGAAATCAAAATCAGAAGATATGAACAACGTAGAACATCTGATCGACCACTGAGAAATCCAGTTAGTGGACTAGAAAATTTTGAAAAATCACCAGTTACAGGTGGTGGTGGTCTACACGCTATAGAATCAGGCCACAAAATTGATTTTGACAATATTGAACTAAACCAGAAAATTTCAGAAATCACAAAGAACGTCTCATATCATCAGAAGCACTTCATATCCAAATTGTCTGAATAGGCTGAATGATGGACTAAAACAGAATTTGACCTGGTTACGACAACCCCCACCGTCTCCCATGACATGACGAAATCAACACGAATGTTATTAGCAATTTCATTATGTAAACACACGCTACTTTCATAATTTTACACACTTATCAAATCCAACAATATACACCTGGTTTTTGTTATCTTTATCAATTGACTAACTTGAAAACGCAAAAAATGACCCCATGGTGAGGAACGATGATTAAGTTGTTATACGATATAAGCCGAGTGGATTTTGTAAATTCTGGTTTAATAATACTACTTTGATAAAGCTATTAACAGCAGCATTAAATAGCGAAAAGTCAGTAAAAACAGCAATATCGTTTTGCTCTTTTTCATTCATTGGGAAGTACCATAAAAAGCCTTTATTATAATGAATATACCTCTACAATTAACTTTTATTTGAATATTCAAACAAACCTTTTTTCCGCACATTATAAATGTAAACTTACCGAAATATAACTAGAGACATTTTCTTCTTGTTAGCATTATTATAATCCTCTAGACAACGTTCTACAACAGGGTACATTTCTCCGATATCTTTAATTTCTTCATAAACTCTATCCTCCGGTAAAGAATCTACATCCATAAAATCTCCAAACATCAGGTAACCTCTTAAGTGGGTTTCTTCAATCTAATAGATGCACAGAATTTAATTTTGTCCGCATACAGAAAAAGCAATCAAGAAAAAGGAATAAAGCGGTTACATAAGCGTTAAAATGAAGTCTCTTAGAAAATATAAGGTCTTTCTTCAAAATTGGATTACCTGTTTTAACAGACAAACTGAAACAAGTTGAATTGGAACCCTTAATACAGTGAAACTAATCTAGTGAATGGTGAGTAGCAATGGAATCCAGGATACGCCACATTTCGTCCTATTTGGGACTCGTCAGCTAGTGGGTGTACCTGTATTCCTCGGTGAGTTATGATTTTCCCACTGAAACCTGAACCCAATACCCTTAGTTTCAAGTGTCAAAGCATTACGTGTTAGACCATTTCGACAGCATTTTCACGCTTAAACGGCTAACATGTTAGTATTGATCAATGAATGCTGATATACTTATCAGTAAATTGGTAAATTATGTTACAGGATTTCATCATGAGCTGACATCAGTTAGAGAACCATTGGAAAACCAGCTGAGAGTAATGGACAGCCTTTCTGTCCTCATTTGGGACTCTTCATCAGTACGCACCTACTGGGGTTCGAACCCAGGATCTCCTAATTACAAGGCGAGCTCGTAAACCATAAAGCCACTCACTGGAACCCGATCCAATGGCCGGCCAGTCCATGAATTCAAACTTTTGTCAATTCACGATATAGCGCAACCGCTAGCCAATGTCTTCGGCGAGTATTTGTCCTCACACCCGACCTGCTGCATCCTACTGGTCACGACTTCCCACTGGAACCCCAGGTGACTACCTACCTGAATAGGGCCAGTCGCCAGTGAGCATCTCATTGATATTCAAGTATCGGTTTGCAGGGATTTGATTGATTGTTTACGGGATTTCATCTTGAGCTGACATTGGTTAGCGAATCATTGAAAAACCTGCGGGAAGTACTGAACAGCTGTTTCATCCTAGTTTTGGACTCTTCATCAGTACGCACCCACCCAGCTCATGATGAAATCCTGTAGCCAATCAGTCGAATCCCTACAAACCAATACTTGATAAATTATGTATTTTACAAAATACTACTTATGTTTATTAGTGTGAAAACGAATCAAGTCGTAATTAGCAAGTTGTCGCATTTCAACCAATTTGTTGATTTCAAAATGTCTAAATAATCTCTCAAGAGTTAGTTTTCAGGGATTTGATTTATTTTTCAATTGTGATGACGGATTGATTGATTGATATCAGTTAGAGAACTACTGAAAACCACGGTGCGAGAGCTGGACAGCTGTCTCGTCTGCCCCCGTTTGGGATTCATCAACTTGCTAGTAAGTGGCCACAGAACGTACTTGACTGGAGGTTTAGTGGGGAATCGGTAGAAAGTGAGGATAAATACTCGCCAGTGACAATTTTCGGAGGTTGCGATAAAATCAGGAACTGGTAGAAGTTAGAATTAATGAGCTGGTCATTGAAGAGTCGAGTCCCAGTGATTGAATGGTCACTAAGCTTTCTTGAAACAGGAAACTCCTGGATTGAGACATCAGTGGATACGTACTGGCGATAAAAAGTCCCAAACTAGTACAGCTATTCAGTACCCTTTCTGGTTTTCGATAGTTCTTAAAGTGATATCAGTCAGCGGTCAAATTTGAATTACATTTATTGGTGTGGTTGCGTTCTCTGAGCTAAGTAATCTAACTGCGAAGCTTTCATAGTCCTTCTAGATAACATCTTCGGCGTAAGCTTCAATTTGAAGTGAACTTCTTATTTGAATTCTCGATCAATGATATAATTTTATCTACTGGTGACATTTGTCATGATGGCTTGTTAACTTGCATCAGGTAAATCAAACTACCAACAAGAAACTATCTTTAAAAAACTACAAGAAAATTCATTTTACCATATATAAAGGATGTTCTGACGGTTAGGATTTCTGGCTCTCACCCAGGCAGCCTGGGTTCGACTCTCGGCGCGGGGTCGCTTTGGTCATCAGGTATCAACCAGCCTTTACTTCTGCAGTTTGTAAACTCCCGTATTTTACCAATTTAACTCTGTTGCTCTCCATTAATCTTTCCTGGGCTTCTCAAAAAAGACTATATCATATTATGAAGGGTATTAAATGCTGTGATTCGGGCTTATAATCTGTCACTGCGTGAGCTCACCAATATTATAGTCGAGAGACATACAAAATCCTGTACAAAGTGGGAAAGGGCCGTACTGTCAGACCCCCTGCACCCCCTTTATTCACAACTATTCCCTTGCATCTCATCAGGTAGGACGAGAAGTCAATATAAGAAGTTATATGCTCGCACTACTAAGTACAAAAATTCTACTATACCCTATTTAAGCCGTATTTTATGTGATGGAGACACTGTTAGACGTAAAACATATAAGTTACTATGTAATTAGCAAAGTGAATCAACCCTTTCATTATTCATCTTTCTGTAATTTTATGGTGTCAACCTTTCTATCGTTTAATCATAACTTAGCTATTTTTATTTTAGTTGTTATTACTATTATTACTACAATTTTATACTTTATGCATATTTTTCTCCTTATCGCATACTGTAATTGCTACATAGCTGCTATAACAACGTTTTGTTATTATTATTATTATGTAATGTTTATTTTTTCTCGTTTTTGAGTAAATTAGATGGAATATTGTACTGAATGCTGAAAATTCCTTGCTGTATCATTAGTAATGTTTTTGGAATAAAGCAAAAAAGTTATCAATAAAAAATTATTATTATTGTTCCTGCAACAACAGCCAGAATCCTCAAACCATTCGAAATAGATATAGCACACAGCCAACTGTGCAGACCAAAAGACGCAAAATCATAATAAGACAAGATCAATGCCCTCTGTAAAATGAATTGCGTAGACCGTGAAGAAAAACACTACATTGGCTAAAGTGGGCATCCTCTGTGACTCCGAATAGAGGAACATAAACTAGCCGTCGAAAGACACGACATGCAATCTTTCATATCAACACATTGAGACAACAATGGGCACTAATTTGACTGGAACAGTGTGTAAATTTTAAACAGGGGAAAAAACACCAAGAAATTCAGCAATTAAGAGGTACATTCTTGTGGATGAAACTTATCAACCAATTAAGAATCAACCCCATAACAAACAAAAATCGAATTCCAAGTTAGTAATGATGCGAATTAACAACCAACCACGACAAAGGTTGTCAGAAGACCCAATTATATCTATCAGTCATAGTGAATTCAAATAAATTCACTTCATACTGAAGCCTCCATTGATGATGTTGTCTAGAAGGATAACGGAAGACATGCAGTCACGTCACCCAGATCAGAAAACACAACCACACCTGATCTACAAATCGTTATAATCTCAAAACTGGATTATCAATGGGGAGAAATTGTACTCTGACAAATCCTTGACAGGGAGGAATAGTGCTGTGACTCATTAGGATAACGTAACAACAAATTAGCGGTGGCATAGCGGTTAGGACGCTCGCCGACCATGCACATGGTCCGGGGTTCGACTCCCGGCAGGCGCACTCCTTTACCTCACTAAGCCAGAACTAAAAAGCTTGCGAAGAGGAAAGGTTGGGCATGAGGCTAGCAAACACATCCTATAAAAATAAACACTGCTACAGAAACTTCAAGCCTCTAGCTTGAAGCCCTATGTTCCACTGGGAACGTGAAGGAATAAAAAAATAAAAAACAACAACAAATTAGCAAGTGTTGGCTTTATTTTATTCCACTTCTATTTTATTTGGACATGCAGTGTACCTGCTTTTTTCAAACTTTAAAGTCTACTTTTACTTTTGTTATCTATTTTCTTCCTTTACTTTCCAAGTGGAACATAGAACTTCAAACTACAGTTTTGAATTTTCAGTAGCAGTGGCGTTTACTTTTACGAAGTGGGATTGCTAGTCTCACGTCCAAGTTTCCCTTTTTTTACCGGCCTTACTACCGGCTTAGCTAGGTTAAGGAGTGCGTTGGCCGGCTAGGGATTGAACCCTGGACCATGTGTAGCGTGGTTGGCAAGCGTTGCACCGCTGAACCGTCCGTCAACCAGCTCAGTGTTTAAATCGAATGTAAAAATTGGTCTAATTTTCAATGAAACAATAAAAACCAGAACTCAACTTACCTTTTCCCCTTCCTTCGTAGCTAAATGAGCAAATAATTGATCGAATTTCTCTTTGAAATTATTCTCTAAACAACCTCGGATGAAGCTGAATTAATGAAATGGTAAAAGAGAATATTATCTCGAGTAATAAATGCCTAAGTATTATTTGTGGCAATAACTACTTTGGTAATCTTGTTTAAATATTTATCACGTCAATTCTATAAGGCGTTAATTCTTTGTTTTCACGAGTTAGTTTGAAGGGATATGATTTTTTTCAAGTTTGGTCATGTATTTAAGTCAGTTAAGCAGCCACTGAAAACCACCGGGGAGCACTTGACTGTTGTTTCGTCCCCTAGTTTGAGACTCTTCACCAGTAAGTACGTGCCCAGGATCTTCTGGTTATAAAGCATGCTGGTGAAGCAAAATTCCACCTGCTGACTAAATGTCTAGTTGGAAGACTGAAGTTTGATTTAACTGAGTATATTCAACATCACTTCGTCCAATTTTAGAGATGGCAGGTTCACCGTATCACTATGTCGCCAAGAGGATAAGCGAGAACTCTTGGAACCATTTTAAGAAGGCAAGTCTGTAACTATTCTTTGTATGAGATTACTGGAAAAACCATTTATTTATCATTCGATGTATTCTCGCCGTTCCATCAAACGAAACAGTGGGCTTCATTTGTAATTACATCGACTTACATAGGGGGGAACATGGGAATGTCCACATCATAAATTAAAAGAGCTCATACTTCTGTGTACATTAAGTGTCCAATTTCTTTTCAACAACTAGATCTATAGATAGGGTGATGAGTTAGCTATGGGGTTTTCCACTCTCTCCTTTGCTAGCGCACTTTCTGACTAGTATGAATAGCAGTACGCTCCCACCTGCTGTTTTGGTGCTTAACTCTTACAAAAGATACATGGAAGATACGTTTATTATACGCGACACGAACTAAAACTTGGATGACATCCTGAAAGTATTCATTGACAGTTATCCTGCGATCCAGTTCACTTTAGAAAAAGACAATTTACGAACAATACAGTACACTAAATTATGTTTATATATATATATTTGAATAAGGAGAGCTGTCTTCCTGATTTCCTCTAGAAACGAGTATTTATTTAATTCAACTAATGCATATTTATAGAATAGGTCTTTGGAAAGCCAAAAGCTTTCTTGGATAAACAACAAAATAATGTAATCAAGTGCTGGTTTGTACGGATTTGATTGTTTATAGGAACGATCACAGGCTGATTTCAGTTAGAGAACCATTGGAAAACCAAGGAGCACTGGGCAAATGTCTCCTCGCTCCTAGTTTGGGCCTCTTCATCAGTAGACACCCACCAGAGTTTGAACCCAGAACCTGTCTATTATGAGTGGTCTACGAGCTCGCCTCGCAGCCATACGGTCCTTGGTTCGAGTCTCGATAGGTGCACACGGATGAAGAGTCTCAAAATTGGAAGAAACGACCATTCAATCCTCCCAGAAGGTTTCCAGTGTTTTTCTAATTGATGTCAGCTTGTGGTCAATCCTGTAATCCAAGTAATAGTTAAAATTATGTAAAATACTTTGCGCTTGTTATAAGTGAATACTGTACAGGTTTTATGTCACATAAAAAGGCTAATGGTAAAGTATATAGACGAAAATATCAAACATGTTTTGACTAATTATTGAAGCTATATTCAGTGACATGTAAAATAATAAATGATTCAGTTATACAATGGAAAATTGCCATCAAAGTCAAGTTCGAAGGTGTTTATTCAAGTGTGCAAACTAGTCTTACGGAACCTTCTGCCTGTTTAAACCACTGGACTATCTGGTGTCTCCACATTTGCGGATAAATCGTTCACCTTTTACTAAAGATTTCCATGGGGAGGCAAAACGCAATTATTCTTGCCTCATTATTATTATTAATCTAAATCCAACATGATGCATCTACTTTCTCTCTATTTCTTTTTGATGTAGTTGTGTTCTCCGAGCTGGATAGTTTATTTGCGAAGCTTTCATTGCACGCAACTAGACAACATCTTCAGCAAATACTTCAATTTGAAGTGAGCTTTTAGATTTCTCCACGAGTTTATCAGTCACCTCTCCTGTTGGGTGACCTTTTGGCGTTGGTACGGATTGTTTCCTTCACCTGAAGTTTGTCTCTTTGTGTGTGAAATTTCCTTCTTACAGATTGGTAAATTTTGTCTATGTCGATGTGTCTATTGATTGACGATTCACTGGAATATCAGGCTTCTAAACATTATCTAGCATTCTTGGTGTTTCCTCTGTCTAATATTTGAACGTTGTTCCAGTCAAGTTGATGTCCATGGATGTCTGTTTGCAGTGAGGTAATATGAGGGAGTGGATGTCATGTCTTTTGACGGCTAGCTTATGACCATGGATAAGAAGATGAAAGGTATGTACACTATGGCAAATGTAGTGCTTTTCGCAGTTCTTACAATTTATTCAGTGGATGATGTTGGTTTTATCTTCTTTCATTGTTGAATCCTTTAGTTGACATACAGCCAGCTGAGTGAAGTGATTTTGTTGGTTTGTGTGCGATATCAATTGCTAAAGGTTTATAGAGTCTTGCAGAGATTTTTGAGATGTCCATTATATATGGTAGGGCGATTTTCTTCATGTTTTCCTTGGGGGCATTTGATTTGATAGCTTGGCTAAGGGAAGATGTCTTTTGATGAAATTTCGTGGATATCCATTCTTTTGAAAAACGTCCATGAGATATCTTTCTTCAGTTTTCTTTAAAATGCCGCCATGAGTCCTGGCCCTCTTGAATAGTGTTTGTATACAATTCCTTTTGTGTGTTATTGGATTGTTGCTGTTGTAAATGAGTATTTGGTTTGTGCTAGTTGATTTTCTATAAACTATGGACATGCGCAGCGATATGAAGGAGTGGATGTTAAATTGAAGTATGCGCTGAAGATGTTGCCTAGTAGGGGAATGAAACCTTCGCAAAAGAACCATCCAGCTTAGAGAACACGACTACATCAAAATCATCTACCTGAGCTACAAATCGTCTCCATCATATCTACTTTTCCCTCTTTCTTGTTGTTTAAATCTTCCAGTTATGTTCTATTGTCACAACATGAACCCATGCAAATTTTTAGTTGGCTTTCACAACCTACCACTGCTCACTTCAAGGTGAAATTGAAGAAAAAATATGATATGAAATTGTATCTTTTGCAGGGAATTACGCTGAGAATTCTGTATTGTGTTTAAAAATAATTTCAAGCATACCGTGGATAGAATTACTATAGAAAATCTGTATCTAAAGTCTATACAAATTTATTCTGTGTTACGTCGATGGCACAATGGTTAGGTTGCTCGCTGATCAAGAACATGGTCCGAGGTTCGATTCCCGGCCGACGCACACCTGATATCAATGATTGGCCTGCTGAAATCACATGCCGATATCACATGCTGAAAATTCCATACTTGTACCAAAAATACTTTGTGGAATCAAGCTATAATAAAATTTTAAAAAATACCGGATTCCAGCATGCGGATGAACATAGGCATCGGTGCTGCAGCGGCAGAATGCCCACCAATCACGTCACATGTGGTCTAGGGTTCGAAGCCCCAGCCAACGCATTCTCTAAACATCGCTAAGCCGTTAGTAAGGCTGGTAAGGATGAAAGGTTGAGTATGAAACTAGCAATCCTAAACCACTGTTACTTAAACTTCATAGCGTAAGCTTGAAGTTCTATGTTCCACTGGGAGAGCAAAGGAATAAATTCCTCAAAAAATGCCTAATATACATATAGCACTACTTTTCTAACACGTTATTCAATTCCCGAAAAAATGAATAACAGACTTCAAAGAAATAAGCAAGTAACATAATTTTTTAAATTGTGTACTTATTCATAAAATGAAAACACAGAAATGTTAAAGTTGAGTGAAGCGCGCTTTTCGACTACACATAGCCAAGTTAAGTGTTGATTGTTTCATCATAAGTGCTAGTTCAAAAACGTTAGGAAAAAGTGAAAGACCATGTCAACGGAAATACTTGGTAAAAATTCAAGTACGATTAAACTGAAGTGGAGTTGTCGATTTTACCAATGCAATTGTAAAAACAAGAATTTGTTTGACTGGTTGATACAAACAAATTTGTTTTCATGTAATTCCTTCACGTTCGCAGTGAAACATCGGGCTTCAAGCTAAAGGCTTGAAGTTACGATAGCAGTGGTATTCATTTTTACGGGATGAAGTTGCCAGCCTCATGCTCAACCTTCCCTCTTCACCAGTACTATAACTGGCTTAGCAAGGTAAAGGAGTGCCTTGTCGTCCGGGAATCGTGGTTGGCGAGCATTCTACCGATGTACCACCTATCCACCACAAACAAAATTATGAATTCCATATTTCACTAAACCACATCTATTTCATATTGTGAAATATTCCTATATCATGCATACAAAGTCAATCTGAACGAAGAATATTCTTTTCAATAATTTCTCCTCTTCAGGTTCTTACAATTATAAAAATATAATATTTGTTGTCGTTACGATAATGGCCAGTTACGCGGCGGATACATTTTTAACGTAGAATAGCAGATTAGTTATTGGGTGTCAAAATAAATAGTCGTTTTTGTGTCACAAACGTGCTACGCTGAATTCGATTACAAAGTATTGTAAAACGGGAGACAATGGTGATTAATCATAATAGATTTGTAGAGTGTGGGGTAGGAAAATTGACAAGTCAGTTCAAGGTTACAAAAGGTGTCAGGTGAGTGGCTAGTACAAAGTGGTCTGTTTTAAACAGGAGATAGTAAGACTGCAATGGGGGTTCATAATGAAATAACGAATGTCTGAAATGAAACAGGTGGAGTCATATATTGGGAAAAGAGATAATACCACTAATAATAAGTCCGGATAGTATAATTGGAAACTTCGATAGTATTGAGAGAATGCTTGCATGAAGAGCACAAATTATGATGAATAATAGTTTTAATAAGATGTCCAGTATCGACCAAGTGTGACAGGATCGAGCTTTTTATGCACTTAATTTCCCCCTGCTGAAAGAAGCTGGCAAATATTCTTGAACCCGTAAACGAACCTGTCTAATCGTGTGCCTCATATAACTTGAACCACAGGAACAGTTGAAATGGTATATGCATGAAGAAGAGCTAAGGTTAGGTAAGATATCTTTGAGTTGCTGGGTGAACATTGGACGGCTACCGAAGGAAAGACACAGAAGTGTCGAGTAGAAAGTTTTCTTGATCGCCCTGGTTAAACGTTGCGATAGAATCTCCGCAGGAGTATCTCCCTTGAATTAGAGACGCAAAAACAGAGGCTTTTTCTCCACCGTTGCCAGTTCATGTTTACGACTGTTGTAACCTATGTTGGCTTTAATAGACTTCTCTGGATATCCGTTCTCGCTTAGAATGTCTCGGATGACCTGGAGTACTTTCCCTAAGCAGTCTTCGGAACAAATGGACGTCTCTCCAAATGCTAAACACCTGATCAGATTACGTTTGTATTTCATTGGTACTAAGCTAAGGAAGTGTGTATACTGAGCTTTGGTTTCTAGCTTTCTAAATACGGTTCTTTTGACGGAACCATCCTCTCTTCTCGTTAGTAGGATGTCGAGGAAGTGTAGAGAGCTGTTGTATTCTCCTTCGTAGGTGAAATGGACCGCTGGGTGAGCATTATTGAAGTCGCTAAAAATCAAATCACTGCTTAACCCTTCATCGTGCACTACAAAAGTGTCATCCATCTACCTACAGTACATTTCCATTTTTGCTATTTCCTCTTTCAACGAACTATTTTCTAGTTTTGCTGGAAATATGTTCAGGAAAATAGGTCCCAGTGGGGATCCCATGGCTAACTCCATCAACCTGTCTGTACATTTCATTATTAAACAAGAACTGAACATTTGTTGTACATTTAACAAGGAGTTGTAACAGATTACTAATAGGAATATCAGTGCACAATTTCCTTTCTTTAATCTGTTCGCAGATGTAATCGATGGTTTCCACTAGTGGCACATTAGTGAATAGAGATGAAACATCAATTGATGCCATGCATTTGCCAGTTGCGTTCAAGTTTTTAATCTTGTCAATAAATTGAAAGGTATCCTTGACGTTATGCTTCACTAAATCGTCATGCAACGGCTGAATTAGGTATTTATTTTGACACCCCATAACTAAACTGCTCTACTACGTTAAAAGATATATCCGCCGCATAACTGGCCATTTTATTGTAACGACAACAAATATTATATTTTATTCTATTGTAAGAACCTGAAGAGGAGAAATTATTGAAAAGAATATACCTTGTTCAGACTGACTTTTAAAACATTTATTTCATACAATCGGTTCCGTTTATTCATTTGAACACAGAAATAAACAACATATCTGCAGAATAATACAAGCTTATTTTATTTCGTGGATTCTCTCTTCAGCTGCGTACACCCTAAACAAAATCATCAAATTATGAGTTATACAAATTTTCTGAACAAATTTTATCACAGTGATTTCGAGTCGCAGATAGAAAGTATAAGCAACATAATTCCAAAAAGATGATGTAAGTAGACAGATTATCCAGAGTTAAAAGATTAACACATTACGGATCATCATTGAACAAAGTTTGGAATGACACTCACCTCTCTATCTCAACTTCATCGACTTTGAAAAGGCATTCGACAGCGTCGATCGAAAGGTGATTTGGCAACTACTTCGCTACTACAGGGTGCCACTGACAATTATACATGTCATCCAACAGCTGTACGACAATGCTGCATGCCAAGTAATCCACAACGGGAAACTTACGCAACCCTTCGAAGTGAGGAGAGGAGTAAGACAAGGCTGCCTACTATCGCCAATGATTTCCCTGATTGCAGTAGATTGGATAATGCGACAAACAGCGGGCAATGAGGAAACAGGCATAAAATGGACTCACACAAAGAACTTGGAGGATTTGGACTTCGCCGATGATATGTCTGGACGATATGCAAGCGAAAAGCAACAAGTTGGCAGAAGAAGCATCAAACTTAGGACTTCAGGTGAACATAGAGAAAACAGAGGTGATGAAGATTCCTGGTCAACACCAACAGAAACAACAACAACAACAGACAACAATCAGCATAAATGGGAGGAACCTGAAAGAAACAACCTCTTTTGCCTACCTGGGAAGCATCGTTTCAACTACAGGCGGAACTGACGTGGATATCAAAGCAAGAATCGGAAAAGCCAGACAAGTTTTCAATACTCTCAAGCCTGTGTGGAGGTCAAAAGCACTCGGTGTCAAAAATAAGATACGGATTTTCAACTCCAATGTGAAGTCAGTCAGTGCTACTTGCTATACGGATCAGAGACTTGCACTGCGCGTCATTAAGAGCATCTCAAACAAACTACAGACCTTCATTACCAGTTGTCTTCGCTCAATACCACTCAAGATCAGATGGCTGACCAGAAAAGATCAGCAACAAGGAGGGATCTGTGAGAGCGAACCAACCAGGAACCGACTGTGAAATAAATAGGCAGGAAGAAGTGGAGATGGATTGGCCATACTCTGAGGAAACCATCAAGTGACATCACTAGACAAGCCCTCGAGTGGAACCCGAAAGGGAAGCGGCGAGTTGGTTGTCAGTGCAAGGGTGACTTGGAGGAGGTCATGTGGAGAGGAGATGAAGGCGTGTGGACAGACTTGGAGCCAGGTGAAGACGCTAGCAGAGAACCGATCGCAATGGAGACGCACGGCTGAAGCCCTATGTTCCTCTAGGAATAAAAGGAAATAATAATAATATAATAAAAGATTAACTGTTTATTGCATAATTAGACAAGGGAGAGTTGAAACAAGGATTAACTATAATCAAAATGCAGTAAATGCAGTTGCACTTACTGTGGTAAATATATAAACAGAGCTGAGGGGAAAGAGACTACTAGATTATCCCTAAAAGTATCTATTTGAAAGGCAGAATAGTGTTCTCAGTTGCCATTACCAGACATCTAATTGACACGGGACATACAATGGAAATTAGTCAAGCTTTCAAAATAATTAAACACACAGAAACTTTGGGTTACTTCGATTCGCAGAATCCATTCTTATTCAAAGACTTCGACCCAATTTCTGCGGATAGAAAGATAGCGTGACTAAATTCGTACTACTCTGGTAGCCGTAATTGTTTTGTTCGTGTATTTTTGTATTTTGTCTCGTTGTTGCATAACGTTCCACTTAATATTGATTTTCACTAAGTGAGTTGAACTTACTAGTAAGTTTCGAAATCTACTTAATTGTTCTGTCTACCACTCTCCTGAGTTCTATATCATAATATGCATAAATTCACTCTGTTGTTCGACCCTGTATTTTGTCTTTAGTTGATTCTTGTTTCCAAGTAAAATCTGAACTCTACCTCCCATTCTCTAATTATGCTATAAACAGTTACAGTAGTCGTTCGTAACCAGTGGAGTTCACCAAGTCAGGTTAGAGGACGGTTACTCGCCTATAACATTTTCTGGAGGTTGTGCCATATATATATCATGAACTATCAGAAGTTAGAATTCATGGGTCATGGAGTTTGGTCCAAGTGGCTGACTGGTTTACGAGCTTACTTTGTGACTGGAAAGTTCTGGATTCGAAACTCAAGGTGCGCGTACTACGAAGAGCCTCAAAAAAGGACGAAACAGCTGTTCAGTACTCCCCGGTGGTTCCCATTGGTTCTCCAACTTATATCAGCTCGTGACCGAACCTGTAACCAATCAAATCCCTACAAACCTACACTTGACAGTTACTATTTGAACAGTGAGTAATCTGTCTACTTACATCATTTTTGGAATTATGTTGCTTATATGTTCTACAACAACAACAGCAGCAAAATCCAGCGCCAATCTACATCAACGGGAGGGATTTGAAAGAGGTTACTTCGTTCACTTATCTAGGGAGCATTGTCTCAACTACAGGAGGAACGGACAAGGATGTCAAATCGACAATCGGGAAGGCGAGAAACACATTCATCAACCTGAAACCAATCTGGTAATCTTCGTCACTCAACATCAACAACAAAATTCGGATTTTCAATGCAATCGTCAAGTCACTTCTTCTATACGGATGAGAAACTTGGCGGGTCACCAAGAATATTTCCAACAGCCTGTTGCAGACCTTTATCAACAGCTGTCTTCGCTCTATACTGAAGATCAGATGGCCGGCCGGAAAGAATCACCAACAAGAAACTATGGGAACAAACAAAACAAGAACCAATCGCTCAACAAATATGCAGGAGAAAGTGGAGATGGATTGGACACTCGCTGAGGAGGCTGCTGGGTGACATCGCGCGTCAGGCCATCACTCGAGTGGAACCCGAAAGGGAAGCGGCGAGTAGTGGGACGTCCAAGAGTGACATGGAGGAGATCGTGTGAAGAGGAGCTAAAATAGTATGGATTAACATGGACGCAGGTGAAAAGTACAGCAGAAGACAGAAGCAAGTGGAGACGTGCAGTTGAAGCCCTATGTTCCACTAGGAACCCAAGGGAACAACAATAATAATATGCTCTACCAATAACTCGAAGTCACTGTGATGAAAACGTAGGTCCAGAAAAGCTTTTATAATTCTTAATTTGATGATTTCTTTTTAAGTCTGTACAGATTCACTTCGACAGAAAGAAAGGGAAAAAAACAACACGTTAACTTACGTATACAACCATGTTCTATCAGCATCATCTGTTAACCGATCATAGAAGACTCGCATAACTTCATGAGCCCATAGACGTGAAAATGTTCGTTTACTTTCAACACGATCTTTTTGTATTAAACACACACCCAGAATAACACGACTAAAATCTCTTAAATTGAATAAATAATGAGATTTAGCCGGTGTAGGCAGGAGATTCTCGATTGCAGCTTTATATACCTCCAATGTTGATGCTACAATTATCTGACCAACAGTTATGTATTCTGAACTAAATTCTTGTGACTATAAGAAAAAAAAGGTTTTGAAATATTGACGTGTTACTGAATGTTAATGAGGTTAATATTTAAAAAGTATCTGCAAATAAAGTATTTCCTAAACCTTGAAAAATGGAAATACACTTTGATGACGAATGTTCATAAGAATAAAGCCTTGGTTTGCGTCAACCTACTGAACGCTTTCAAACGTTAACGATGAGGAATCTTATAATTTGATGACATTAGATGGTTGGGGGTTATCAGTAGTAAGCCCTGCTTGGACCTAGGCTTCGTGCTACTTGGCACTAACCAGTCAGAAAGGCGTATCTGCAACCTTGGAGGAACTCACGTCTCTTTTGAGGAGATTCGAACCCGCGTCATCACCCAGTGAGCGCTGCTGTTATGATGCTGGATCTTTTATCACGAGGTCACTGCTTAACTACTGACCAGTGCCCACTTAACTGGTAAAGCAGAACACGCGAGAATCAGCGGTAAAACCAGGTTCATTTATTATGACAAAAGTGACTGTATTTATACAGAAGATAAGGTAGACTGGTAATCAACCAATCCGGTTGAGAGTTGGAATTGTGCAGGCGTCCAGTCAGAAGCAGGAACAATTGCATGTCAACGACTTGTTAACAACTTGACTGAGACATGATAATGACCTGATAATTGAATGTGTTTTGCCTCTTCCTAACAGCTGTAGTCAGAGACGTTACTACTGAGCCATTCGTGCTTGAGATTGACCTCCTGTAAAGCCGTAGTGGATAATTTGACTACAGCACTGGGTGGAACACGTTCGAATCTCAGAAGGGACATGAGTTCCTTCAATGATGCAGATACGCCCTGCTGACTGGTGAGTGCCAACTAACACGAAACCTAGGTCAGGTAAGGCTTCCTGCTGATTGCCTCCAATTATCTAATATCATCAAATCAATGTACACCGTGATGGTGAGCAAACCTGACTCATGGAATTCAGTCTATACCAAAGAAAGGACTAGACACATCACACTAGTTAGTGACTAGTGTCCAATCAAAAAATCTTATAGTTTACTGAGTAAATTGCAATCTTGACTCATAAAATTCATTCAACATTAAGGACTTGATGACATAACACATAGTTTCCTTCAGGTAGTCAGTCAATGAGTGTAGTCCAACAGGTAAAGACGTATTCACTGAGTTACTCAGAATTAATATTATTCCAATAAACGTTTAGAGTTTAGCATCAAAAACATACTTTCAATGAAACACTTCAGATTATTTTAAGCTACTTTTCTGGCTTACACAAAGCATAATTGTTTTATTTAGACTTCTTAGATATGTAGGAGGGATTCTGATTAAATTCAGTATAGGACAAAACAGGTGATCAGTATTATTATTATTATCTCCTATAGTTCGTAGAGGAACATAGAGCTTCAGCCACATGTCTCCATTGCATTTGGTTCTCCGCCAACGTTTTCACCTGGCTACACGTCTGCCCATATGCTTTCATCTCTTCGTCTCATCACCTCCTCGATGTCACCCTGGTACTGGCTACCGACTCGCCACTTCCCATTCGGGTTCCACTCGAGTGATGGCTTGGTGTGTGATGTCACTCACTAGATGATTTGTTTTCTCAGAGTATGGCCAATCCACCTCCATTTCTTCCTGCATGCATATTTGTTGCACAATTGGTTCCTGGTTGGTTCGCTCCCAGAGATCCCTCCCTGTTGCTGATCTTTTCTGGTTATCTGATCTTGAGCGATACTGAGCGAAGACAGCTGTTGATGAAGGTGTGTAGTTTGTTTGAAGTGCCTTTCGTGACACGTCGAGTCTCTGATCCGTAGCACTGAATGACTACACATTGGAGTTGAAAATCCAAATCTTATTTGTTATGCTGAGTGCTGTTAATTTTCACACAGACTTGATAGTAGTGAAACCTTGTCTTGTGCTCCACAGTTTTCAATGATTGTCTAAAGAGTGTCAGCTCATGATGAAGTTTGCATATTTTTGTTTTTCATATCAAATGACAAATTATGAAGAAAAATTGAAATCAGCAGTGGACTGCAAAATGTTGAAGAACCGATGTAACTATATACAAATGCGTATTCGATAGAAAAAATATTAAGGTCACAATTACATATGCAAAGTAATCTGAAGAATAATATATCCAGAAAAAATTTGTCTTCAGTCTCTGTCTTCTGTGCGTAATGTTCAGCTGAACAATGAAAATATCAAAACACATAACACTAAGAAGGATTCACTTACCACAAGGAAATACATTTATTCATAAAATATGTCAGCTCACAGGGCATAGATCTTCACTACTGAACACCGATTGATTTCAGCTGTTAGATTTACGTCACGTACTAGTATCAATTAAAGAGATTACTGGAAACCAGGGAGTTTTGAACATCTGTTTCCCCATAGTTTGGGACTGTTCTTCAGTTTGTAGCTACAACTCCGCCACGAATAGAACCTGGGACCTTCAAGCTACAAGATTAAGCCCGTGTCTTGTTCCTATCAGGGTCTGTAGTACGTACCTGGTGAGGTGTCCCAAAATAGCATGAAAAAGTGTTGCCTGCTTTTCAATAATCTCTCTAACTGATTTCGGTCCATAATGAGATCTAATAGTTGCAGTTACTCCCAAATCCCAACAGTCTTGTAATCTGAACTCTGTTTGGTTGAAATCACAAAGGCATAATGTGAACTATACTAGTGTCTGGTAGGGAAGCTTCTTTTCCTGTCTACTTTCAGTCACTTTCAGTTGGAGGATTGCACACACCATGAGCTGACATCAGTTACGGAACCATCGGAAAACCAGCTAGGAGTACTAGACAACTGTTTCGTCACCCCAGTTTGGGACTCTTCAGCAATACTCACCCACCTCCAGGGTTCGAACCCAGGACCTTCTGGTTCCGATTTTCTTAACGCGCTGGGATTAATTTAAATAATTTATAATGAATAAATCTGACTCGGCACTCAAATTTTTCCAGGAATTTCGTAACACCTACGGCCTGGAAACCTATAAAAATATCATAAAAGTATGAAGGAAATGGAAAATAAGAAAGGGTGGTTGGGTTTTAATGCAGACTTTACCTAGGTCAAAGGAGACAGACAAAGGTAAAATAAACTTCTTTTGTATTCAAAGACTAGGACTGCCTTCTCAAATTCCCATAGCTTCGGCTAGGTGTAAAAGACGGATTCTGATTCCATTCGAAAGACTCGATGGAATACGATAGATAACTTTGAAAGCACTATTTTTGTTCAATTGGTGACCGCTATCAATCAAATGAGCCAAAATAGAACTTTTCATAGATTTTGTTTGACCTTTTCCGAACCATGAAGGAAGATGCTCATTAATGCATTTGTTCAGCTGTCTAGTTGTTCGCCCTATATAGCTTTCTCCACAGGAGCAACTAAATTTGTAGATGCACATCGAAGTGGCACAGCTAGGTAGCTTATCTTTCACTTGAGCAATCAAAATTGGTCGGCTAACAAAATGACAAACAAAGGGTGGCGGCAGTATAAGTCCGTTTTATCGCTCTCGATAATCTCATATGTAAGACTTCGCTAGCCACGTCCCCATTAAATTGCAGTTTCATGAACAGTTCTTCCTTTTTAACTGTTGTCAGTTTCTCTTTATTGTACCTGGTACTCATGTGTCTCCTAACAAATCTACTAGAATAACCCATTTGGACCAGCGTATTTTGGATGTATCCTAACTCACTGTGTAGGGAGTCATCTGTACAGATACGTCTTGCTCTATTCGTGAGGCATCTGACCGAGTTGACTTTGTATCGGATTGGTACAAAACTGAGGAAATGTGTATATTGTCCATTCTCTTAGTGGAAACCATATGCTTTGTTTAAATATTACATAACTTACTAACGTTATAAATTAACAAGAAAAAACCAAAAACAACACTTCGATAGTTATATCTCATCAAATCAACAAGTAACTTCTTCAGTCACCATATTTCTTAAATAAATTCCTAAACATTTTGATGTTTTTACTCTAATAATAATAATAATAATAATGATAAAGACAGATTTAAATATCTTAATGAAAACTAAAAAAACCTTAACACTGGAAAACTCTAACACTGATCAACCCTTTTAACATACCCGCATGTAAATACTCATTAGAGTGGAAAATATCCTCGTCATTGTTTCATCACTGAATGGTGTCATACTGATCACATGAAAATGTCGCATAAATCGTTGTGTTACATCATTACGTCCACCACCTGGCGGTCCCATAGCTCCAATCAAGTGAATATCTTGTAATGTCAGCTTAGTAGTATCTTTCAGATCATACCTAAAGTATAATGACAGGAGAAAACAAACTATACAGTTGCTATGAAAATGACTAGAATAATATATATATACATAAATTTTTTTATAGTTGGTTTGTAAGGATTAGCTTTGTTCTTACGAGTTGATCATGGATTGATATCAGTTAGAGAACCATTGAAAACCAGCCACATGGAGTACTGGACAGCTGTTTCTTCTGTCCTAGTTTGGGAGTCATCGGCAGTATGCACCCAGTGCCAGGGTTTGAACCTAAGCAAGCTCATAAACCATTCAGTCAAGTGTGGGAATGGATGTCCCACTGACGATGTTGGTTGGGATCGCGCTAAACCACGAACTGGTAGAAGTTAGAATTCATGCGCTGACTGGCCATTGAATCGGGTCCCGTTGGTGGCTGAATGGTATACGTGCTTGCCTTGTAACCGGAAGGTCATGGGTTCGAACCCTGGTGGGTGCGTACTGTCAATGATTGCCAAACTAGGACGGAAGAAACAGCTGTCCAGTACTCCAAGCTGGTTTTCCATGGTTCTCTAAGTGATATGTGTAGCGCTTTTGAATGCAGACGTCCAGTTTCAGATCCTGAATAGCTAATGATTCAGCTATGTACAGATGGAGTATGCGGAGTTTCTTTGTACGGTACTCCTTGCAGCACTGTGAAGCATTCATGCAGGGATGCTCCATGTCCGGAGATGAGAAGGTGTTCGAGGATGGAGCTACTGCTATCCCTCTTTTCTCCTCTGGTTAACCAAGCTGAACAGTGTTTCAGAATACGTTTGTGGACATAACGTTGAGTACGGCCGATATACTTTGCTCCACGTGAGCAAGTAAATTGATAAATACACATTGAGGTGGTCAAAAGCGGCATCTTATCCTTAACGTTAGACTGGATTAACTGTCTGCTGGAGAATATGGTACGTAAGGTGGCTGTTGGAAATGTCTTCTTCAGACAATGCTATTGTACAGCTAAGTGAATGAATTCGCCAGCGAAAAGAGATTTTTAGCTGAACTACCTGTTTTGCTTCCATTTATGTCAGGATTGGAATTATTCATGAATTAAAAGAGTTCAAACACACTGTAGCACTACTCTGGTGTTGAAGAGAATGGAGAGAAAATAACTATTAACCATTTTGAAAAAAAATGGAATCCCTCACAATTTAATGAAAAAGTGTTTAAATTCAAGCCATCACACTAACCATACTCAAAGCCCACAAGAAAATTCATTCTACCATATTACAACGAATATCTCCAAAATAACGGCTAGAATACTAAAACCATTTGAAACAAAAATAGCACACAAACCAACATGGTCAATTCATCCAGCAATCTGTGCAGACCAAAGGATCCAACAGCAAAAGAAGACAAAATAATCAATACCATTTACAAAATAAATTACATAGACTGGGATAAACACCATATTGGTCAAAGTCGGAGACCCCTTCGAATCAGAATCCACGGACACAAACTGGCTTTGCGAAGACACAATATGCATTTCTTCATATCGATACATGTAAACAATAACGGACATAAATTTAATTGGAAGAATGTAGAAATTTTAAACAGAGGAACCACCAAAAATGATGCCAGGGAATTTCTAGAACCCTAGTACTCAGAAGAATCACTGAGCGATTAACAAACACGCCCTACTACAGATCAAATTTACCAACTAATAGAAAATAAATCACATGACAAGAAAGTTCAAATTCCAAGTCAATAAAAATATAAATTAACAAACAATCAAGACATTATTAGATGATTGGCGGCAATCGGCCACAGGAAGCCTTGCTTGACCTAAGTCTCGTGCTAGTTGGCTCTCACCAGTCAGCAAGGCGTATCAGCAACCTTGAAGAAACTCATGTCCCCTCCATCTGAGGAGATTCGAACCCGCGTCATCACACAGTGAGGGCTGAAGTCAGAGACGTTACCAATAAGCTATTCTGAGAATAGAACTATATCATTCATGAGGAATTCAAGCAGGTTCACTTTACATGAAAGCTTAAGCTGGAGATGTTGCCTAGAAGGACAACGAGGCCTTCGCAAATGTATCAACCAGATCAGAGAGCACAACTAAATCAAAATTATCCAACTGTGTTACAAATCTTCTCTATTACGTAAAACCAGTGTTAAATTGTCGGTCACCATGTGCAGAACAGTCAGCTGATTTGGTTGAGGCGCTTTAAATTGACGATCACAATGCATCTCTAATTGTAATTGAGTAGGATTAAAATTAATTCAACAAGAAATTGAGCTTATCAAAAAGGGCTAATTCTTTAATATAGGCAATACTGTGTGTGATAAGACCACATATTGATTTTTTCCCCTGAATTAACTTGTAATTTGATCTTTGTGGTCTTATCTCCTAATAATATGGTCTTCGGATATTATCATTAGTTTAAAATCATCACTACGACGACATACATAAAAGTTAGATTAAAAATACGAAGTAGCCATTCAAACTTATGTCACTAGTGGTTTTCCCTCTGATTGTGTATCTATTACGACTGATAGTAATAAAAAAGTGTTGCTAAGCTATTCAAATAGATAAGATTATGCTTGTAATAGGAGTCGGATATATTTATTATAATATATAATTGAATGTACGGTTTATTCATGAATTAGGAACATAAAGATTCGTTTACTAATTGGAGAAATGTCTCCTTTTAACGACTTCATTTTTCAAGCTGTAGAGTTCTACTTCTATTACGTGAAAAAGCGGTTAGTGGCATTGATATAAGAATAGAACTTGTGCAGTGTGGTAGAGTATAATTCCATTGTGGATAAAATTTTATTTTGATAAAGTTTCATAGTGTTTATTATATAGGAATATTTAATGATGACCACACGTTACGAGGACAATTTATTACTGCTCATAATCATATCAAGCCACTACTCATCACACAACTTTCTAACTTCGTTTATATAATTCCATTACTTTTTTCCATCGCTTAACTTGATTGGTAGTAGTATTATTTTCCATATTTCCGGTATGAGTGATGAGTCATTCCTATTGCACTTGTTGGGTGTAGATTATTCGATGAACAAAGATTCAGTACTGGATAGTTGTTCCGTCCTAGTTTGGGGCTCTTCAGCGGTACGCACCCACCACAGGGGCTCGAGCCCAGGACCTTTAGGTCACAAGGCTAGCGAGCTCGTACACAATTAAGCCACTAGTACCCGATCAAATGGCCCATGAATTTTAAATTCTGACAATTCATGACATAGATCAACCACTTCGCAATATCTTCTTCAATGAGTTACTGCCTCACGTTCGAACCCCGGTGGGTGCGTGCTGATGAAGAGTCTCAAACTATGGTGATGAAACAGTTGTCAAGCACTCCCAGCTGGTTTTCTAATGGTTCACTAACTGATGTCAGCTCATGATGAAATTCTCCAACCAATCAAACAAAATCCCCAGAAAATACCAATCCTTGAAAAAAGATACAATAATCAATCTCTCTCTCCACCTACTTACATTGCTTTTTAGAACTTTAACCCCCTCCACCCATTCTATTATGTGGTTGTGTGTTAATGCATGCAGTGCAATGCAATGCTGAATTTTTTCTAAATTACTTATCTTCCTGGGGTCAACCATTCTAACCTTAGCTAAATTCATATGTTCTGACAATCTGACTACCCACGATCTACTAGTTTGAAATATATAGTTGACCTCAATCACAGTCATTGCAAGGTATTTTGTAAATTATATTATTTTGTTTAACTGGGTCAACCTGCAAGGTTATTTAACCAACAGAGCTTGTCCTATATGATTGAGTTTGTAGGTTTGATTACCACCCTAATTTATGCCTTATGTTACCATTATTAGTTTCACCATTTTTCTATTTTGCTTTTGACCTTTTCTGATCTTCCTAATGAATTTTATAGCATAGTCACTTATTTAACATCAGCACCTCTTCTATCTGTTTCATTTCATTAATTAGGTCTTTTGTTGTACTACTAAGAGCTATTGCTCGGTTTGTTAAACACTTAACTAAGTCTGCCTTCACAGACAAATAACGGATGAGATGAATTAAAATCTAAATATCTACTAGAATGTGTTTGCTTTTTATAAACGCCAATGTGGTTTATTACTGGATCTTTGTCCATAGAATAATTTACACCCAACACGTGCAAAAGGAATAACTCATCACTCATACCGAAAATATGGGAAATACTACTACTACTAATCAAGTCAAGCGATGAAAAATAATGGAATTATATAAACGAAGTTAGAAAGTTGTGTGATGAGTAGTGTCTTGATACGATTATGAGCAATAATAAGTTGTGCTCGTAACGTGTGGTCATCAATAAATATCACTGTAAAGCGGAGTTAGTGGCACTAAAGATTGATATTGACGATAACTGATACATTAGTGCCACTGATTACCTTTTTACACAGCAGAAATACTATTGAACACCTTGAAAACAACTATTTCTCTGCCGAATAAACCTTCTAGTCTCACTCCACTACTTGTTATTCGTTTGGTCTTCTGAAGGTGAGTCGAAATGGTGTTACTCTTCACTTAGCAATGGATATGCTGAGTTAACATTACAACCTAGTAAGATTAAGTCTATGTAAATACAGTCCTCCTCCAGTTACTTTTAAATTTTCAAGTCACACTCGTGAAGTTACGGTGACTTGTAAGCATAAGATGGTTGCTCTCTATTTAACAGACACTACTGTAATCTATGTGATTATGGTGGATTGTATAATGTGAACATTAGGCTAAATAATGGAGATAGTATTAAGATTTCCGTTTGACGTGAAGTTTAGATTCAGTTTTTATTGATTGATAATCAAAGGAATGAAGTTACCACTGTCCTATCCCAGGTGATGATGAAGGTGACTCGGTGAAAAAGATGTCCTCCAGTCTTCACTTGCATAAAAAGTTAAAAATGATACTCTTATCAGGAAGGATGCAAACTATCGACTCTTCAACCAGTTCAGCTGTGGTCACTCGTCCATAGGCTTTACTACCGGAAAAGAATTGACTTCTACATTTCATTGCTTAAATGTTATCTTAAAGCGGGGAAATGAGACTGATCTTCTAACCGAAATCGCCAACTTCAACAGTTAGAGAAATCCTATCTGTCCTCTAAGCACCTAGATTCCTGAAGATCGACTCTTAAGATATGATCCACATAAAAAAGGTGAAAACCGCCGAACCAAATTTCTGAGTAACTGGTACCCACATATATATTTATATATATTTGGCGCTTAGCACTCTGGACTGTGAATCTATCGTCTCACTGGGACCTCCGGTAATTCTGTGGTTCATTAGTAGAATACTTGTCAACCACGCCTCATGAGTCCCGCGGTTCAGTCCCCTGATGACGCAATCCTAAACCTCGCCAAGCCGGTAGAGAATCTGATGAAGTGGGAAGGTTGGACGTGAGAGTAGCAATCTAACGAGGTAAAAAATAACGCTAAGGCTACTGAGACTTGAAAGCTCCTATTATAAAATAAAATATATGATGAATACATTTTTAAATGATCAATTCCTTAAAGAAATACTCAGAACACTCTGTTGTCTATTGTTGTTTGTTTAAAATGAACTAGATCATCAAATAAATGTTTACTAACCAATAACCATGATCAATCAGCATTCTCAATAATTCTACTGGTGGTTGAGCTCCATAAATTTCTTTAGTTGGCATATTTAAATCATCTACGAAGAGAATAGCTGTTTTACCCATTGGTGGACCATAAATCCCCTTACGTCTTCTATCAATCTTTGACATAACAATATGCTGAAAAAGAAGATAAAAGTTAAGTAAAACGGGTTTTAGATTCTGATTACTCAGATATTACATATCATTCGACTGATTTTTCGTGTAAAAGAATGTGATGATGATAGCACGTAGTTCCCTAAAGTATGGATGGTGAGGTGGTGTCAAGGCACATAATTTACCAGACAAAAATAGAGTCAAAAAGTTAAGGTTTCAGTACGAATACTGATACGAAGTTCATGCCCTTCTTCTAATGGATTGTGTGGAATAGCGTTTTGCTTTAACAATTGTCAAATTAACAAAGAAACTGTGTAACTGGCATAATCATCGTGTTTTCACTCTCTGTTGTCTGCAACAGAATGCATATCCTAAATCCGTAGATGTCGAGTCACCTGACAACTCCAGTAGGTCGAATAAAGCAGCTCAATCTTCAGAAAGAAGGTAAAGCAATAAGTCCGACAGGGTGCTTCTACTAAACGCTAATTCTAAACACCATAATTTTGAAAATACGTCTAATCACGAAACTCTAGATACTAACAGTTTGAACAGACATGAATGCGTGATGTTAGCTGATGCATAGGAAATCCTTATTAATAAATAAAAATGGATATGTATCGCTAATTATTCATACTTGGTCAAAATTCTCGACTGTCCATATCTTCTTATGGAAACTTTAACAAATGTTTTACAACTGTTTACCCACACACACATACACACTCTGTTTAAAGTGTTTCAACAAAAGTAGACCAATATATTTGTAAGTCCGAGGTCAAATGTTGATCACAGTTCATAAAATTTTGTTTACTATACTTGTTGATTCTTTTTGAATGACTTATGATTGGACAAATTTTTAAAAACAAGTGATGTTCCTTTACATATAAACCTATGTTATGTTAATTTCGATTAATTTCCCTGAAGAAGTTCGGACCAGATTGCCGAACGAAACGTTGGAATTACTAATTTCAATCTCGCTGAGACATTACAAATATAATTTTTTTACAAATTGTCACTGGTGCTTGACACGTTTTTTATCTATCTTTTTATACTACTTTTACTTTCTAAGTAGATGAATAAATTATTCTTCTCTTTTTCCCCATTAAGCCATTCATTTCACCTATAACAAAACATCTTGGGAACAACTAATGGTTGTCAGAAATAGAGTTGAAAAGTTAGGGGGTTTCAGCACCAATACCGACATGAAGTCCAGGTCTTCTTTTTAATGGATTGTCTAATATGCTGTTTTCCTGTGACAGTCGTCTTTCCAGTGTTCGACACATTTTCTTCTCATTGATTAAAGTTGCCCATTAGAAATTTTAAAAGGGTAGATAAGTGAACAAAGAATATTATATTTTTCGACAACTTCATCATCAGGTTCTACAGCAATATATCCATAATAATGAAAGAATTATTGTTACTGACAAAATTAGTGCTTTTTAAAAGAGTAACATCGAATCATTATATCGGAATTTGGAAAGTTATTTGCAATCAGATTGTCAATAGATTTTAGTCCAAAATATATGTATGTGTGATAATATGCATAATTGTAACACTAAAGTGAACTTTATATAGCTTGATTTGTAAGGGTTAGTTATGTTTTTACGAGATGATTACGGATTGATATCAGTTAGAGAACCATTGAAAACCAGCCACATGGAGTACTGGACAACTGTTTCCTCCATCCTAGTTTGGGAATCAGTACGAACCCACTGGGATTCGAGCTTGCCTTGTAATCGGAAGGTCCTAGGTTCGAACCCTGGCAGCGAGAGCGTACTGCCGATGATTCCCAAACTTGGATGGAGGAAACAGTTGTCCAGTACTCCATGTGGTTGGTTTTCAATGGTTCTCTAACTGATGTCAATCCGTGATCAATTATTAAAAACTGAATTGAACACCAATAACACAAAGTATATGACTATGAATGACAACGGATACATGGTAATGAGGTCTCATGAATCATGTTCATATTATATTGTATTCATATTGATTATGAACTTCAGGTGCATCGGCGGCACAGCGGTAGAGTGCCTGCCGGCCATGGAGGTGGTCCAGGGTTCAACCCCTGGCCGACAAGGCACTCGGCCTTTACCTCGCTAAGCAAGTAATAAGACTGGTAAAGAAGGAAGGTTGGATATGAGCCTAGCAACGCCATCCTGTAAAAATAATCACCACTGCTACAGGAACTTCAAGTTTCTAGCTTGAAGCCCTATGTTCCACTGAGAACGTAACTGAATAGAAAAAATGAACTTCAGGTGAGACAATTTTTTATTTAATTCTTTTATCACAGCTTGATTCCACACAGTATTTTGGCACAAGTATGGAATTTTCAGCATGTGATATTGGTAGCTCAAGTTTAGCAGGCCGAGCATTGACATCATGTGCGCGTCGGTTGGAGGTCGAACCGCGGGCCATGTGCATGGTTGGCGAGGCACAAAGTAAACAACTCTACTAGTGTGTGTTATATTGCAAATGTTGAATTACCAAAAGCACGTAAAGGTTATTCTCACATATTCTATCTGAATTCAACCAATTTTATTCTTGAAGTAACTTGGTGAATGATTACTAACAGCCGGAGGTCGAATCCCGGACCGTTAGGTCACTAGATTTTCCTTTCTTTTCAGTGTTTTGTTAACTGATCCTGGTTCTTGAAGATATCTGTATCACTCTTTTCTAGCCAGCTGCTGAAACAGACTTTTCAGACTTAATAACTTAATATGAATAATTTTCGCTGGGCATTAAATATAACGTTGGTGATATACGTAAGCCAAGCTTTTTCAACCAATGAAAAATTAAGATTTTCATTATCCTTACTGTCAACTTCTCATATTCTCTAAGATCCTTTAATCTAAATGTGTTCTAGACCACTGTCGCTTTATTTATTACTTGACTAGTTGCTTAATATAATTAGTGAGAAGGCAAAAAGTAAACAACGCTACTAGTGTGTGTCACATCAGGAGTGTTGAATTAAAATAGGCATGTGATAGTTATTCCCACAAACTCCATCTGAATTCAAGTAATTTGATTCTCGAAGTAATCTGGTGAACGATGACTAACAGTGGAATCCAGGAAGCACATTTCGTCTTATTTGGGAATCATCATACGGATGCACCTGCATACCTCAGTTAGTGATGGTGTCCTAAGTGGGGCACGGACCCTGAACCCAAAATTTCAAAGGCCAAAGCACCATCCCCTAGACCTCTCCGACCACGTAAGCCGCCTCTTGTGCAAGAGGTGACCATTCAATCAACAGAAAAATTTATAACTTTATAAAAAATCAATCATTATAGTAAATTATGCCTTCACAACTTCCACCTCTCATATAAATCATAGTAATAGATGGTTGGAGGCAATCGGCAGAAAGCCCTCCACCTACGTGTCGAGGTGGTTGGTACTCACCAGTCAGTAAGGTGTATCTGCAAGCTTTATGGAGCTAATATCCTTTTTAAGATTCAAAACCGCGTCACCCATTGCTGCAGTCACAGACTTTGCCACTGAGCTATCCGGGTTCGTGATTGATTACCTGTAGGGCTTTTATGGATACTTAGATTGGACACTAATTAGTAATCAGTGTAATGCGTCTAATCCTTTGTTTGGTGCATACTCAATCCCCATGCTTTAGCATGGCTAGCTACCTAGAATGGCCGCCACATTGCAAATTTGACTAATAGAATTCAGTCTCTGCACCAAACAAAGGATTACACACTTTACACTAATTACTAACTAGTGTCCAATCTAAGTACAGATCATGTTATTGAGCATAGCCTCAAGGTTAAAATTTAAGTTGATGTAAATCAAAGTCGCTTTTGAGTAGCCACCAATGGGGACCAAGTTAGCTGCTTCCTCCTATTTATCACTTTTCATATGAATATAACTTATGCAGTCACTATACTTGGAGAATATCACTTCAATCCAATAAAATCAACAGCAAGAAATTTTCAGTGTAAATGTCGCCAAAAACGAATATCACTTTGAGAATTACTGAAAGCCAAGGGGCAGGGGAAGCTGTTTCATTCACACTTACGACTCTTCATCTGTCTACATAAATAACTAGACCCAAACCGTTCGCCAGTACTTGGCTAGCCTTCAGCATTATTTCAGGTTAGACTACGGATTGATATCGGTTAGAGAACCGTTGAAAACCTGAGAGTACTGGACTCTAGGACGAAACAGCTGTCCAGTACGCCCTGCAGGTTTTCCAATGGTTACCTAACTGATGTCAGCTCATGATGATGAATTCCTGTTACCAGTCAATCAAATCCCTACAAACCAATACTTGAAAATCAATGAGATGCTCACTGGCGACTAGCTCTATTCAGGTAGGTAGTAACCTGGGGTTCTAGTAGAGTGCATCAGGTCGGATGTGAGGACAAATGCTCGCCGAAGACATTGGCTAGTGGTTACGCCATGTTGTGAATTGGCAGAAGTTAGAATTCATGCACTGTCTGGCCATTGAATCGGATCCCAGTGATTGGCTTAATGGTCTACAAGCTAGCTCGCTTTGTAACCAGAAGGTCCTAGTTTCGAACCCTGGTGATGGGTGCGTACTACTGAAGAGGGTACATTGTCTTGTATGTTAAAAATATGCTGTTATCGATGCTCACTAGACTTTATAGTCTCTCAGGAACAATATTTTATTTAACTAAACCAGTCACATACTGGGTATTCGGCTTCGATTCGCCGCAAACACACTCTGAAACTGTCTAGTTTACTTAATCAATAGTAAGTTTGCAAAAGATGCATGGTTGGAGGGTAAGAAACACAAAACCACCACTACTGAAATGTCAAAGTTTGAGTGAAGAGGATTTCACAGAAAAAACAAGTAAGCAACAGACAGTATATGATGATTATTGAATTGAATTTTAGATTTTCCCTTCGACTGATTGGACCAAAGTGCTCGGTCTCAGATTGACATGTTGGCTTCTTGTGCAGATGCTGACAAGTCCCAAATAGGACGAAATGTGCATCCACCAATTAACTTCTAAATACATGCCCAGACATCTGCACAAGAAGCTGACATGTCAACCTGAGACAAAGCACTTCGGTCCAATCAATCGACGGGAAAATTTAAAATTGAATTAAATAATTTATATAACCCGTTGCACAAGAAGCAGTGGCTCTCGTGGCCCAAGTGGTCTAATGGATAATACTTTGGCGTTTGAAACTATGAGCACTGGGTTCGACCCTCACTGGGAAATGCAGGTACATCCAGCTAGTTGGCGAGTCCCAAATGGGACGAAATGCGCATCCTGGTGGATTCCATTGCTAGTCACCATCCACCAATTAAAAGTATATGATGATATTGATGATTGAAAAAAAATGCAAATTACCTGAGTTTGATTTGCACTTGTTTGAGCAGAGAAGTTAATAAAATAGGCAACATATTTTTCTTTATCGATTTCTCGCATTAGCTTTTCTTGAACATAAACTGATTTTCCAGTTCCCGTTGGTCCAACATACAATAATGGACGACGTTTGAATATGCATAAATCAACGAAGAATTTATAACGTGCTGTATCCATTGTAGGTACAATAATTTCACGAATTTTTCTATCAGAAAAATTTTCATTTGTTTTATTCTTATCATTCCAATGTTTCCAAGATCCACGACTTTTCATCTGTTTTCATTTTTTTACATATATTAAATTAAAAAAAATGAACTTTAGTGAATTTGTTCAAGACAATTTGATTCGAGTCAAGTGAAGTTAGGCTAAATACCTCCTTGTCGCATAATGAAATGGGTTAATTAAGAAGCAGGTCACACATCGGAACAGCCTGATGCGTTCAAAATCATCAGCGATACTTATTGTGTGATGTCTTAGGATACTGTGGTGTGTTAGAGAACCAGTGAAAACCACCATGGAGTACTGAACAGGGGATTCGATCTAGTTTGGGACTCTTCATCAGTACGAATCCAGGAGTTTCTGGTTACAAGGAAAGCCACTTGGGACCGGACTCCTCAATGGTCAGCGGATGAATTCTAAATTCTACCAATTCTTCATTTTTGCATGACCATCACATTCAGTGCCATTGGCGAGTATTTGTCCCTAAGTCTGAACAGTGGTGACCAGTGCGGCTCACTATCAGGGTGGATTTGAAGAAAAAGCACTCGCCAGTGATATTGGCTGAAGGTCCCGCTGAAATCACGAATTGGTAGAAGTTGAAATTCATGGGCGATTGAGCCAAGTCCTAGTGGTTGAATGATCAACAAGCCAGACACAAAAGTGGCACAGATGAAGGATCATGTTTCATCTTCGTCTGAGTTGATATTCTTTTATACGTTCACTTAACGTATTCTTGTTTATTCTGTAACCTTAGGTTATGCTATTTCTAGCTTTCTGTCACATTTAATCCTACCTGTTACTTCATATGCCGATATGACGTGTTACAACTTTGACCATGCTAGGTCCTACATTGAAAATACTTTTTTTTCTGTCTGTCGAAACATTGTAACTCGGAAAGTGTATTGCTCTAATTATCAATATACAGTAGGCGAATACGAAAACCATTGGAAAGATCCGATGGAGTGCTATAAATCACCTTGAATACTTTCGATTTGTCCGCCAACTGGACACTGTCAGATAAATACGATAAAATACAGCCTTATAAGAAAAAATTAAATTCACTTAAATATACATAAAGAATAGTTAGGTGGGCAGAGCAAGAAAGATGTGTACGGATGACCACTTACAAAGGGAATTTCAATATATTCATGATTCCTTGATGGAGATGGGCTATCCGATTAGTTTTATATAGAAACACTGGATTGGATAAAAAACCTGAGACGACGACAGCGCATAGGAAACCACTATTTATTAGGTTACAATTTAATGGGAACTTGTCAATTGAGATTTTGTTCCAGAAACTAATCATGAGTATATGAAGAACTTTTTACGCAGCGAAACTGTTTGTCCCTCCCCAGTCGACGAATAATTGGGACTCAAACGAAAGATAAGCTAGACAGTCTTGTCATATGATGGATGCACTACTAGACAGCATAGCCAACATGCTCCTGAACATCTGCCATCGTGGTTTAGCAGAGGACAGACAAAAACCATCCGTAGCTCAGTCTGGTCACATTTAGATGGTAGTGATCATTTAGTGGAGAAAACGAAAGCATTCAAGATGGCTCATCACATCTCACCGAATCTTTCCAATGGACTCTGTATTCGTCTACTACATATATAGCTGAGGCGATAGGCATTCATACTATTAAGCCATTATCCACCCCCTTGGCCAATTAAGATCCAACCAACTGATGACGCCATCACCACACCTTACTTGCATTTTTCAACCCCTCTCTTATCATCCTTTAGTCTTATCACATCTTCATTAAAACATAGTTTATTTACTTCCCATATAATCTAGCATTACTTAATCGGTTCATTTGTTTTTCTTAGCCTTTATCGACTACTACTTCTACCTGAACATTTGTTTGTTTAATCGTGCTGTTTTTCGTTATTCTCGCTATCACAGAGCACTCCACTTTTTCATTTTTGTTAATGATAGAATTATTATTGACAAATCACCTCCCCTGGTTTATATTTAATATTAATTTGAACAAAGCAAGAACTACAGTTTTAGCAGAATTAAATGGTATCATCTTTTATTTCGTTGCCTTCTCGTCAGCCGCTTACAGGGCAAAGACCAAAAAGCTTACGTCAAAAGGGAACAAATACTTTAAACAGTGCCATCGCCAGGCATCTCCTCGACATGGGTCATGAGGTGGACGCCGAAAAGTCGTTCAAAATAATCAGTAGGCAAAAGAGCTCAATTCTCCTTTAGTTTGCTGAAGCCTTTTCCATCAAGCGCCTGAAACCTGATTTATGCATCCAGAAAGAAGCGGTTATCAGTCTTTCTTTGCCCTGGTAACTGGATATTTTTCATCTCTCTTTCATCCGAATGTGAAATGCTGAAAAGTTTCCATTGTGTATGATTATTATTGTTCGGAATAGTGTTTAATATTGCATATATATATATGTATATATTATTAGCGTATGCGTATTTTCATTGGACACTAGTAACTAGTGTGACGTGTCTAGTCCTTTCTTTGGTGCAGACTGAATTCTCTCAGTCAGGTTTTACAATGTGGCCACCATTCTAGGTAGCTCGCCATCACAGTGCACATTGATTTTTTGATATTAGATAGTTGGAGACAATCGGCAGGAAGCCTAGTGTCAGTTACTATTCTCCAATGGAAATACCCACTACAGTCCTACAGGAGGTCAATCGCGAGCTCAAATAGCTCAGTGATAACGTCTCTGACTGCTGCTCTCACTAGGTGACGTGGGTTCGAATCTCACAAGGGACATGAGTTCCTTCGAGATTGCAGATACGCCTTGCTGACTGGTGAGTGCCAACTAGCACGAAACCTAGGTGAAGCAAGGCTTCCTGTGGTCGATTGCCTCCAACTATCTAATATCAGTGTATGCGTATATTGGTTGATTTTTGTTTAAAATGAACTCTGTGGAAGTATGTTAAAATTGTTTTGTAGATATATTTAATAATGTCTTTGCCCTGTAAGCAGCTGACGAGAAGGCAACGAAATAAAAGATGACACCATTTAATTCTGCTAAAACTGTAGTTCTTGCTTTGTTCAAATTCATTGAGGGGAATAAATGTATGAAATTTATAAATTTATGTAGATTAGAGTGAAGCTTAATAAGATCTGACTTAAAACAATATTGTTCGCCTACATGTGTTGTTCTAAACATTAAGAACTGACATGATAAAATATGAACAGGAGTATCTTAGTATACCACGAAGTTATCGTCATTATATCCCTATGCAAACAATTGACGAAATGAAATGCTTATTGAAAAGTGACTGTTATTAAGGCAAATAAAGATTTATAAATATGAACCAACATATCAAGAATACTGGAACAGGTAAGCTTAAGAATTTAAGCAAAATCAGTATAACATTCATCAGCTGATAGGCATAAATTATATATATGTCCAAACCAAGTTCACTTTTAACAGTTTGAAAAAATTTAGGCATTGGGTATGTGATATTCATTATAATAAAGGTTTTTTTGTATTTCCCAATGAATGAAAAACAAAACGATATTGTCGTTGTTTTTACTGACGTTTCGCTATTTAATGCTCCTGCTAATAGCTTTATCAAAATACTAATAAACCAGAATTTACATAACAACTTAATCATATTTCTTCAGCTTGGGGTCATTTTCGCCTTGTCAAGTTGGCCAATTGCTAAAGATAACAAAACCAAGTGTAGATTGTTAGATTTGATAAGCGTGTAAAATTGTAAAAGCAGTGTGCGTGTGTTAACATAATGAAATCGCTTATCACATTCGTGTTGATTTTGTCACTTCATGGGGAAGGGAGGTGTTGTAACTAGGTCAAATTCTGCTTTAGTCCATCATTCAACCTTTTCAGACAGTTTGGATTCCATCTGATATGAAGTGCTTCTCAATGCTATTAGACGTTCTTTGTAATTTCTGAAATGCTTTTTCTGGATTATTTCAACATTGTCAAAATCAATTTTGTGGCCTGATTCTATGGAATGTAGACAACTTTTCAAGCTTTTCTAGTTCGCTAAATGGATTTCTCAGTGGTGGAACAGAGTCGGCTCTACGGTCTTCATTCCTTCTGACTTTGATTTCTCACTGGCGATGTTTGTTCGATGTATATCGCATCACATTCCAAGCAATGTGTCTGATGTTTTGAAGAAAACTCTGATGTCAAGCTGCTTGAGTACTCTTCTGATATCGTTTGACGTTTCTGATGGTCTATATGAAATGACAACTGTTGAGGTCCATGTTTTCGGAACACATTTTCAACCATACTTACTGTCAGTGTTGATTTTGTTGATGATGAAGTTCTTTGGGTAGTTGTTTTACTTGAGAGTCTCAGTGATGTTTGATATTTCTTCTTCTTTTTATTTCTCATCCGTTAACATCTCAAAGAGTGTGCTAATCTAAGAAGACTTGAAACAACTGATACTTTTGCGCTGATAGGGTGTGATGATTCGAAGAAATCCAGTTAGTGAACTAGAAAAGCTTGAGAAATCATCAGCCATAGCTCGTCTACTGAACACCCTATAACATTCATCCGTTGATATACATTAAAAAATTTACACACATACACAGACTATGACCACACTTACCTTGTAGTAAAAATCATAGACAAGACCAGACTCTGGAAATGGAAACTCCAGTCGTTGACCCAACTCTTTTGGTAAAGGATGATTTTCATTAGTACCAGCCATTAAATTTCTTAGAAAACGATCAAATTTCTTTCGACTATTGTAATCTAGACAACCAGCAATACCCCATATCAGGCCGAATACAATAGATGTTTGTAGCCATAATCGTAGATAACGATTATCACAGGCGTCTTCTTTATTGGCTACATCTTCAATAAGCATATCAACAAATCCTAAGCATGACGTGACTAAATTCGCTTGACGTGTAGACACCAAAGTACGACATTCAGTTTGTACAAATTCTAAGCATGGATCTATTGCCCATTCAAGCATTTTATTGATAATAACTTTCCCGTCACCAACTGTCAGAGAAGATGGTAAACGATTCATCCATGAAAGAGCAAGTGGACGCCAACCTAATGATAAAGGTTCCATGTATATCATACCACAGCGTGATACTGTAGCTGGCTGTAAACAGAAAATTAAGAACAAGTTATATATATATATATATATATATATATATATGTAATAAAAGTGAATTATACAGGATATATATCTCATCATCAACAGGAGGGATTTGAAAGAGGTTACTTCTCTCACTTATCTAGGGAGAATTGTCTCAACTACAGGAGGAACGGACGAGGATGTCAAATCGAGAATCGGAAAGGCGAGAAACACATTCATCAACACGAAGCCAATCTGGAAATCTTCGTCACTCAACATCAACAACAAAAAAATTCGAATTTTCAATACAAATGTCAAGTCAGCTCTTATATACGGATCAGAAACTTGGAGGGTCACAGGTTGCAGACCTTTATCAACAACTGTCTTCGTTCTGTACTGAACATCAGATGGCCGGAAAGAATCACCAACAAGAAACTATGGGAACAAAGAAACAAAACAAGATTTTCATCATGAGCTGACATTGGCTTGGGGTCGTGCTATGTCGTGAATTGGCAGAAGTTAGAATTCATGGACCATTGGATCGGGTCCCAGCGGCTTAATGGTATACGAGCTCGCCTTGTAACCAGAAGGTCCTGGGTTCGAATCCCGGTGGGTGCGTACCGCTGAGGAGCCTCAAACTAGGACGAAACATCTGTCCAGTACTCCCAGGTTTTCCAATGGTTCTCTAACTAATGTCAGCCCGTGGTGAAAATCCTGTAATCAACCAAATCCCTACAAACCAATACTTGAAAACAAAACAAGAACCAATCACCCAACAAATATGTAGGAGAAAGTGGAGATGGATTGGACACTCGCTGAGGAGGCCGCTGGTTGACATCGCGCATCAGGCCATCGCTCGAGTGGAACCCGAAAGGGAAGTGGTGAATGGGAGGAGATCGTGTGAAGAGGAGTTGAAACAGTGTGGACTAACATGGATGTAGGTGAAAAGTTGAGCAGAAGACAGAAGCAAGTGGAGACGTGCAGTTGAAGCCCTATGTTCCACTAGGAACCCAAGGGAACAATAATAATAATATGTCTCTAATATGCTGCAAAACTGGTCTCAGCTTCTCAAAAGAATGGTAATAGACATATCAAACCAATGTCGATACAAAAACTCATCTAACTGGCTATGTACCATATCATTTCGGGGAGCCGTTTACCATTCTCATGCGTTTTTCTTTTCAGGTGGGCCCAGAATCCTTCAATAGAATTTGTATGTGTTGAATTTGTGGTAAATATAGCCTCTCCAATCGTCCACGTGAATGACAATGTCTGAGAGGACGAGTCTTCGCATAATTGGCATAAAGACATCAGCACTTCTGTTCGCGATGCGTTCTACAAACCCTTTAGGAAGATTTGTGTTCCAGAACAGTCCCAGCACCCAAACATAAGTACTGTTTTGTCAAGAAGAACGACGACCACAACTCCTTCAAGTACACAAGTAATCCCATTGACCTTTTGTGATGTAATATAACAACAGTACTGGTACCACTTCAGTGGTGACATTTCAGTATTCTCTGTTTCCTCACTTATAGTAGGTTCTGATCGCTTCAGTAGCCAGTTGTGGCGTATACGCCATAGAGTTTCAATTTCGAGAAGAAAGTACCTAAAAAGTAATCATAATGTACGACTTACCAATCATTGCAGACTTCCTGATATGACAGTAATGGCAAAGTTCAACAATAGCATCTCAAGGATGCGAATGCACGACTGACCTTCAGCCGACCAATCATCAAAATGAGGAATTTTTGTACAAAAAATGATGTATATTTACAAGAAAATGCATGAAAATACATTAAACAGGGCATGTTTCTCTGATATGACTTAAAAAGACGTCCCAGTTATAATGAGGAGTATCAGTTGCTAAGTTAGACTAGTTTCTGTTCATGTATTCACCGAGATGACTAAAGATGAGCTGTTTTTGTGAATTGCTTATCTCTTTTATCCTGTTGTGCAATCTTCTCCAAAAGGCCTTGGTTGAATTATTATGGTTTCCAGTCAGAAGATCGACAACTACTTACCAGGAAAATGTGGGTAATAAAACAAATTCAAATAAATGACATCAACTCTAAATCTATCCCTGATCGTAAACCGAACCCTAATCCTAACCGTAAACCCAATACTTACTTTAACCCTAATCTTAACCCTAACGACATATTAGCAGATTGCCCAAACAGCACTTAAAAACGTTATCTGAGTGAAATTTGCTGCTTAGTTGGTGAATAGTGTTGATATTTTAGCTATGATAATGATAGCTGCCGTCAGCTAACGACTAGTAGGCGCTCAAGGTCATTGCAGCGTTCACATTCATGGGACGCCACCGTTAAACTTCGCCCCTATATCTTGTAACTCGTTGTTTAAAGATTGAATGAATAGTACCAGTGAAGTGCAACTTCATTCACATAATGCACCAGATGCACTTCTTGACTTTCTGGCCCTAGATTTTTTACTTGAATATGATATATATTTATCTCTATCATTACTGAGATGCATCAATTTAAAGCGATACAATTTTAAATGTCACTGAACAATCTGTCATTTATCTGAGATCCTTTTTCCGAAACGACAGGTATTCAATGTCTTGATAGAAAACTTTTGGAATATTATTGTGAAAATTAGTGGATAACACACCAGGTGGTTTTCATGAGGCTATCGCGCTAACTAGTGGATAAATTCAAGAAAGATTTCTAGATATTCTAAACGATGTCTGTGATGTGTCCACTAAACTAAGATTTTGAGGATGAATGTTCATTGATGATAATAAATGATGCCCACAATATATTTTAAAATTAATTTGGGCAGAAATATAGGTTTCGAAATTCGTGCCTGTTGCTTTAAATGTCGTATATTTATTGCAAGATATGAACATCCTGAGTATCACTGCATTATGGATAAAATTGTATTTTGATAAAATCACACAATGTTAGACAGTAATATTTACTGATGACCACGTTTCAAGCACAATTTATCGCTGCTACTCATAATCATACCAAGGCACTACTCACACAACTTTCTTGCTTCATTTATATACATGAGTAAACATTAATGATTAGACATCTGAATAAAATCAATATAAGATAAAGTACATTCGAGAGTAATATTAGTGTCATCAATCAAATACAATCAGATAGGATATAAGATGTTTTTATAGTCAAAATAAGTAACTTATTATGTAGAGATATGTGGATGACACTTTCACAGTTTTAAAAAGAGAACATATCTTTAGCTTCCTGAAGCATATAAACCCACTAGTAAAGGGAATAAAATTCACATTTGAATCGGAAAATGAACAAGGAGAATTAGCTGTGTTAGACTGTAAAATGAAACGAACGGAAGAAGGTAAACTGCACACTAGCGTTTATAAAAAGCCAACGGATTCTAATAGATATTCAGACTTTGATTCATCTCGCGCGTTATCTATCTGTGAAGGCAGGCTTAGTTAAGTGTCTAACAAACCGAGCAGTAGCACTAATTAGTACAACAAAAGATCTAAATGATGAAATGAAACAGATAGAAGAACGACTGGTTGGTGTTAAATAACTATCATATAAAATTCATTAAGAATGTCAAAAAAGGTCAAAAGTAAAATAAAAATAATGGTGAAACTAATAATGGTAAGATAAATAAGAAAGAATGTAAGGTATCTGCAGTTTTGCCAAATAGGGAGGGAACATCTGAGACGCTAATTAATATTCTTGATAAGGCAGGAACTAGGTTGGCATTTAAACCTACCAACTCACTCAGGTAGGAAAATCTCTGTTGGCTAAAGGACCTTGTAGGCTGACCCATTTAAACAAAATAATATAATCTACAAAATACCTTGCAATGACTGTGGGTTAAGTCAACTACATAGGTAGATCAAACTAGTAGTGAGATTATCAGAACATACGAATTTAGCTAAGGTCAGAATGATTGACCTCGCAAAGATAAGTAATTTAGAAAAGAAAATCAGCAATCGCACTGCATGTTTTAAACACACAATTGTGTGCGAGAAAGTTAAAATTCTAAAAAGCAATATAGTTTGGTGGAGAGATTGACTGATTACTGAATCCTGGTTCATAGAGTCTACACCCAACACATGCAACAGAAATGTGTCAATTCAAATACCAGAGATATGGGAGATACTATTACCAGTCAAATCAGAGGATAACCAATAGTGTTAAAATGTATTTCAATTCACATTGTAACAAGTTACTTATTTTTACTATGAAAACATATTATTTCCCATCTCATTGTATTTGCTTGATAACACTAATATTATTTCCGAACGTACTTTATTCCATATTGATTTCATTCAAATGTCTAATCATCAATGTTTACTCATGTATATAAATGAAGGAAAAAAGTTGTCTGAGTAGTGCTTTGATATGATTATGAGCAGCAATAATTTGTCCTCGAAACGTGGTCGTCAGTAAATATTACTGTATAACACTATTTGATTTTATCAAAATAAAATTTTATCCCCAGTGGAGTTACACTCTACCCCATTGCCCAAATTTTATCCTTATATCAATAATCCTGAGTACCAGACACTGTTTAGCTGAGTCGCATTATTAGAATATGCAGACCAAGTGTGCACGTTCCTTTTCCAATCGACAGGAACTGGCTTACCTACAGTGAATCATTATTTCATGTAGTAGCAGTAATAATACAGGGTTTTAATTTTTTTTAGTATTCAAGGCAAACGACAATGCTACATGCCAAGTAATCCACAACGGGAAACTTACGGAATCCCTCGAATTGAGGACAGGAGTAAATCAAGGCTGCCTACTATCGCCAATGATTTTCCTGATTGCAGTAGACTGGATAGTGCAACAAACAGCGGGCAATGAGGAAACAGGCACAAAATGGACTCACACAGAAAACTTGGAGGATCTGGACTTCGCCGATGATATATGTCTGATTTCCCACAAACTGGAAGATATGCAAGCGAAAAGCAACAAGTTGGCAGAATAAGAAGCATCAAAGATAGGACTTCAGGTGAACATAGATAAAACAGAGATGATGAAGATTCCCGGGAAACACCACCAACAGCCACAGCAACAGCAACAGACAACAATCAGCATAAATGGGAGGAACCTGAAAGAAACAACCTCCTTTACCTACCTGAGAAGCATCATCTCAACTACAGGCGGAACTGACGAGGATGTCAAAGCAAGAATCGGAAAAGCAAGACAAGCTTGCACTACTCTCAAGTCTGTGTGGAGGTCAACAACACTCAGAATCAAAAATGAGATCCGGATTTTCAACTCCAATGTGAAGTCAGTGCTACTATATGGATCAGAGACTTGCACTGCGCGTCATAAAGAGCATCTCAAACAAACTACAGACCTTCATTAACAGTTGTCTTCACTCAATACTCAAGATCAGATGGCCGGCCAGTAAAGATCAGCAACAGAGATCTCTGGCAATGAGCCAACCAACCAGGAACCGATTTTGAAACAAATAGGCAGGAAGAAATGGAGAAGGATTGGCCATACTCTGAGTGAAACCATCAAGTGACATCACTAGACCAGCTCTCGAGTGGAACCTGAAAGGGAAGCGGCGAATTCGTCGTCCTACAGTGACTTGGAGGTCATGTGAAGAGGAGATGAAAACGTGTGGACAGACTTGGAGCCAGGTGAAGAATCTAGTAGAGAACCGAACGCAATGGAGATGCACGGCTGAAGCCCTATGTTCCTGTAGGAATTAAAGGAAACAGTAATAATAATAATTCATGACAAACCACAATTGTAACTTACAGAGGCTTGAGATAAATCCATTGTTTCAAATATTAAACTCATTACACGAGACATTTGAATAATTTCTCCAGACATTAAACATAATTTCTTATTATCATCTAATACAGTATTCATACTTTCAATCCATAAAGTATCAATTGGTCCATCGAATATCACCCATTTCCTATCTGGTGTATCAGTCGATGCAAATTCACGAAATGTATTCGCTGTTACACCATCAGTCCACTAAAAAGAAGCGTAAGTAACAAAAAATAATAATAATAAACATTTAATTTTTTTAAATATTAAAAGATGAAATGATCAGAAAGCCCAAAGGTGAAGTCCATCATGTTCCTTTGCTAGTGGAAAAGGCAGAGTGCTTAAATCACCAGGCTATGTATATTCTCTGTCCATCAAAATGCATCGTATTTTGCTCCATTTCGTACTGTTTCAACCATTCAATTTCGTTTACGAATCACAATCCATACTTGCACGCATTTTCATAAATACGTTTCAACCAAATGATATGATGGATGCAGAACTCCGCCAGTCACCGGAACAATCAGGATTCAGGAAAGGCAAATCATGTGCTGACCGAATTACAACTCCAAGCATCGTCATCACAGAAAAAAGCACAGAATGGCTGTCAAACGTCTACCTGAACTCCATCGACTTCGAAAAGGTCTTTGACAGACAGCGTTGACTGAGAAGCAATTTGGAAACTGCTCCAACATTACATTGTGCAGTGCCCAAGTTTTTATCAACCTCAGTCAACAGCTGGCTTTATTACAATGCCAAGTGTCAATGGACGTGAACATTGAACGTTTATTTATTGGAATTGGCAGCCAGTGGTGGGCAACTCGAAGGCGCGAATGGTACGAACGCGTGCAAGTTGGAAGAAGGCAGAAAGAACACGAATAAAAGTACTTTATAACTTCATTTGTACTAAACATTTGTTTGTAGACTTTGTATTTTGTCTTGCTTTAATTGCCAAACAATATAAATTCGTTCAAAGAGTACTGGTGTTTTGGATTTAAAGTTTGGACAAGTACATAGTCTTTATCGGTTAAAAGCGTCTTCGTTACAATGGGAACTTAGGGCTAAGTTCCTTGACACCAAGTGTCAGGTAATCTACAACGGAAAACTCAGCGAGGCGTTCTAAGTGAATACGGGAGTAAGACAAGCTAACTGACTACTGTTGCCGATGATATTCTTAATTGCGGTGGACTGACTGGATTATACGTCAGACTGTGCGTTGGGAGTGAGAAGAGAGAAATACATTGGAACACCGATAAGAAGACTCGAGAATATCTAGATTTCACGCGTTGGTGATTTGTGTTTAATGCCACACGGACTCGAAGACTTGCAGGCAAAAGCCGACAAACAGGCTGGCAGTGAGGACAGGGATCCACTTGAACATAGAGAATACGGAGGTGATGAAGATAAACAACCACCACCAACAGCAACAACAACCAGCACCAATCACCATCAACGGGAGAGACTTGTTAAAGGTTACTTCCTTCACTTATCTAGGAAGCATTGTTTCAACTACAAGCAGTCGGAACGGGTGAAGATGTCAAAGCTAACCAGAATGGAGAAGGCAAGATACGTCTTCATCAACCTAAAACCAATCTGGAAACCAACGAACGAGGAACAAGATTCGATTTTCAACACAGATGTGAAGTCGGTCAGTTCTCCTATACGGTTCAGAAACTTGGCGGGCGTGTTACGAAAAGGATTTCCAACAAGCCACTGTAGACTTTTATCAACAGCTGCCCTCTTCTCTGGTTCTATACTGAAGATCATACGGCTGACCAGAAAGAATTAGCAAAAAGAATATCTGCGAGGTGACGAACCAACGAAGAACAAATAGGTAGGAGAAAATGGAGATGGATTGGGCATACGTTGAGGAGACCGTCGAATAACATCGCATGCAATGCAGGCCATCGCTCGAGTGGAATCCAAATGTGAAGCAACGAATAAGTCGTCAGTGTGAGAGTGACATGGAGTAAATCGTGCAAGGAGGAGATGAGAGATTATCGCCAATCGTGGACCCAGCTGAAGAGGACAGCAGAAAATAGAAGAAAGTCTCTGACTGCAGCACTGAGTGACGCCGGTTTGAATCTCAGTAGGGATATGAGTTCTTTCAAGGTTGCAGATACGCTTTGCTGATGAGTGTCAACTAGCACGAAACCTAGGTTAGCTAAGGCTTCCTGCCGATTGCCTTCAACTATCTAATATCACCAAATCAATGTACACCGTGATGGGAAGCTACCTAGAATGGTGGCCACATTGCAAACATGACTGATAGAATTCAGTCTGCACCAAAGAAAGGACTAGACACGTCACACTAGTTACTGATGTGTTGTTGAAGCCCTATGTTCCACTCGGAATCCGAAGGAATAATGAATAATAATAAACTGATATGAATTTTCCAAAGGAAAAGGAGGAAAAACACTGTGGAGTACTGGAACATGCTTCGGATGGAAGAATACTGCTTCAAATAATAATAATACCATCGACTGTTATACTACTCGAAGATTTCGCAAAAGGATTAAATATCTTACAATAAAACATGCTGAAGATTGTGTATTGTGCATAAATGCATTCTCCAGAATAAAGCTATTATTATCCATGGCAAGTACAGGATGTTATGTCTAACCTGCAGTGCTTCACATCCACCCGTTTATAATGGTAACTAAATCTATGAATAACATTTGAGGAGAGTTGCTTTATTGCATATCCCTGCTAATTGCAGCGTCATATTCCATCGGTATGGTGGCTTAATGACAAGTTCTATGTCTTATTTGTCTTTTAGGTGAAAATTTACTCAAAACGTTTTTTTCGGAGGTACATATCATCGCTGGCATTATGTTCTTGAAATGCGTCACATTTGCTGCACTTTTATCAGGAAATGTTGCTTGATACTAACTAATATCTACGCAATGTAATGGATTATAGGAGGCAGTAAGTTTGAAAGTTAAACGTATATTTTGGGATTTTCATGAAATTATGCGAGTATATTTGACCTGTTTATTGAAATTATCGAAATTATCCACCGGGTGAAGCAAGTGGTATCACTTCGTCCGTTCATTTAGCTAAACTTCGTAATGACGATCATAGCTGATTAACAGAAAGAGACAGACTTTAGAAAGTAGTACTTAACTTTGCATGATTTTCTGACTGACACTGTCTAACAGTGTAGGCATCGATGGCGCAACGGTAGAATGCTCGCCAACTATTCAGGTGGTCTGGGTTCGATTCTCCAGCCCAGCGCTTCTAAATCTTGTCTAGTTCTCTAGCCGACAATCAATCCGGAAAAGTGGAAGGTGTGGTCGTGAAAATAGCCATTCCACTCGAGGATAATGATGCCACCTGAACAGAAACATCAAAAGTAGCTCGAAATCCTACTTTCCACTTGAAATTCAAAGAATGAGTGGGAAAAAGAGAAGCACCGAGCTAGTTAGTGATATGAAAAATTCACCTGCCCCGTCTCTAACCACAGAAAAACTATTTCCATGAAATCTAGTTCAACTTACTTCATGAGAAACAGGATCAAATTCGCCAAACAACTGTCCCATCGTTATCGCCTTAGGATTAATCGTTTTATAAATAACTTTTTCAAATTCATCATGTCCACTTTCATTTAAACGTGTCATTACTGCGGCCAGAGTGTGCAGCACGGTAGTTTTAGATCCAAATGGTTCACCAACGAGCATAAATCTGTGTGGAAATGCGGAAAATGATTGTGTGTATACTTGGAATACAAAATACTTCTACTTAAAAGCTTTGAATTAATCAATCTTCATGAGGTTAGACATCTGATGTAGAAGTGCATAACTCATATAAGAGCGGACCTTTCTGTTTATGTGGTCACGAAAATTGATAACCGGAAAGAAAATTGTACCTAAATAAAGACAGATTTCTATTAAAACAGTTTGGTTGGGTTATATAATCAGTTTTCTCTTTGATGTTAAATGGATGATTATTAAGGAAAAGTCAGTCTTTGCCCTCAGCAGCATGCACCTATCAGGGTTCAAACCCAGTATCTCCAGGCCACAAGGTGAGCCCGTAGACCATTTACCCACTAGGACAGGATAGCCTATGAATTCCAACTTCTGCCAATTTGCGTTATATTCACGAAACAGCTGTCTAGTACTCTTTTGTTTCCCATAGGTTCTCTAAGTGATGTCAACTCGTGGTCAAACCTGTAAGCGACTGAATCCTCGCAAACCAACAACACTTCATAAAAAAGCAGTTTGCACCTTTAAGATAGTGAATATTATCTCATATACTATCCACCTGTCGATTGTTGTTCAAAAAACTACCTAAGCTATCTTGTCTTTCAACAAACAGCATAACGCTGAATGATGGATTTTTGGAGAGATGGCCGTTTTCTCTAGTCAACAGCAGAAAGTGACAAATAGAAAGCGTGGACTTTTACAACATGTAGTCGTTTGGTAGATTATTATTCCCTTGCGTTCCGAGTGGAACATGGGGCTCCAACAACACACCTCCACTTTCTTCTATTTTCTGCCATCCTCTTCAGCTGGGTCCACGATTGATCAAACTCTCTAATCTCTTCCTCACACAATCTCCTCCATTTCAATCTACGACGACCTACTCGTCGCTTCCCATCGGGATTCAACTCGAGGGTCTGGCGTGCGATGTCATTCGGCGGCCTCCTCAATGTATGCCCGGTCCATCTCCACTTTCTCCTACATATTTGTTGAGCGACCGGCTCTCGCCTGTCAGTTTGTTCCCATAGTTTTTGGTTGCTTATTCTTTCTGGCCAGCCATCTGATCTTCATTAGTATGGAACCAGAGAAGGGGACAGCTGTTAATAAACGTCTACAGTGGCTTGTTGGAAATCATATTCGTGACACGCCCGCCAAGTTTCTGACCCGTATAGAAGAACTGACTGACTTCACACTTGTGTTGAAAATCCGAATCCATCTTGTTCTTTATGGTGGCTGAGTGAAGCAGAAGATTTCCAAACTGGTTTCAGGTTGATGAAGGCGTATCTTGCCTTTCCGATTCTGCTGGCTGGCTTTGACATCTTCATCCGTTCCGACTACCTGTGGTTGAAACCGTGCTTCCTAGATAGGTGAAGGAAGTAACCTCTGTCAAATCTCTCCTGTTGATGGTGATTGGTGCTGGTTGGTGTTGTCGTTTGGTAGATGCAGAGAATATTTTGCAGCCAAGAATGTGAAGGCAAATAAACCTGCATGGACATCAGAGACAGTATTTGGACAAACACCACTGAATTAGCCAGTCACTTCTCTGAGATAAATGTCACCTTTAATCTAAGAAAAATTATTATTATAAGACATCAGTGGAGGATGATTTTGTTCAATGATGTCATAAAAGACGACAATGTAGTCAGTGTAATCACAACCATGTCTGAAATCCATATGGATTTTCAAATTCCTTTCTTCCTGAAATACAATAAAGCGAAGAATTATTTTAGAATCTTAAATTATAATATACCAGGTACTGGGATGAGGAGACCGTTGGGAGACATCACGTGCCAGGCCATCGCTCGAGTGAAACCTGACTGCGAAATGACGAGTTGGGCATGTAACTGAGGGTGACACATGGAGGAGATGGTGTGAGGAGGAGATGATAACTTATGGGGAATCATCGGGCCAGATGAAGAGGACTGTGGTGTTGAAGACCTATTTTCCACTCGGAACCCAAGGGAACAATAATAAAATAATAACAGACACCGGGATATAGAATTGATTTATCTTTAATATCCCTCTATAGTAATATTTATTTTTTTATTCCTTTACTTTCCCAGTAAAGCATAGAGCTTCAAGCTAAAGGCTTGAAGTTTCAGTAGAAGCAGTGTTAATTTTTACGAGATGGGGTTGCTAGCCTCATGCCCGACCTCCTCTTATTACCAGTTTTATTACTGCCTTAACGAGGCAATAAGTGTGTCGGCTGGGGAACGAACACCAACATCTTCATGGTTTAATTGAATTTTAGATTTTTCCGTCGATTGACTGGACCGAAGTGCTCGGTCTCAGGTTAACATGTCGGCTCCTTGTGCAGATGTTTCAACGATATCTGGGCATGTATTTAGAAGTTAATTGATGGATGCGCATTTCGTCCTATTTGGGACTCGTTGGCAACTGCACAAGAAGCTGACATGTCAACCTGAGACCGAGCACTTCAGTCCAATCAATCGATGGGAAAATCTAAAATTCAATTAAATATTTAATATGACCCGTTGCACAATAGACAGTAGCTCTCGTGGCCCAAGTTTTCTAGGGGATAACGCTTTGGCGTTTGGAACTATGGCCACTGGGTTAGAGCTTCGGTGGGAGCATCACCACTCACTGGGGAATGCAGGTACACCGAGCTGACGAAATGCGCATCCTGGGTTCCACTGCTAGTCACCATCCACCAATTAAATTCTAATCACCTTCATGGTTGGCGAGCATTCCACCGCTGTGTCACCGACAAGTAATATTTATATCAATAATTATATTTATACTTACCCATGTCGTACAATCATCATTTCATAGGTTTGTATAATTTTCTCAGTGAAAAATTTAACAGATTGTATATTTCTTTCTTGGCATACTTTATGTACTTCAGCTAAGAAGATACTATAATCTGCTTCAGGTAATACAATGCCAGGAAATAGATCTGAGATAATACCACGAAACAGCGGGATGTCATGTGATAAAAACTTTGGTAAATTCACATCAATAATTGATCGTAGAAGCTAAATTTTGTTAAGGAGGGAAAAAGAAAAACAAGACATACGATACATATAGATGTATTGGTAAAGATTTCACTTACAAGGGACACTTTTCATCAGCCTAATTCACGCAAATTTCACCAGTTTTCCATATATCATTCTGATTATATTACTACTCTGTTGCTTGGCATGTAAGTAGCTTATTTAAATTATGTGGAGATTTCAAAAAATCGTGGACTGAAGCTTAACAAAGACTGGTAGTTTTCTAATTCTGGCTTGATATCATATTAAATCAATACACACAATGAATTAATAGGCTCCATTATAGATAAGATTTTATTTTGATAAACCACACAGTGTTGTACAGTAATATTAACTGATGACCACTTTTCGAGCACAAATTATTACTGCTCATAATCATATCAAGGCAATACTCACACAGCTTTCTTGCTTCATTTAGATACATGAGTGAAATTGATGATTAGACATTTGAACAGAAATCAGCGTAGGATAATGTACATTCAGAAATAATAATATGAGTGTTATTGATCAATTACAACCAGATGGAAAATAAGGGAGACAAGCTGTGTGGGCTAAAAGACCTGGTGGACCCAATTAAACAAAATAATATAATCTACAAAATACCTCGCAGTGACTGTGTGTTAGGTCAACTACATAGGTCAAATTAGTAGATCAGGAGTAGTGAGATTATCAGTACATCAGAATTTAGCTAAAGTTAGAATGATTGATCCCACGAAGATAAGTAATTTGGAAAAAAGATTAGCAGCAATCTTACTGCATGCAATAACACACAGCGACACAACAGAGTGGGTGGGACAAAGTCAAAATTCTAAAAAGTAATGTAGGTAGGTGGAGAGAGAGGCAGATTGATTACTGAATCCTGCCTGGTTCATCGAGTCTACTTACATCCAACACGTGCAATAGAAGTGACTCAATGCAAATACCAGAAATATGGAAGATATTGCCAGTCAAATCAGAGGAGGATAATAAATGATCTTAAAATTCTATTTTAATTCACATACATCATAACATTCTAACAAGTTACTTATTTTGACTATAAAAACACTCGTCTTATTTCCCATCTGATTGTATTTGATGAATAACACTCGTATTATTATTTCTGAATGTAATTTATCCTATATTGATTTTTATTCCAATATCTAATCACTTTCACTCATGTATATAAATGAAGTAAAAAGTTGTGTGAGTGACTTGATATGATTATGAGCAGTAATAATTTGTGCTCGAAACGTGGTCATCATTTAGTAATACTGTATAACACTGTGTGATTCATAAAAATAAAATCTTATCTATAATGGAGTGATACTATACCACAGTGCCCAAGTTTTATACTTAGAGTTAATAGGCTTTTCACATATGGAGCTGAATGTGCTGAATTCACCAAATTTTCTGTTACTGAAATAAATATACCCTTGCCTTCTCCCTTTAGCTAGCCATGCTTCTCGTTTATTTCTGTTATTTTTACGTTATTTTTTAGTTCCTTTCTGCATTACTAATGTGTTTTTTTATCCAAACTTTCTGTTTATTACACTTTGTGATTTTACTCATTCGCCACTTGAGCGGAAATAGTTCTGGAACTTTCTCAACCATATACCAGAAATACGCGAATGTAATGCCTAGTTGATGACTTCGTCAAAAAGAAATTTTTTCTTCGCTTCAACCGTCTATTTAATAATTCCTATGATCCAGTATATATATATATATTCCATAATAAATTTGTCTAGCTCAAGATATGTGGTAAAACACTTTAACCTCTTGACATCCTATTGTCCTGAGATCGATAGGACATGAACAATCTATAGCTGACTAAATAGATATTTCATTTTACCAGCAAACAAATGCATTACTCATTTCAGTAAATGGATCCATTATTTTTCAAGAGTTACTTTGTAGAGATTTCATTTGTCCGAAGTCTGACCACGGATTGATATCAGTTAGAGAACTGCTTGTTTTAAGTTAGAGAATCATTGAAAACCACCAAGGAGTACTGGACAGCTATTTCAATATGCATCCATCAGGTTTCGAGCCTAGGACCTTCTGGTTACAAGGGAAGTTCTCAAACCACTCAGCCACTGAGACCCAACTCAATGGCCAGCCCATGAGAATACTAACTCCTTCCAATTTCGTGATATTAGCGCGGTCATCAGGCAGTGTATCGGCGAGTATTTATCTTCACTACCAACTGGGTGGCACCACTGGTCACGACTTCTCACTAACTAGAACTCTAGGTACCTTCGTTCCGTAGCCAGTCACTGGCCAACATCAGATTAACTTTTAATGTTTTTCTTATTCCTTTACATTCCCAGTGGATCATAAGTCGTCAAGCTAGAGCCATGAAGTTTCGGTAGTAGTGGTGTTTTATTTTTACGGGATGAGGTTGCTAGCCTCATGCTCAGCCTCCCCTCCTTACCAGTCTTATTACTGGCGTACCGAGGTAAAGGAGAGTGTCGGCCGGGGATGGGATTCCGGACTACATGCGTGGTTGGCAAGCATCCTACCTCTGTACCACCAACGCACAGTTTTTAAGAGTTAGTTTGTAGGAATCTGATGTGCTGCAAAGGAACCTAATTCATTCACTCTGCTTTAGGATAAGGAACATTTGTAGTTCTGATTGTGTTGACTCAGAACTTGACTTCTTAAAAGACACGCTCGCAGAAGACGGTTACCCTAACCGATTTATTGACAGCAACATGAAAGATGAGCAGCCTAAACTGGTCACCGACTCAATTCCAAAGAAAACCTTATTCATCAACTTGGAATTCAAAGGTGATCAAACTTCAGATATGCTCAAAAATCGTCTCTCTAAAGCAGTCAGTAAGACGTTCTTTGCAGTAAAATTACATATGACGTTCACTAGCCACAAGTTGTTCTCTACCTCTGCAAAAGATAAGCTCCCCCGTCTGGCCGTCTCCATGTGATGCATCTATCAGTTCACCTGCTCTTGTGGAGTAAGGTACATTGGCCGTTGTCAGAGGACTCTTTCCATACGGATACGAGAACATATTCCAGCATGGGTTTACAAGGGAGAAAGGAAGTGTGTGCGAAGCTCTATTCTGGAACATACTTGATCGACTTCTGTCACTCTGTCAACCCTGACCATGATTTTGAGATCATCTACCGAATCCATGGTAACTTCCCGTGTTTTCTTCGTCACAGACTTCTAAAGACAGCTGAGGCCTTAGCAATTCATGACTTTAAGCCAGACCTTTTTGTACAAAAGAAGTATGTACAATCCCTACTTCTGCCTTGGTCGTAGAGGGATAGACATTTATTTATTTATTTAGTTATTCTGTGTACCTTTTACTTATTACTACGATTATTATTATTCTTACTGTAAATTGTTTCCACTTGTCATTCTAAACCCAAAATTATTATTTTTTATTTTTACAATATTTAATTCTACCATATCAAACTTCACACCATGTTATGTAACACTTTATTTCGCCTACTAATCCTATAATTATACACCCCTTTGCAACATCTATACACCTTATGTATTATTCTATATATGACATTAATTGTTTTGCTACTTGACATTCAACTGTGATCATAATCACAAATATTTTAATTGTATTTCATACTTAATATCAGTAAAAAGTTTGAGCATTGTGGATTAGATCAATTAAAGTATAATTATATTTCAATAGTTTATACAATGATAAGTTTTGTTATTAGTAATATTTCGAGCAAAATTACTGCCCGTGTTCACACCACTGTTGGAATTGTTTGATTTCATACTACCAATATTATTTCATGTATTCACATCTTTGACCTAATTCCCTAATTTCTTTTAAAACACAATATATATACGATTGTGTAGCTTGAAAATAAATTCGTTGAAAAGAGTCTCTTTGCTGAATACTATGTTCTTAATGCAATTGTTATTCACCATTCTGCTCCTAGTTACACAATATTAAAGTACATCGACATGAAGCCTGATATTTCTATGCACCAAAAGCGCATCCGTCGAATCTTATAACATCAAGTAGTAACAATGGTCTTCTAATAAGTGCAAACTGGTCATTTGTGAAAAACCCTCGGATTAGTAAATTTGACTAAAAAATAGTTAATTTTTCCGCCATTTAAATTGCTATGATTAAAACAAAATGGATGGATATTACTTACAATAATATTTTCATTTTCATTTGGATACTTCAGTTTTAAATTACCAGCAGCTTGTAGAACAGCTTTCACTGCACGCATACCATAATCATAATGTGCTTGTGAGGAAAGTTGTTCTGAGCATAGACGATAGGTGGTTACAATTTTCACAGATAAACTACGCGCATCCATAAAACCATATGAGTACAATGAAATTTCTCCAATCATAGCATAATCTGGTACCATCATAGCTACTGGACGAAAGAGAACCTGGAAAAATAAAAAAATACCCACAGAAAGTAGAATCTTTTAGGTACACCTTTCAACTTCAGTATTAGTATCAGCAAATTTATAAAAGCAAGTATTTTGATGTGGTTGTGTTCTCTGAGCTGAATAGTTAATTTGCGAAGCTTTCATCGCCCTACTAGGGGAAATCTTCAAGCATACTTTAATTTGAAGTGAGCTTTTTAATCTAAAAACTTACTTCAAATTAAAGTATGCTTCAAAGATGTCGCCTAGTAGGGCGATGAAAGCTTCGCAAATTAAATATTCAGATCAGAGAACACAACTACATCAAAATCATCCACCTAAGCTACAAATCTTCTCCATCATACCTAAAAGCAGGTATACTTAATAGTCTTTGGAAATTGCTTAACCAGAATTAACGTAAAAGTATCCTTTTACCAAAAGACGCAAACCCTTATGCATCAATCAGCACTTCAAGAATATCAGGAAGGTGAAAATAAATAATCCTGATTTATTAAGTTCCTTACCACCTGAATACAGACTAAAAAACATTACACGCTACATAGAGTCCTGTTATAATTGTTTTTAATATTGTCATTATTATATACGGATCAGACAATTGGCGCCGCGTCACGAAAGGCACTTCGGACAAACTACAGACCTTCATCAACAGCTGTCTTCGCTCAATACTACTAAAGAACAGATGGCCGGTCAGAAAAGATCAGCAACAGGAAGGGATCTCTGGGAGCGAACCAACCCAGCAGGAACCAATTGTGCAACAAATATGCAGGAAGAAATGGAGGTGGATTGGCCATACTCTGAGGAAACCATCAAGTGACATTACTAGACAAGCCCTCGAGTGGAACCCGAAAGGGAAGAGGTGAATTGGTTGTCCAAGGGTAACTTGGAGGAGGTGATGTGAAGAGGAGATGAAAGCGTGTGAGCAGACCTGGAGCCAGGTAAAAACTTTAGCAGAGGACCGAACGTACTGGAGACGTGCAGCTGAAGCCCTATGTTCCTCTAGGAATTAAAGATAATAATAATAATAAATAATACACATCCTAACACAGTACTCCACCTTTACACATATAGGCCAAATACATAAGTCAAAGCAGTAAGATGGGGTCAGTGAGACTAGCACAGTACGAAAACTGTAAAATCTAGATTAGATGCTTTATATATGTCCAAACCAAGTTCACTTTTAACATTTTGAAAAAATTTATGCGTTGGGTATTTAATGTTCATTATAATAAAGGCTTTTATTGTATTTCCCAATGAATGAAAAAACAAAACGATATTGTTGCTTTTACTGATGTTTCGCTGTTTGATGCTGCTGCTAATAGCTTTATCAAAGTATTATTAAAGCAGAATTTACAAAATACACTTAGCTTATATACAGGACCTTAATCATCGTTCCTCAGAGTTTTCTTCAAAACATCAGACACTTTGTGAAACCTCACCCATATAAAAGACCGAATCCCTTAAGATTCTCCATCTAATTGTGTCCATAAAATAAAATGCTTGATTGGAATGTGATGCGATATACATCGGACAGACATCGCCAGAGAGAAATCAAGGTGGTCAGAAGAAATGTACACCGTAGAGCATCTGTTCGACCACCGAGAAACTCAGTAAGTGAACTAGAAAAGCTTGAATAATCATTAGCCATAGAACTGTCTACATGCCATAGAATCAGGTCACAAAATCGATTTTGACAATATTGAAATCGTCATCCAGAAAAAGCATTTCAGAAATCACAAAGAACATCTAATATCATTGAGAAGCACTTCATATCAAATGGAATCAAAACTGTCTGAATAGTCTGAATGATGGACTAAAACAGAATTTGAGCTGGTTACAATCTTCCATCTTCCACGAAGTGACAAAATCAACACGAATGTGATAAGCAATTTCATAATGTAAACACACGCTGCTCTTATGATGTTATACACTTATCAAATCCAACAATCTACATTTAGTTTGTTGTCTTTACCAATTGGTCAATTTGACAACGCAGAAATGACCCTATACTGAAGAACGATGATTAATTTGTTATACATAAGCTAAGATTTTGTAAATTCTGGTTTAATAATACTTTGATAAAGCTATTAGGGGCAGCACTAAATAGCAAAACGTCAGTAAAAGCAGCAATATAGTTTTGTTTTTATTCATTGGGAAATACAAGAAAACCTTCACTATATTAGGTGACCCTAATGAGATAAGAATTATTGAACATAGCTCAGCCATTGCATTAAATGCAGTTACACACAACCATACAATAGGACAGGATAAGATGACAGTCTTAAAAGCTAATATAATAGGGTGGAGAGAGAGACAGTGAAACGGTCTTCCACTGTGTAGATAACTTCGATCAAACTAGCAAGCACTATTGGTTGGTATAAGGTGTATGCGACTACTCATATCAACCGGTCAGTAGTATATGCATACCATAATGCATATACTGCTCTAAAAACAGTTACTAAATGCCTATTAAATGGCCTATTGTAGTTAATTAAAGATACCCAGTCTGATCTGATCATGTAATTAAGAATTTCCGATTTGTGCATTTAACTCGTCGACATGCGTAGTACTGCACAGTTGCTTGGATTGACATTTGAAATAGTCTTAGTGACATTTAGGAAAGCGATCAAATTAAGGTAGTTGATCTTACACCTGTCCCATTATCATTAATATCGACGCACAACTTTAGGTACATTGAATGATGATCAACGGGAATCGAATTATATATATAATTGAGATTTATAGCTCAAATGGATGATTTTGATGTAGTTTTGTTCTCTCAGCTGGACAGTTCATTTTGGGAAGCTTTAATTAAAGTATGCGCTGAAAAGGTAGCCTAGTAGGGCAATGAAAGCTTTGCAAATAAACATTCCAGTCTAGACTACACAACCACATCAAAAAGAGTCAAACTGTTATGTGATTTCAAACAGTGAAGTCAGGGATTTTTGTTTTACATTGTAATGTGACAAAGTAAAATTTCTGAGAACCTAATATCAGTGATAAAAGCATTTCAAACTGAAGAGGAATAAAAGTAGATTCGTAGAACTGACCTCACAATATCTCCCACTGGCAATAGAAAGCCCTACCTTTTGATAAATGATTACTTTTAAACTGTCTTACAAGCATGATATATATATATATATATACTTTAATTCAATTTTAGATTTTCCCATCGATTGATTGGACTGAAGTGCTCAGTCTCAGTCAGGTACATCCAGCTGGCGGACGAGTCCCAAGTAGGACGAAATGCTCATCCTGGTGGAGTCCACTGCTAGTCACACCAGCCACCAATTAAATTCTAATTACATGATATGTATATGTACTCTTCACCATGCTGGAAAACTCACTTTTAAGTTGTCTGGTAATTCAGATCGACCAGCATAACCAGGATTCATTGTAATACATACATAACAATTGGGATTTAAATTCAATTCAGTGCCTTCAAATACAAATACTTCTAGATGTGCTTGAATTGCACGTATAATACAGAGAATCTGTTTAAAGAGAAGAAGAAAAAAGAAATTCATTCATTCAAGTAATGATACAAAAATTTTAATAAAAAGCCAATTTGTACTGTTATCTAATCTGTCATGCTTTGTTTTTCCTAATTCTTTTGCGTTCCCAGTGGAACATGGAACTTCAAGCTTGAGTTTCGAAGTTCCGGTAACAGTGATTTTTATTTCTATGGCGTGGGGTTGCTGGTCTGACGCCTAACCTTCTCTCTTTGCCGGAATTATTAACAACTAAGGGGGTTTGTGAATGCATAGACCAGGGATCGAACCCAGGACTATGTGAGTGGTTGGTGGTCATTCTAACTCTGCGCCAGTGACGTAAGTGTGTAGTACTACGTCTGTGAATTCTTCACCATAGAATAAAGATCCACAAAGAAAAATTTAGACTTCACTATTAACACTTATGTAAATTAGCTAGGCCAAGTTAAACTTTAAGCATCACTAACTACCAATCAATCAGCGAACGACCTCGAATGGTCCAATGAGGTTCATGCGCCTGAGTTCAAGGTTGTACAGTGCATAATTCGTATCAAATGCGTGCCCTAACGAACTTACGTTTGCAGTTCGAGGAGGATAAAGTTTTGCACTATTGCCTGGATGTGAGGTTGCTTAGGAAGGAAGGGAAGGATTTGTTCATGCGGTGGTGTCATGATTTTAAAAAGCTTTAGTAGGTCAATTGATGGATATATTCATTGTTGTGCAATTTGTCTGAGACGAGTTACTATTAAGGGAGGCAAGCTGATAATTTTCATATTTTGTAGGAACATTTTTTCCTAGGTCGCATCTCTCCCTAACCCAGATTTTGTATATTTGTAACTACTGGGTTTTCAAACAGCCTGTGAGAGGCGCAGCTGCTGAAACCGAAAATAGCCTCGTGTCAACAGTTCAGTGGTACCAGCACTGCAGGGACACCGCCTCATGGAAAATGGAGAGAATTGCTTCGTTGTTAGGCGGAGAAGGTGTCGTCGTACAGATGGACGAAACCGTCTTATTGAATAAAAAATACAACCGTGGTCGTGAGCGAGTCAGCAATGTTTGGATGATCGGTTTATATGACATCTCCCTGCGGAAAGGATTCATGGAGAGAATACCAGACAGAAAGTCTACTACTTTAATGCCTATTATTACTAGACTTGTGAAACAGGGAACCATAGTCCACACTGATGAATGGAAAGTTTATAACTCACTGTCGTCTCTTGAATATATTAATCACAGAGTGGACCATCCCAGTGATTTTGTGGATCCCATTACAGGGACACACACAAATTCTATAGAACCATTTTGGGGAAGACTGAGAAATAGGATTAGGGCTATAAATGTATATCAGAAGGATCTCATTTATAGTCATTTGGATGAACATATGTACAGAATGTGGTGAAACTTCTCTATTGACACTCCTATGCTAAACTGGGAGATGTTCCTATCACATTTTACAGAAGGATACCCTATGTAATAATTTTATGCAGTTTATATGCTTTTTTCCAAGTATACGTTTTCCTTCATCGAAATTCCCTCTTTCATGCGATTGGTCGGTTGAAGGTCGTTCACTGATTGGTAGTTAGTGGTGCTTAAAGTATAACTTTGCCATTAGCTGTCCAGGTGGTTCTCTATTAGTGAAAACAAGATGAGTGTTTGACACCATCCTAGAACTATTCATTTGCGTGTATAATGACCAAAGTATGTTCTTGTTTTCCCTAAAATTAAGAACTGAATTACTTACTAAGATACTGAATCACGAGAGTTATTGCTTGTGCTGTACATGTTCGACGCTGTGCAGACTTGCTCCTGTTTAGCGAATTAGAAGGACTGACTTCTGTCAACATGTCGACCTACTTCATGAATATTTCGAATACCTCCATGACCTTCATTCTGGTGTCATTTATTTGTTTATGGTGGTTCTAAATTGCATCACTTATTATTACCCGTATAAATGACACTTGTATAAAGATGATTCGCTTATCAGGCTGTCTATAATTAGGCCAAGCAAATAGTCAATGCCAATAAGTCAGATTCAGTGAAGTGAGTGAAACAGTGTCAACCATCTTAGATAATTGACTATCTGTTTCAAATTCGACAGGCCTCTCCTATGGTATATAGCATTTACAGGGCATATATGATTCCTTGGAATGAAAACAAAACACGTAGATCAGCGAAGAGTCCCTTTTCCGCGGCGAATTCATTTTCTTAGCTGTACAATCGCAAATATATATATATATATGGGTTATTTTGTATGTATGTGTACATTAAGTTTGTCAAACAAAAATACAATTGGTCATAGTTATTTTAACTAAACAGGTGAAGATGGGTAATTGGAGTTACATAATACAAAATCAGTCAAGAAAATTAGGTGTAAATGAAATTAGGGTAGTAACAGAGGTGATGCGTTGTCACAAACAGTTGTTAAGAGAAGTTATATAATAACATGAATAGTTTGATGAGTGAGTTTTACTCAGGATGCATATAGGAACAAAGTAGATAATACGAAATTACGAAAGAGTTCTAAATGAATACTAGAATTATAAGCAATTAAAGAACAGGCAAACAAACAAAATTAAGTAATCAAAATCAAAAAATCAAATAAAAAACGTTGTTACTAAGACGGTAGAAGTGGTTGAGTAATCGTTTTTTGTATGTACAGCTCCGGTTTTTTGGTTTTGATTACTTAATTTTGTTTGTTTGCCTGTTCTTCAATTGCTGATAATTCTTGTATTCATTTAGAACTCTTATGTAATTTCGTATTATCTACTTTGTTTCTAAGTGCATCCTGAGTAAAACTCACTCATCAAACTATTCATATTATTACGTGACTCCTTTTTAACAAGTGTTTGTGACAACTCATCACCTTTGTTACTACCCTAATTTCATTAACACCTAATTTTCTTGACTAATTTTGTATTATGTAACTCCAATTACCAATCTTCACCTGTTTAGTTAAAATAACTATGACCAATTGTATTTTTGTTTGACAAACTTAATGTACACATACATACAAAATGCCACACATATATATTTGCGATTGTACAGCTAAGAAAATGAATTCGTCGCGGAAAAGGGACTCTTCGCTGATCTACGTGTTTTGTTTTCATTAATCCTTGGAATGACACGATCATCTTTTTGATTCTCTGCTCAAAATTCTCAACTTAACTTAATCAACTTGATACACACAGGTGTTAGGTGGGTAAAATTGTTACTTGATTTATGTACATACCTATCTTATGGTTTACGGGACAAAAAATATTGCGGAGCTATTCAAACACATTCGATTGTGAATAACTAGGCATTTAAACATATTTAATTGAGTGTATTTGAATAACCAAGTAATAGGTCATGTAACATTAGAATTTTTTACTTATCAAAACGCAAACTTGGAAAATTATGAACACCAAAGGGTGCACCACACGAAACCTCATAGTTTGTGCAAGGGCTGGAATACTACCCTGACCTCATTTAACTTGATTTCTGTTTCTCAAGGCAGTTGAGCAGCGCCAGGAGCTACGTCCCAATGGTTGCCAGTGTCCAAAACAGTTTCTTCTCGAACCGTGGACCCCATGTACACCATAGGTTTAGAATTTAGGCTTTGCTGAGCCTCCAGATGGACCAGCATGCCCACCAGTCCGATTGTAAGTCCCAGATATCTGCATTCCCCCTTTCAACTTTGTGAAGAACACCCCCGCAGAGTGAAGGCATCGAATAGGACTCACCTGGCAGAGTCTATGAATGCGTGCCTACATGATAGCATTGCGAGAGGAAGACCGAAATCTACCCACCCTCAGCCATACCAGGTCGTTTATGAGGGGCTTTCTTATTTATATATCTGACTGAAACCAAACTTTACATCATTCCCTAAAAAATGTCAATGCATAATTCCATTTTAATGTGTGATATACCTTAAAATAGTGAAGAAGTATCACATTTATATAAAGAGTTAGTAAGGATCATGATATAATTTTCATCTTACCTGTTGGGCGACAACGGATAAAACTTCTAGTTCAATACGATTGAATTCATCAAAACAAGCCCATGCGCCAGAAGATGCAAGTCCTTTGAAAAACTGCACAGATGTTTGAGAACAAATGAACAAGAAAAATAAATTCAAGATGTTTTTATTTGCAAAAAGAAAGTTTTGTTTATTTAAGACAAAACTAATTTTATCATCGTCATACTGTGGTGACAGCTCTCTGCAAGCCAAAATTGTAGACAACAATTTGCGTCAGTGTTTACTTCCCGAATCGGGGTTATGAGAAAAACAATAACAAAGCTTAACCTTGAGGAACTCAACAACCAATCACGTTCTTATATATATATATATGTTCCAAGAAAACCTCCCGATTTCTCATAGGAGTTCTCACAGTTAGGTCAAGCCAATTTCTTTTTATAAATTTGTTGAGAAAACCATAGATCATCGTGTTTCTTGACTGATTGACCTCCATGCTCTTCTTTTTCAGGTGACTATAGAAACTTTCGATGGAATCTGTATGAGTCTTATCGAAAAGCTAGACGAGATCGTCTGCATGACTAACAACATTGAGAATTTAGCCCAGGGTTAACAGTTGGCTACATGTTTTCTCCCTTCCAATGATCCTGTCTTCTGAGTAGTACTCAACTACTAGGTTTGGATGAAATTTGCTACGTAGTTCGTGTACAGCATCTGCAATTCCCCCTAGATACTACGGGCACATCTAATTGTTCGCTTAGGGTCATTTATCCGTTCATTAGGTAGTGTCGTTTTAGGCTGCTATAGTTTAGAGTCACTGCCTATGAATTCCATCAGGATATATACAGGAATCAAAGTTGATTCCTAGCTCACCTGTCTAGCCTTAATTAAATGATAATCATAAAAAGATAAATTTAACACTTTCTTCCCAGAAAAAAATGAACTTACTTTACCCATAGCAATATAATCCAAACCGTCTGAACAATTGAAGACTACGCATTGAACAGCGATAGCTTTGGCCAAATCTTTTGTTGTCTCTGTTTTACCTGTTCCAGCTGGTCCTTCTGGTGCACCATTTAAATTCAAATGGTAAGCACCAATTAATGTTCGATAACATCGATCCGTCAGTGGAGTAATGACAAGACGAGGTGAATTGCCCAAATATTCATAAGCATATGCTACTTTAGCATTTGTAAGCTTAACCTGTATTGTTCGACAGTGAATAACATAAGAAGACAGGTACTTTATAACAACACAAGTAAATCTGTATCACTTTTTGTACAATGTTTTAGCGATAAGGTTATGAATGAATTTCATTCGATCCATCGAACATCATTTCCTTTAAGAAAAAAACATTCTAACATCAGTTCACTAATCTCCAAGTCGCTTAATTATGACTCTAAATTATTATAACGGTATTTGTAATGGGAAGAAACGAGTGGGCTGTCCTAAGTTGGTGACACGGAAGAGATCATGTGAGAAGGAGATGACAGATTATAGACAATCGTAAACCCGGCTGAAGAGGATGACAAAAAATAGAAGAAAGTGGAGTTGTGTTGTTGAAGATCTATATTCCACTCGGAAGCCAAGGGAATAATAATAATAATGATAATAGTAAGTAATGGCTGTTTATGCACACGCTGAGGAGGCCGTCCAGTGACATCGCACATTCGACTATCCCAAGAGTGTAACCCAAATGGTAAAACAACGAGTTGGGCAGGTGTCCTAGGTTGAAATGGAGGAGATCGTGTAAGGAGGTGATGAAAGTTAATGGCGGATCGTATTATTATTATTCCCTTGCGTTCCACTTTGTTCTGTCTCCTGATGTCCTCTTCATCTGGGTCCACGATTGACCAAACTCTCATCTCGTCCTCACACGATCTCCACCATGTAAACCTAGGACGACCCACTCGCCGCTTCCCACTTGGATTCCACTCGAGTGATGGCCTGCATTGCACACGATGTCATTCGGTGGCCTCCTCAATGTATGCCCGATCCATCTCCACTTTCTCCTACATATTTGTTGAGCAATCGGCTCTTGGTTGGTTTGTTCCCAGCCAGAGTTTCTTGTTGCTTATTCTTTCTGGCCATTTGATCTTCATTATGAAGCGAAAACAGCTGTTGATGTTAGTCTGCAACAGCCTGTGGGAAATCCTTTTCGTGACATGCAGTGCAAGTTTCTGACCGTATAGAAGGACCGACTTGACATTTCTGTTGAAAATCCGAATCTTGTTTTTTATGCTGGCTGAGTGAAGCAGAAGATTTCCAAACTGGTTTCAGGTTGATGAAGGCGTATCTGGCCTTTCCAATTCTGGCTGGCTGACTTTGAAATATTCGTCCGTTTCACCCGTAGTTGAAACGATGCTTCCTAGATAAGTGAAGGAAGCAACCTCTGTCAAATCTCTCCCGTTGATGGTGATTAGTGCTGGTTGTTGTTACTGTTGCTGTTGATTGGTTACCTTCATCACTTCCGTCTTCTCCATGTTCACCTGTAGTCGTGTCTTCCCTGCCAGCCTCTTCTGCCAGTTTGTTGGTTTTTGCTTGCCTGCAAATCTTCGAGTTTGTGTGACATTAGATCGTGAGGCCAGCTAAAGAACACCGCAGGGAATAGGACAAAGCGGAGACGTGTTGTCGAAGCCCTACGTTCCACTCAAAACACAAGGGAACAATGATAATAATAATAAATGGTGTGAAATTATAAAGAAGGAGTCACTGATTATACCTAGAATAGAAATTTCGATAAAAATGTATAAAGAATGATATCCGATAAGGTTGAGTATAGATTTCAAAGAGACACATCAAAATAGGTTGTTATCAGGGATCCCAGCTGCTAACGTAAGATAGACGTGGTATGACTTCACATGCAAAACTCGTAAAGCCGAAAAACAGGTACCAGTTAGTTCCAATGCACACAGCATATGCAGCATAAGAACACCAGTAAAAGTGGCTATGGGCGCACTGAAAAAAGATCAGACGAAGGTAATGATGGTCTAAAAGACAACATCTTTGGCAATCTGCAGAAGATACGGTGAAAAGCAGATGAACTGTGTTTAACAAAAGCTTATTTCACAAGGGAAGAAAAGCACCGTCGACAGAACAAAGGAATAACCATGAGATCATCTATGTATCTCACCAATAATAGTTGACATAATCATGGGATTTAGGAAAGAAGCTTATCGTTACGTGTAAACAATTATTTCGTGATAATGCATAAACATTTTACGGGCATTCATTATAATAGAGGTTTTTGTATTTCCCAATGAATGAAAAACAAAACGATATCTTTGTTTTTACTGACATCTCGCCATTTAATGCTGCTAATAGCTTTATCAAAGTACCAATAAACCGGAATTTAAATAATTTCAGCTTATGTGTATAACAACCTAATCACAGTTCTTCAGCATGGGGTCAATTTTGCGTTGTAAAATTGGCCAATTTGTGAAGATAACAAAACCAGGTGTAGATTGTTGGATTTGATTATTGTGTAAAATTATTAAAGCAGTGTGTGCTAACATAGTGAACTTGCTTATCACATTTGTGTTGATTTTGTCACTTCATGGAGGAGGGAGTTGTTGTAACCAGGTCAGATTATGTTTTAGTCCATCATTTCTATTCAGGCAATTTGGATTCCGCTTGATATGAAGTGCTTCGGTTATTAGACGTTCTTTGAGATTTCTGAAATGCTTTTTCTGGATTATTTCAGCATTGTCAAAATCAGTTTTGTGGCCTGGTTCTATAGCGTGTAGACCACCACCACCTGTGGCTGATAATTTTTCAAGCTTTTCTAGTTCACTAACTGCATTTCTCGGTGGTCGAACAGATGCGGCTCTACGGTGTTCATATCTTATGACTACCTTGATTTCTCTCTAGCGCTGTTTGTCCGATGTATATCGCGGTCGGTCGGTCGGTTTTCGACATAGAACTTTGCACTGATGTGCGGCAGTTCAAGTCGCCACACTCCCTCCTTGTAGCACACAAAGGAAGAGAAGAAAGTAGAAGAAATGCATAATATAGACAGTAAACAGAGGTGTGAGACAAAGGAATAGTAATAACGAAGAACAAAACAGTTTCATTGGAAATCATAAGTCACAAGGAGTGGATGCATCTGTGCCATTGAGAATGATTTTGAGCCATGTCACCAATTGTTTCCAACCATTGGTTTTTACCGTCCCGAGGACCCCAACCAGGAAGCCAGTCCACACCTTCCTACGTGGCCTAGACTAACTGTTGTGGTTTTCATTTACTGGTGACATGTTTTGGTCTGACCGCCGCTAGCTCTTTTCCAGCCTGGCCCTATATCAGTATATCGCATCACATTCCAAGCAAGCATTTTATTTTATAGACACAATTAGATAGAGTATCTTTAGGGATCTGGTCTTTTATATGGACAAGGTTGTTTCGTAGTGTTTCTGTTGTTTTAAAGAAAATTCTAATGTCGAGCTGATTGAGTGCTCTTTTGATATCATCTGACGTCTCTGCTCTATATAAAATGACGACTATTGAGGTCCATGTTTTCGGAATGCGTTTTCGGCCATACTTAATGTCTGTGTTGATCAAGTTAGTAAACTTTTTTTTGATATCATAACGGATGTCCTATTACCGTGGTTATTTGGTTTAGTGATCTTCATTGTTATTTTGACTTTCAATATGTCCTTTTAACTTGACCTAAGTTCATTTTCTCACCCCTTAATTCTTTGTTACATATATGCTGAGATTTTGTAAATTCCGGTTTATTAGTACTTTGATAAAGCTATTAGCAGCATTAAATAGCGAGATGTCAGTAAAAACAAAGATATCGTTTTGTTTTTCATTCATTGGGAAATACAAAACAAACCTTTATTATAGTGAATATCATATACCCAATGCTTAAATTTTTTCAAACTGTTAACAGTGAACTTGGTTTGGACATAAATAATTTTACGGACATTATTAGGTTACCAGCTTTACAAGAAAGTTTCCTAAATATCTGTATTGCCACGACCAGAAGAAGACAGAAGGTATTGGAATCTCTGGTGCGTGTAAATTGGTATACCTATTTAACAAGACTTAATAGTAAAAATTGACAACATCTCCGTGATGCAGCGTTTTGAAGCTATCCTTTCTCCTCTTATTCAGTGTCATGAGACTTGTCTGTAATCCAGAGAAAATTGTCCAATAGGCTAAAGTAGACCTCGATGTTTCTCCGAGACAAAATCACAGATGTCTTTTGAATCACTAAATATTGTTATTTAATCCTCAGTTCTTATAGAAGCATGTAATTCCATACCAATACACTACAGTGATTGTCAGATCAAATACATAGGTCAAAGTAGTAGATCACGGTCAATCAGACTGGCGCAGCGCAAACTCATAGCAAAATGTCGATTAGTTGACTCTAATAAGATTGTAACAATAGAAGGCAAGACACCGAATCCAAGGTATATTTTTCATTAACTAAACCGTTGTTTTAATATATATATATATATATATATAATGTTTATATTCGTTAACCAATCACTGAGCATGTGATTTTGATTTACGTCAAACGACAAAAGATAGAATGTTCAAATATACATAGTTTCTGTCGCCAATGCAGTAGTATTGAACTGTGGGAAAGTATTCTGTCTCCAACATCTCATAGAATGTTCAAATAGATATATCGTATTCCCTTGTTAATGCCGTACTGAACTGTGGGAACATGTGAGAATAACATTCCGTTCGCACACATTGTCTGTATCACACCACTACAAGATAAGAAGTTTGGAGAATGGCTCAGCTATAGCACCACATGCAATTACACACAACAATGCAATAGGATGATGTGAGGTGACAGTCTTAAAATATAATACACCAGGGTCGAGGGAGAGATGGATAACTGAAAATAGGTGGAAAAGTGGTGGTTCAACACCTGTCCCATACATCCGGAAAATTCTACTACCTTTACAACGATAGGAACGAAAAAGGAAACTATGATACGAAAGTTTCGAAGTTGTCTGGTTATGATTATGAGCGATAATAAATTGTGTGCCAGACGTCATTCAGTCAACAATAGTACTATCTCACTGGGTGATATACCTAATAGACAAAAATTAATATAGAACTACACACTGATCACAGTGCCGAAGGTCTGCGCATTTATTAATCATAAGCAACCTCTTTTACCTACCTGGGAAGCATCGTTTCAACTACAGGCGAACGGAACTGACGAGGATATCGAAACAGCGAGGATCGAGAAAGCAAGACAAGCTTTCACTACTCTCAAGTCTGTGTGGAAGTCAACAGCACTGCTCAGCATCAAAAATAAGATCCGGATTTTCAACTCCAATGTGAAGTCAATGCTACTATACGGATCAGAGACTTGCACTGCGCGTCATAAAGAGCACATCAAACAAACTACAGACCTTCATTAACAGTTGTCTTCGCTCAATACTACTCAAGATCAGATGGCCGGCCAGAAGAGATCAGCAAAAGAGATCTCTGGCAATGAGCCAACCAACACAGCAGGAACCGATTGTGAAACAAATATGCATGCAGGAATAAATGGAGATGGATTGGCTGGTCATACTCTGAGGAAACCATCAAGTGACATCACTAGACAAGCCACTGCTCGAGTGGAACCCGAAAGGGAAGCGGCGAGTTGGTCGTCCAAGGGTGACTTGGAGAAGGTGAAGGGGAGATGAAAACGTGTGGGCAGACTTGGAGCCAGGTGAAGACTCTAGCAGAGAACCGAACGCAATGGAGACGCACGGCTGAAGCCCTATGTTCCTCTAGGAATTAAAGGATACAATAATGATAATAAGCATGATTCATTTCGTTTCATAGTAAACATATAGGGGAAATCAGTCATGATTTTTCTTTTATGTATATGATACTAGTGTGATGAATGTGACTCGATAATTCGGCTGAAAATCTTAAGGCGTGTTATCAATCCACTCAAGTACATTGGATTATTAGTGAGAGGGAATTGGAAAAGATTTATCCTTCTGTGTGTGAGAATAGTTTACTGACACGTTTGTTACTGCTGAAGTTATAAATAAATATATAAACAATTTCTACTGAAATTATTCATTCGATCATTTCTCTCGCATGAGTTCAGGTTTCTGTCAACTACAATAGTAACGAGCCAGCTGACTTAGTGGCACACCAACCGCCCTACTAACAACCACTAATACACTTCACAATATGACATAGTCCTTTTTAACTAGTCCAGGAAAGCCTAAGAGGAAACAACAGAGAACAATATGGTAAGATTCGAGAGTTCACCAATTGTAAACGTAGAGATTGAGTGATACTTGACTGTCTTAACTTCTTGATGTAGAACATTAGATGGAACATACACCACAATATGAAAACCAATCCGCATAGTTTTCAAGATTATTTGCTGAATATCTAAAATAACTGTAACATGAATATTATTGCAAAAATATTCATTCAGACATCTATAAAAAGCAAAATAATTGAGCAAAGAATATCCTTTTCAATTATTTCCTCTTCTGGCTCTACTATTATACATATATGTTTATATACATAAAATATTCTAGAAGAGTAGTCAGCAACAATATTAGTGTTTCTTAAATAATATCGATTTGTAAAGTAAGATCACAATAGAATTACAGTTCATTAAAGATGCATAAATAATAATAATATAATGGCAAATAGAATATCAACTAAAATTAGGAAATTTCCAAAAAAAAATTGAGGATCATTCGAACCTAGATGGCCACCGGGGTAAGGACAATGTCTGAAGTAGCTTCCTTCGGACATATAAATTAAGCTTCTTAATGTGGGTCTCAACAGCCAGTCTCAGCAATATTTAGTAATCGAACTGTTAAGGCGAAATTGAGATTTGTTGGTATGCGGTAAATGACTTTGAAAGCCACCTCATTGACATCAATCTTGTGTTCTGTATCTACAAGATGAGATAGAATAGCGCTATGAATAGATTTTGTTTATCCTTCACTTAACCACGCAGTGTGATGTTCGGAAATCCGATGAGAAACACGCCTAGTTGTACGGCCAATGTAACTGGCTCACTCCACAGGAGCAGTTAAATTGGTAGATACACAGACATAGAAGAGGAGAAATTAGGTAGTTTGTCTTTTACTCCCGAAAGCAAAATACGGGTGGTTTTGAAAACATAGCGTAATTCAGCGGTCGGTCGGTCGGTCGGTTTTCCACATAGAACTTTGCATATATGTGCGGCAGTTCAAGTCACCACACTCCACGTAGCACACACAGGAAGAGAAGAAAGTAGGAGAAATGCATAATATACACAGTAAACAGAGGTGTGAGACAAAGGAATAGTAATAACGAACAACAAAACAGTTTCATTGGAAATCATAAGTCACAAGAAGTTGATGCATCTGTGCCATCCATTGAGAATGCTTTTGAGCCATCTCACCAATTGTTTCCAACCATTGGTTTTTACCGTCCCGAGGACCCCATCCAGGAAGTCTACACCTTCCTACGTGGCTTAGACTAACTGTTGTGGATTTCATTGACTGGTGACATGTTTTGGTTTGACCGCCGCTAGCTCTTTTCCAGCCTGGCCATATATCAGCTAACATTCCCCGTCGACGAAGGCGACGACTAGGCATACGTAGCAAATGTCCTAACCATCTCAGTCGATGTAATTTCACAGTCTCGTCGACTGATTTCCCCGCCTTATCTAGGAGCAGGTAATGCTCTTTTCACCGCATTCCTAAGGCGGCGTTGTGTCAATATATCTCGCTGAAGTTATCCCTGAGGATCTGAATTTGTCAGAATAAGGCCACTTTAGAAACTGTTAGTACCTTGGGCTGCCTTGACTTTAGATTCATATTCTTATCAATGAACTTCCCTGGATAACCATTTTCACTCAGCAACCGTTTATTATTATCAAGTTCCTCATCAACACATTCATCCGAACAGATTGCTGTTGCTCTGTGAACCAAGCACTTTATCAGATTGCATTTGTATTTCAAGGGCACGAAGCTGAATACTGAACAGGTGATGTAGGTTTCTTCTTATTGTGCCACCCTACTATTCTAGAATGTTCTATGTATATAAACATATATATAATTTTAGAGCCAAAAGAGGAAATTATCGGCAAAAACATATTTAATAGTCAGCGTAGAATTTCATATGAGATAATAAGAAAGACAAAAAAATATATAGGTTGTTTACCTGAACATTTTCATTCTCCCAATAATATCTTAATTGTGATAACCAATTGAAATCATTTTCTGATGTAACGCCTAATTTAATCATGTCTTGTACAACATCACGTGCATGTACATCAATAGTAACAAGTGCACCAAGTGTAATACGCTGTTGAGCATTCAATTTTCCACGTACTAATCTTACAATATCAACCATTTGTTCATCAAGTTTTTCATGATAATTTTCTAAACCTTTTACACCATAACTAAGTGATTCGTGTACTTCTAATGTCCAGTATATTTGTGAAACACAGAGTACAACTTGTCCAGGCCATTGACATACCCATAAATCACGTCTTTCATCACCATAAGCCTAAAAAGAAAGATATATTGAGGAATAGCAAATGTTATGGAAAAGTCGTACAGTTAACGTTTATATATATATATATATATATATTTTACACAGCCAAATAGGCGTCGACGGTTCAACGGTAGAAGATTCACCAACCACCTATGTGGTCCGAGGTTCCATCCCCCAACTGACGCATTCCTGTACCTCTCTAAGCCGGCAGTAAGACCGGCAAAGAGGGAAGATTGGTTGTCAGATTAGCTACCATACTCTGTTAAAGTAGGACTGCTACCGAAACTTCAGAGCTGTAGCTTGAAGCCTTATATTCCACCCGGGTCAGAACCCTGGTGTCTGCGTTCTGCTGAAGAGTCCCAAACTAGGACGAAGCAGCTGTCCAGTACTCACATGTTTTCCAATGGCCCTCTAACTGTAATCACCTCATGCTGACGGTTATATTATAGAGACGAGTGTGTTTATCTTTGTAACCCTAAGACTTCCTAATATTTAAAATAAAGAGGTAACAAGATGGTCGGAGGCAATCTTTAGGAAAACTTGATGGTGGACTGACAGAATTCAGTTTCTGCACCAACATCGAGGACTAGAAACACGACACTAGTTACTACCTACTATTCAATCGAAGTATTGAAAGCAATCCTATAGGAGGTCAAACGCAAGCCCGAATAGCCCGATGGTAACGTCTCTGACTGAAGCACTGTGTGACACGAGTTTCAATCTCTGGAAAGACATAACTTCCTTCAAGATTGCAAATACGCTTTTTGAAGTGGTGAGTGCCAACAAGAACGAAACCTAATGTCCAGGTCTTCCCAACGATTTTCCCCAACCACTTAATAATAACAGTTCATAGTGTATCATGATGGGCCAGTCACCTAGTATGGTGGCCATAAGCAAACTGGAATGTGATAGAATTGAGCTTTCATCAAACAAAGGTCTTGATGCATGACAAATCAAAATAAAGGAGTGCGCTACATTTGCAGCCTGTCAAAATTTAGAGGCAGAATTACTGACTCTAAACCATAGAAGCCCAAAACGAAACTACCTCATGAACGAATTGATGACCTGGACAAATCTATTTACAGAAATTGATTGAACCTAACTATAAGGACTTCTGTGAAAAACTGGGAGGTTTCTTTTTGGAACATATACATGAATATTATACTATGTAGCCACTTTTAAACATTGTATTATTTGTATATACACGTTTATTTCAAATTGCGCACTTCTACTTCCTACGAATCTGATTGGTCACTACAGGTAGTTTCGTTCTAAGTGTTCGTTTGTGGGGATTTGATTGGTTACAGGATTTCATCATGAGCTGACATAGGTTAGAGAACCATTGGAAAACCTGGGAGTACTGGACAGTTATTTCGTCCTAGTTGGAGACTCTTCATCAGTACGCACCCACCGGGATTCGAGTCCAGGACCTTATGGTTACAAGGCGAGCTCGTAGACCATTAAGCCACTGGGACTCGATCCAATGGCCCATGAATTCTAACTTCTGCCAATTCACGACATAGCGCGACCCCTAGGCAATGTCTTCGGCAAGTATTTGTCCCCATATCCGACATACGGCACCCTACTGGTCACGACTTCTCACTAGAACCCCAGGTAACTACCTACCTGAATAGGGCCAGTCGCTAGTGAACATCTCATTGATATTCAAGTGGGTTCGAATCCCGGTGGGTGCGTACTGATGAAGAGTCCCAAACTAGGACGAAACGGCTGTCCAGTACTCCCAAGTTTTGTTTTAGGCTGTTATATTTTAGAGTCATCGAATAATGTACCAAAATTACTGCTTGGAATAAAGCTATTAACTTATGATATCAACTTCACTTAAAATGACATTTCACAAAAAATTAGATGTCATTATACCATTATGTGTAGTCTACTTTTATATAAGAAAGTTTAATAAACGAACATACACACACACAACTTACGAACGAACAACTTACCTCTCTAGCCGCTGCTATCACATCTCTAACTGACATTATCATAACTTTCTCCACTTGTAACAACCATTTCTCTACTGCACCACGTGCTTCTGATGTACTGATGGACTAAAAGAAATTGTTTAATGAAAATAACAAATGAATATTAAAGCTTAATTATTAGCAAGCCAGATTAAGGTGACGGTATAGTTTCACTGGACAAAAGAGATTATATTGAGAAAATGGAAGGTATTTTGAGTGATCAAACTAAATTCCAGTCTCTTGGTGTTTCCAAAGACCCCAGTGTAAGAGCGGAGAAACTAATGACCGACCCTCTCAAAAAACTGAACCAAACTACAATCTATGGATGTCTTGCTAGGTAGGCGACAAGATGGGTCACTTCGGAGAAGAGTATTTGGAAAAAGCACATTCAGAGGGCAATACACACACTTCCTTAGTTACGTGACAATTAAATATAAAAGAAATGTTGTTTATTTCATCCATATTGTTCGTGTTAACTGCAGTCCTTCGATAAAATTGCTTTTTTTAAAAAACTTTGCTTTATGACCCCCACTCTCACCATTCTAGTTTATTTTAACCCTCTTTTTACCTAGTTTTCTCTATTCCTGCCTTTTCAAATCTTAACCCTGAATCAATATGACACAAATCTGCTTTACTTATTCGTCCGTGCATCTCCTTGAAAGTCCTATTAATGATAATTAGTCCAGCAACCTCATGATTACAGGTTTGTATTTCACACCCCTAATCTTAAAATAACTACTTTTTTCAGAGTAAACCATGGAAGTATTTAATTGGTGGATGGTGACTAGCAGTGGAATCCACCACGATGCGCATTTCGTCCTATTTGGGACTCGCCATATGGATGTACCTGCATTTCTCAGTGAGTGATGATGTTCCCACTGAGGCTCGAACCCAGTGCCTATAGTTTCAAACGCCAAAGCGTTATCCACTAGACCACTTGGGCCACAAGAGCCACCTCTTGTGCAACGGGTCATATTAATTTAGTTTAATTTTAGATTTTCCCGTCGATTGGTTGGACCGAAGTGCTCGGTCTCAGGCTGACATGTCGGCTTCTTGTGCAGATGCTTCGACGAAATGCGCATCCTGGATTCCACTGGTAGTCACTATCCAACAATTAAATACTAATTAAATGCCCGGACATTGTCGAAGCATCTGCAGAAGAAGCCGACATGTCAACCTAAGACCAAGCGCTTCGGTCCAATCAATCGACGGGAAAATCTAAAATTCAATTAAACCGTGGAAGGTTACTACCAGCAGAATACAACGACTGAGGAGGCAGTTAAGTTCAAAGTAAATTCTATTGGACGACCTTTCATTTCAACCTTATATTCAACCAATCAGAATCGTTACTTGTTGGCTTAACTTTCTGAGTGTTTGCAATGCATATATTTATATGATGCATGTTCGTCTGATAAAGTGAATTGTTCTCACTACCTTGGACCAGTCTGTCATCCATTCCTTTTCAGGCAGATTCTGGGCATAGATGTAGTCAGTATTCAGTATTTGTTCTCCAACGTTCAGTCGAATACCTACTCCATTTCAATATGGAATCCAAGTAACAGAGTTATCATGTGTGTTTGTCACATAAATTTACAATTTATCGCTTAAAATTGAAAAAAAAACTGTCAGCGAAGTTACAGAATAACAAGCTAGGAGTGTGAATGCAGTAGTGACGTTGAACGCATCATTTCCATTGGATGAAGCGACCTACCATCATTATAGCGCCACCACGAATGCTGTGAGTCGCTGGCACAGCGATAGGATGCTCACCAATCACGCATGTGATCCGGGACTCGATCCCCAGCCGATGCACTCCTTTACCTCGCTAGGCTGGTAAAGAGAGAAGGTTGGACATGAGGCTTGCAACCCCACCCCGTAAAAATAAACACTGCTACCACTGAAACTTCAAGCATCTAACTTGAAGTCCTTTGTTCCACTGGAAATGTAAAGGCATAAAAATAAAAAAACGAACACTGTGAACGAATTTAGGTGGAAATCTCATCCCCGTCTCATTTTTAAGTACTATTTGGATTATTGGTTGATAACACGTCAGGGTTAGGGTCAGGACCAGAGTTAGATAGACTTAAGATTAGGGTCATGGTTAGGATTAGGACTAAGCTAGAATTAGATTTAGGGACTTATGGTTGGGATGTTTTAGCTGTAGTCTCCTAGTAAATAAGTTTAGGGTGTTCATAATTATTATCTGTATTTTTGTGGTAAATATAAACGTTATTTTTATGAAAAAGGAGCTGGCTTTCTGATTGGTTGATCACCTCAAGGACATTTGTGCGTTCATATTGTTTCTTAAGTTGTCACCAATTCTAGAGGCAGTCGAAATAGGTAACAATAAGGAATATTTGTGACCCAGATTATAAAGATGGATGTTTGGTGTTGTGTGAACTTTAATATTTTGTTGTGAACTGAGAAAAGAGTCAAGACCCCTGGTTATCAAAACATAAACATTCAAAAATGAAATCTCAGAGTCAGTGATTGCTTGCAATTATTAAATATTTCTTCAGGGTAACACGAAAAGGCATGTTACTAATACACACACATCCGAACAAATAGAGTTGTCAGTGAACTGTAATTTAAAAAAACACATTTACTCAAAATCATCTAGATTGTCTAGCAATTATGCTCATTAGTACTGTGGTGAGAGCTGCCTGCTAGCCGAAATTGGTAGACAGCAATTTACGTCAATGTTTACATCCCAAATCTTGGTCATGAGAAAAGAACAAGAATGAAGACTAACTCAACAACCAATCACAGCAGACTTTGCGTGGGCGGATACGATTAGCAGGTATATCGTCTGACCTTCAAAGAGATGGCCACAAAGAGATGACTAATTAACTTTCAGCGAAAAAACAACCAATCAGAAGACGCTGTTTCTCTGCTAATAATAACGAATAATAATGCATATAAAAATCTATAAATATCTCTTGATTTTCTCAATAAATCATCTGTTGCCTGGCCCTTGTCTTCTGTCGTTACAGTACCATTCTTACTTTCCTAATAATTTAAAAAAAAACAGTTACCTGACTCAATTGAACCTTTTCACCTTCACTTGAAAACATTGCTTTAATATCCAAACGACTGTCAAATTCCAGCTTGGCAATACCTTCAAAACACTTTTTCAAATGTGGTTGTACACGAAGTGGATCTTTAGTTTCTGATAAAATCTCCAACATTTCATCATTCGATAGGAAAAAGAATCGTGCAAAATACAAGCGTTTTTTCTCCAGGTATGCATTCAAGCCTTTATTAATTTTATCTAGTAATGCATTGCTATCTTTGATTTTCTCTAGAATTCCAGGAAAATCAGTTGCCTAAATTTTGAAATAAATAAAAAGTAAAGAAGTAGTAATGTTAAAATTAATATTCATTGTTGGGGACATGAGAAGGAGTATGCTATTTTTTTACCGAGTCGTTAGTGAACATATTCGTTTTCGTACATAGGTAGTTTGCTTGAATTAGTGAGAGACTAGAATATAATGGACGCATTAACAGAATATTGTTTGAGAAATCCCTCCTCAGCAGTCTAATCACAGTATTGATGCTTATTCGGATGTTTCAACTAACTTTACAATAATTATGCTTTTGTCGCCTAGACCGTATATCATCATTCTGACATTTGCACATCACATATTGACTTCATCACCCTCCCTTGTCTTTCTCCCTCTTAAATCCATCATTTTAATTCTTCTCAAATATTGGATTGTAGGGATTTGATTGATTGGTTACAGGATTTCATCATGAGCTGACTGACATCGGTTAGAGAACCATTGGAAAACCATCAGGGAGTACTTGACAGCTGATTTTTCTTATTTTGGAACTCTTTATCAGTACGCACCCACAGCCAGGGTTCGAACCCAGGACCTTCTGGTTTCAAGGCGTGCTAGCTCGTAGACCATTCAACCACTGGGACCCTATACATTGTGATACATTGAAAATGTGTTGTTCTACGATGTGATTTTGACAGGGTGAATCAAGGTCACTCTGACCATGGGATGTCTGAGAGAAGTAATTGGGTGTGATTCTTGTCCCTTTTTCTCGCATGAGTTCAGGTTTCTGTCAACTACAATAGTAACGGGCCAGCTGACTTAGTGGCACACCAATTGATCTACTAACAACCTCTAATACACTTCGCAATATGATATAGTCCTTTTTGACTAATCCAGGAAAGACTAAGAGGAAGAAACAGAGAACAATACGATAAGATGCGAGAGTTCACCAATTGTAAACGTAGAGATTGAGTGATACTTGACTATCTTAACTTCTTAATGTAGAAGGTTAGACGGAACATACACTACAATATGACAATCAATTCCTTTAGTTTTCGGGACTATTTGCTGACTTTTAAAAATAACTGTAATATGAATATTATTGCGAAAATATTCATTCAACCATCTATAAAACACAAAATAATTCAGCAAAGAATGTCTTTTTAGATAATTTCCTCTTCTGGCTCTATAATTATACATGCATGCTTGTATACATGGAATATTCTAGATTAGTAGTCAATAACAATATTCATGTTTTTTAAATAATATTTATTTGTTAAGTAAGTTCATTGGAATTACAGTTCATTAAATATGCTTAAATTCTAATAATAATAGTAATAATAAAGATATAGTAGCAAATAGAACATCATCTAAAATTAAGGAAATTTCTACAACAACAAATTGAGGATTAATCGAACCTAGATGGCCAGGAGGATAAGGACAATGTCTGGACCAACCGGATTCTTTTTGACATTTAAATTCGGCTTCTTAATGTGGATCCCAACAGCCAGCCTCAGTAATATTTAGTAAACGAACTCTTAAGGTGAAGTTAAGATTTGTTGGTTAGCGATAAATGGCTTTGAAAGCCGCCTCGTTGACATCAATCTTGTGTATCGTCAGATTTTCGAACATCACCCTGCATATTGGTTAAGTGAAGGACAAACAAAATCTATTCACGTAGCGCTATTCTATCTCATCTTGTGAATGCAACAGAACGCAAGATTGATGTCAACGAGGTGGCTTTCAAAGTCATTTAACGCATAACAACAGTTCGTTCACCAAATATTTCTGAGGCTGGCTGTTGGGATACACATTAAGAAGTCTAATTTATGTATCCAAAAGAAACTGGTTGGTTCAGACATTGTCCTTACCCACTTGGCCATCTAGATTCCAATGATCCTCAATTTGTTATTGTAGAGATTTCCTTAATTTTAGTTGACATTCTATTTGCGATAATATTATTATTATTATTATAATTTAAGCAACTTTTTTTATTCCTTCACGTTCCCAGTGGAACATAGGGCTTCAAGCTAGAGGCTTGAAGTTTCTGTAGCAGTATTTATTTTACAGGATGGGGTTGCTAGCCTCATGCCCAACCTTTCCTCTTCACCAACTTCAATTCTGGCTCAACGAGGTAAAGGAGTGCGCCGGCCGGGGATCGAACCCCGGACCATGTGCACGGTCGGCGAGCGTCCTAACCGCTATGCCACCGACGCACCAACTTTAGTGAACTGTAATTCCACTGATCTTACTTTACAGATCGATATTATTTAAAAAACACTAATATTGGTATTGACTACTAATCTAAAATATTCTACGTATATAAACATATGTATATTATTGTAGAGCTGGAAGTGGGAAATTATAGAAAAGGATATTCTATGCTCAAATATTTTATGAATATTATTATTATCAAAAATCAATCTCACAATGACATTACTGAAAATGCGTATGTTATAGTATTAAATTAGCTTTCAAAGTTTTAAGGGTAATCGGCTTATCTGTTGTGTATGTCAAGAAATAATTCAGGTGTCATTCTCTGAAAAAAACAACAGAAATATCCCAATAATCGTATGTTTTCATATACAATCTTCACACGGCTGATATATCACTGGTCTTGTTACTCAGATTCGTGATGATTTCCTCGAAAGTATGATTATTCTCGGGAGGTTGGACATCCTAGAATTTAGATGACTGAGGCGCAAAAATATCCCAAATACTTCCTGTACAATAATACACTGAGATTTAAAGAATATGCCCAAGGATTTTTTGAAAGAAAAGCTATTACTCTGCACAACTTTAATGTAGTCTTACCTTTAAAACATTAGGATCTTTAACTGTATTCTTCATAATATCTTTGAAATTACGATTAACCACTTGAAATAGACGTCCTTCTTCTGGCATTTGTTGCATAATATCTTCTGAACTAAATATTGGTTCAAGATATAACCATTGGGCTTGCATCTTCAACCATTCATCTATTGTTTCTTGTATATGCAATAAGCGTTCCTCCCATGCCTTTCAATAATTGAACAGGGAATGAATAGTGAGTATTTTTTAAAGTAAACACGTTTAGAATTATTAGACATTCAATTAAATTTATAACCTATAGCCTACAGTATTCTTCTTTGTCCATGACTACTGTTGTTCTTTCTTTTTCAGCTGGTGGAATGACGACATCCTTCCTATTTTTCGGCTTTCTGAGGGCCTTCAGTTCTTGAGCGTTGAGTTGTGTGTGTTGATTTTTTCTGTTTGACCATTGGTACGATCGTTTGGCGTATCCCTTCTTGTGTTTCCTCGTTCAACTTTGATGATTAGAGTAATGATTCAAGGGTAGCGAAGAAATCAGTTTTCGAGGCATCTCCGGTGTTGTAGTTTAATCCTTTTTGTAGTAGTTGTTGCTCCATTTTTGAGAGTGGTTATTTTGATAGGTTGACTATGCAGTCAACAGGTGCATTGGCTGGTTGTTGTTTTCTAATTTTGGCTAGCTTGGTTTCGAGAACTCTCCGTCTTTGTTCTAATTGCGGTGATCTGCGTTGAGATATTTGTTGATCCGATAATGTGATCTGTAATCATTAATTTGACCATTCGTCTTCCACATTGTTCGACCAATTTCCATCCCACTGGGCAGTTAACTGGTGGTTTGTATCTGACACTGGTCGGTAGGATTTGATGACGAAGGCACTCATGGAGAAAGAATAATTGTTCTCTGGTGGATCCTTGCTTTTTAGCGAAGTCTTCCTACTTTCGAACAGAAAGAAGCGTGTTCCGATAGTAAGATTTAGATATGATGGAGAAGATTTGCAGCTCAGGTCGATGATTCTGATGCAGTTGTGTTGTTCTCTAAGCTGGATAGTTTATTTGCGAAACTTTCATTGCCCAGCATACTGGGAAACATCTTCAGTGCATCCAATTCAGAGAACACAAATACATCAAAACACAGCCTATAAAGTCTTTGAAAGTTTCAAAATGGTAATCCCATGAAATACACTGTCATACTTGTAATAGCTGATCAATTGGACAATATTTGATCCGGTTAACATAATTAAATTATTCAAAAGATGGCAACTGAAGCAACACTTTACAAGTTGTATCACAATGAATTTAACCACTAAGTAATCATTATCCCTATCAGTTAGTCTAAATCATAAAAAATTGTACTGAAGTAGTACTGAGTAGTTCTGCCTATATGCCTAGTCTACAAATCCAACCTGATTGAAGTAGGACTGCACATAAAAAGGAATGAATATGAAACAGCTTTGTTTGAAGAAATTACTGAAGAATTGACTTTAGAGGGCTCGACAATAAAAGAAATTAACTTGGAATATCTCCAAATGTTTCAGAATTATTCAGAACTCTACAAATATCCGTTGTTTATTGAGAGATCGATGGATTGTGATCCCTTAGAGAAAGAAGCTTCATTTCCTACTGAAATCAATCAGCTACAAAACATCAATTCACAAAGCTATACAGTCATCTTTAAGATTACAACAAACAGCTATATTAACGAATGCTAATAGAAAATAATTAAAATGTTTGAAACTCTATACTACTGATTAGTTGAGATGAGTAGTTGCGTCCCATTCATATCAACCAGTAGTGCTTGCTAGTTAGCCAGCCAGCCACGTTGAGGTGGGACTGAGCTCATCAGCGGTGTACATGGTTTGACTCATGTCAACCAGCCCAATCAGTTCATTGACATCAGTGGTGTACAACTACTTAAATTAGCCAATCAGTAGTATATAGTTTTATACAAAATTAATAGTTCTCTTGATTACCATTTATCGTATGAAGAATTTCACATACTGTGACTTGAAAAATTTCGGTTTCTAAAGGAAATTACGGTGAACTGAACAGATTTAAAATTGCTAATCAATTTGAAAATTCTGAAAATGTTTCAAACCTTCGAAGTGGAACAGTCTGTCCTCAATAAAGCGAATATTCTTACCTGAAGCGGTTGTGCTTCCTTAGATTTCCTCTAAGTATCTAGACGAGATACCTCTCGGAAATGTGCTTGAAAATAACTTGTTTAGTAAGCTAATGTTACCAACCTCATGGTAGAAAGAAAATTCATTTCATACGCAGCAAATTGTTCATCGATGGTTCAGCGGTAAAGTGCTCTCCGACCATGCAGGTGTGGTCAGGGGTTCAAGTCCCGGCCGCCACACTCCTTTACCTGCCTTAGTCGGTTAGAATCCAGAGAAAGCAGGGGAGAGGTTGTGTGTGAGACTAGCAACCCCAACACGTAGAAAACATCAATGCAACTGGATCTTCAAAGCTCAAGCTTGAAGCCTTATGTTCCACCGGGTACGGAAAGGAATAGAAAAAACGAGGCACATTATTTTTGAAATGACATCGAATTAGTTGTCTGTTGTAGAATATGTTTGAACTAAAACAGAGAACACTTCGCTTATTCATAAAGTCTGTTGTTTTCATATTTTCCTTCTATAATGACTGCTCTGGATATGGTGTTCGCGAAAAGCATACTTGAAAGTATATATCTACACACCTTAAAATGATACTCAGGGATTCCAACTGGGATAATGAAACAAAAATTAGGCGAATAAGCCAGTGATGTACACTTTCAAATAAGTGACAAAAAATGTGATTCTAAATTTTCCCTTCTTCCACAAAATCATTTAGAAGCTATCTGTTGTGCATTCATGTTGCACCCATGAGGGCTAAACAGGAATGTGAGGATGTCAAAACCAGAATCCGAAAGGCAAGTCAGATATTCACGAATCTGAAATCACCTTGGATGTCTTCTGCACTCAATCAGCATAAACAACAAAATTTGCGTGCTTCTTTAAGGGACAGAAACTTGAAGCACGCGACACGAAAAGCATTTCCAACTGGCTTATGCAAAATTTTATCAACGGCTAACTTAGCTGGCTCCATACTGAAGTCTACATGGCTAACCAGAAGGAGGTAACAACAAAGAACTCTGTGAACGAATTAATCACGAACCTGTTACTCAACAAATATCCCTAAGAAAATGGAGATGGATGGGACGCACGTTGAGAAGACCGTTCTGTAACATCGTACGTCAATCCATAACTCAAGTGGAACGCGAGAGGGGAACAACGAGGTGAGTGTGTGTCCGAGGGTGACAGGGAGGAGATCGTGTGAAGAGGAGATAAAAGGGCCAGATGAAGAGGGCTGCAAAGGACAGGACAAAGTGGAGATGTGCTTTTGAAGCCCTATGTTTCACTCGGGACCTAAAGGAATAATAATGGAGAGGAATGTGAACAGGTTCGTTTTTTATCGGCACCGAAATTTCACTGAGTAACTGAGCGTCATGAGAAAATCTCCCTCGGAGATGACCACGAAAAGAAGTTTAAATCCCAGTATTAATTTTCTACTTTACTCTGTCACCTCAATTTTTTATTAAACCGCTGCTGTACATGATAACACAATGACATTTTAGTGAAATGAACTGTGTCCACATTAAATGGCAAGTGCTGTTACATTTCTTCTTTTAAACTGCAGATAGTTCGGAAAAAATCGTATTGACGACGCTGAACTACCTTCAGAAATCCTTCATTTAAGCCAACTAACCCAGAAATCACAAACCATCGTATGCAGTTATCTTACCTACCAATCTTATACGTCATATCAAAAAATGAAGTTAAAGATTACATCTCTTATTCATTAGAACATTTGATAATCCAAGAGAAAAATGCCTATTTTCTCATTGTGAGTAGTGTACTTTACTGGTATAAAATGAACTAGATACTTTTCATAATATATATATTGCACCCACTGTGATTTATCTACGAGTCAGTAAGAATGTTTATAATTTAAGAAATGTATCCTTGTTACAAGGTTCGCATTCTCAACATAAACGTCAAGTCAGTCAGTTCATCTACACGGGTCAGAAACTCACACTGTGTGCCACGAAAAGGATTTCTAACAGACTATCGGAGTATTTTATCAACAGCTGCCACCTTCGCCGGCTGGCTCCATACTAAAGATCAAATGGTCAGAAAGAATTAGCAACAAGAAACTCTGACTGGCGATGAACAAACCAACAAGTAAGAGCCGATCGCTCAACAAATATGTAGGAGAAAATGGAGGTGGATAGGAGGCCATCGAAAGACATCGCGTGCCAGGCCCTCAAATGGAATCCCAATGGGCAGCGACGAGTGGGTCGTCGATGCTAAGGTGACATAGAGGAGATCTTGTGGTGAGGAGGAGATGAGAAATTATGGTCAATCATTGACTCAGCTGAAGAGGGCAGTAGTGTAAAGAAGGAATTGGAGATGCGTTGTTGAAGCTTTATGTTCCACTTGAAAGCCAAGCGAATAATAATAACAAATAATTATAATGATTTTTGTTCACATTAGAACTGTTCTGTTACACTGCTTACCTTGATTTCCACTTCAAATGGTTTAATGAATGGGGAACCACGCATTGTTTGAGTTTTAACAATTTGATCATCCAGCATTTGTTGTGTATCATCCACAGAAGCAAGTATAAATATACCAGATTCACGATAAGGTATTAGTCCGAATGATATTTCAGTCCAATCATCACGCATTTTATTCATATTTGTCTCTAAAGTGAACTCTTTGCTAGCACCACTTGAAATACCAGCAAATTCTTCCATATATGGATCTAAATTCATTTGTAGTATTTTAGCTAGCGATGTTCCACTGTCTGGGGTAAGATCTCTACCAGCTATCTCAGACATTGCATCCCAATGTCTTTTTCGTATGCCTGGATTGCACAGGATTGCAATAACTGGTATGGTTTCCTTTGAGAATTGTAATATGAGTAGAAATTTAAAAAAAGATGATCTGGTTCTCTTATTTAAGATATTATATGTATATATATATATATATATATAAATTAGTAATAAAATGTTTTGACGTATCTTCCTTATTCATCAATGTACCACTTATAGAAACAGTAGACTTTGCATACGAAGAACTCGTTAAATGAAACATTGATGTCGGCATACCTATATCTTTTATAAAAGAGCTTCTCTTGAAATGCACAATGAAAGTCCACTTTTCATTTAATAAGGAACTATGCAGACAAATTGATGGTGTGGCAATGGTAACACTACTAGGACCCATTCAAGCCGACATCTTCCTTGAGAAACTAGAGAATGCGTCTTTGAAAGATGTAATTGATGAACTAGAATTCTACTGTCGGTACATGGATGATACATTTTTGATTATGAAATATGAGGAGGAAGCAGAAAACATCCTGGATAAATTTAGCGGTATTCATCCTGCAATAAATCTTACCAATGAGAAAGAAAAAGACTATAGTAATTCATTTCTAGACGTCCTTGTGACCAGAAAAGAAGATAGTACAATAAGAAGAAGTGTATATAGAAAACCTACATCAACTGACTGTCAGTATACTCATTTTTTCAGCTTCAACCCCCTTGAAACACAAACGCAATCTGATAAAGTGCTTAGTTCACAGAGCAAGAACAATTTGCTCGGATGAATGTCTTGATGAGGAACTTAATAATGTTAAACGGTTGCTGTGTGAAAATGGCTATCCAGAGAAGTTCACTGATTAGAATATGATTCGAAAATCGAGGCAGCCCAAAGCACCAACAGTTCCTAAAGAGGCCTTATTCTTACAAATTCAGTTCCTCAGGGATGACGTCGGCGAGGTATATTCACACAACGCCGCCTTAGAAATGAGGTAAAAAGAGAATTCAGTGTTGCTGAATTACGCTGTGTCTTCAAAACTACCACTATTTTGCTTTTGGTAGTCAAAGATAAACTGTATAATTTCGCCTCTTCTATATCTGTCCATCTACCAATTTGACTGCTCCTGTGAAATGAGCCAGTTACATAGGCTGTACAATTACGCGTGTTTTTCGTCGGATTTCCGAACATCACTTTGCATAGTGGTTAAGTAAAAGACAAACAAAATCTATACGGAGCGCTGTTCTGTCTCATCTTGTAGATAGAGACACAAGATTGATGTCAACGAGGCAGATTTCAAAGTCATTTACCGCATATCAACAAATCTTAGCTTCACCTCAAGAGTTCGTTCACTAAATATTTCTGAGGCTGACTGTTGGGATCCACATTAAGAAGCCGAATTTATGCGTCTAAAAGAAGTTAGTTCAGACATTGTCCTTACCTTGGCCATCTAAAATCGAATGATCCTCAATTTTCTGTAGAAATTTCCTTAATTTTAGCTGATATTTCATTTGCTATTATATCTTTATTATTATTATTATAATTTAAGCATAGTAATAATAATAATCTACTTTATTCCAAAAACAGTACTTATAATACAGAATGGAATTCTCAGTATTTGTCACAATATTGCATCTGATTTATTCAAAATATAAATAAAATTATAAATTAAAACAAAATTAATCGGAGGAATTTGTCCACATTTACGACATAAAGTCAAAAATATTCGAAGCATGAATTGAGATTATTAATATAATAATAATGATAATAATAATAACAGTGAGTTTGTTTCAAACGGTATTGTCGATTTATTTTGGAAACTTTAGCATGTTATAGTTCATGGAGTGGCCATTGGATCGGGTCACAGTGGCTTATTGGTCTACAAGCTTGATAACCTTGTAACCAGGATGTCCTGGGTCCGTACTGATGAAGAATCTCAAAGTGGGACGAAACAGATGCCCAGTACTCCCAGGTTTTCACATAGTTCTCTAACTGATATCAGCTCATGATGAAACCTTGCAGTCAATCAAACACAATCCCTACAAAACCAATACTTGAAAAAACATGTAAAACGTTAGCCGATATATCCACTGTTTTAGTCACGAATTTGTGCCGAAACAAATTATAAATGTAACACTTGAATTATGAGTATTAATGATAAATTAGTAAACTCACGATATTCCTCTTTGGGAACTAACCTTTACTAACTAAACATTTCTAATAACCACACTACAACAAGCACCAATCACTATCGACGGAAGAAATTTACAAGACGTTACTTCTGTGACTTATCTGGGAAGCGTCATTTTAACTGCAGGCGACAATACAGATAAAGATGTGAAGACAAGAACCAGGAAGGCAAGATACACTTTCATCATTTTGAAATCAGTTTACAGATCTTCTGCAGTCAGCATAAAGAACAAGATTCAGATTTTCAGCACCAATGTTAAATTAGTCAGCTATTCTATGTGGTTCAGAAACCCGCACTGTGCGTTACGAAGATCATTTCCAACGGTCAGCTGCAAACTTTTCATTAACAACTGCCACCGTCACTGGCTCCATATCTTTTTTTTATTTTGATTACAGCTTGATTCCACACCGTATTTTCAGTACAAGTATGGAATTTTCAGCACGGATATCGGTAGCCCAAATTTACAGGCCGACCATTGATATCGGGTGTGCGCCGGCAGGGGATCGAACCCCGCACCATGTGCATGGTCGGCGAGAGTCCTAACCACTGTGCCACCGACGCACATCAGATGGTTGGGCAGAAAAATTAGCAAGAAGGGAGTCTGGAAACGAAGCAATCAAGAACCTGTTGATCAACAAGTGTGTCGAAGGAAATGGAGACACTGAGGACATCATCGGGTGACATGGCGCGCCAGTATCTGAAGTAAAACCGAAATGGGAAAAGACGAGTTGGGTGTTAGAGGGTGACACGGAGGAGACCATGTGAAGAGGTTGGGGGGTGACTATGGGCAACCGCCGTGCCCGCTGAAGAGGACCATAGTGAATAGGACAAAGTACAAATATGCTGTTGGCGCCCTATGTCCCACTGGGAACCCAAGGGGACAATAATAATAGGGAGGATACTTTAAAATGTTTGATTACCTTGAAATTTTTCATTTGTTCCTGAATATTTTTTATGATATCCAAGGCTGCAGGTGGCCTGACATCTTCCAACTCTTCTTCCTCTTGTTCAAATAAAAGAGCGTCTTCTCTGGCTTCACCTTCAGCGGCAGCAGCAGCAGCAGCAACAGCGGCACCATCAACAATGCTTATGTCAACACTTGCCAGACGTCTTCGTTTTCTACGTGATTTTCGCCGGGCATCCAATTCCATACGCATCTTTTTAACTCTTGCTGTAAATATTTTTTGAAGTTTAAATATTTCGCGCCAGTAATCTTCAACTTCAGCTTCTATTGCTTCAGCGTTTAGTTTATCAAATTCACCATGTAACCAACTGTATTTAAAGATTTAAAGATATTTTATTTTCCGAATCAACAGTGGATATAAATTTTGTTTTATCGTTATAGAATGTAATAACGTGTCGTACTAGCCCGAATTCATAAAACCTATTCAAATCCACTTATTAGACACATGAATATTAACTTGAGTTTCATACTAACCGGCAATTTAGTTTAAACTATTTTAAAAACCATGTTTACTGTATGATAGTGTAACGGGAGAAGACCAGAGACTTGCTTGGTAAACGAATGTTTATTTGGAATTTGGTATCTCTACATAGCCAAATGATGTACACCTTGTCTTCAAATCACCATTTGCACAGATCTTCCGTGTTGTGCCTGCTACTTCTAGCCTCCTTTCATATTGTGTTTCTTTGTGTTCCTTTCACGTCTCCCGTGTTTCTTCGCAACGCTGTATCATTTACTTTCTTTGATGTCAAATATATCTCCCTGCTATTTGATATTTTTATCCCGATGAACATCTCTCTCTCTCTATATATATATATACTACTGATAAATCTTATCAGTAGCACATGCTGCAATGGAACTGTATCGCTGCAATAATTTATGCTTCAATTCACATATAAGAAATCAGTTTTGTAACACGTTCAACTGCTGGAAACTTACAGGATTTCATCATGAGCTGACATCGGCTAGAGAACCGTTGGAAAACCTGGAAGTACTGGAATGATGTTTCGTCCTAGTTTTAGATTCTTCAACGGTACGCATCCACTGGGGTTTGGACGGAAGTCCTTCCGGTTTCAAGACGAGCTTGTAAGCAATTAATCCACTGGGACCCAATCCAATGGCCAGCCAATGAATTGCAAGTTGTGCCAATTAACGAAATAGCGCAACGACTAGCCAATGTCGTCTGCAAGTATTCGCCTCAACCTGCTAGACCCTACTGGTCACAACTTCTCACTAGAACCCAGGTAATTGCCTGCCTGAATAAGGCTAGTGGCTAGTGAGCATCAGATTGCCATTCAAGTGTTGGTTTGCGGTTCAGTACTGTAAGGTTTTCCAATGGTTCTCTAAATGATGTCAACTAATAAAGAAATCCTGTAACCAAGCATATCTGCGCAAACCAACACCTAAATACTGGAAACTTAACATAATTACACAATGTCTTCAGTTAAAAGCCAAAGCAGAATCTTTTCCATAAGCTCATCACTTTAACAAGCTGTTAACTACTTCGAAAACACACAGTTTTTTTCCTACTAATAATCAGTTGTCCAATCCCTTCTTTGATTTGTGAACTTTATTCTCAAAATAACTTAACTTCTAAGGCTTAGTGTATGTAACTTTCACATGAAAGTCCTTATTCCTATGCTTCTTATGGTTGCTTTTGGTTATTTTAAGTAAATATCAGTACACTGACTGGACACTAGGCAGTCCACACTAGTCTAGTCCTTGATTTTGGTGCGGACTGAATTCAATCAGTTACTACCTAGTGCCCAATCATAGTGTCTAATGCAGTCATTCCTACAGCAAGTCGATGGCGAGTCCGAATAGCTCTGGCTGAAGCACTGTATGACACGGGTTCAAATCTCAGAGGGAACATAAGTTCTTTCACAATAGCAGATTCGCCTTCATGATTGGTGAGTGTTAATAATAAGCACGAAACCTAGGTGGAGGGCTTCCCGATGATTACCTCCAGTATATCAGGACATCCAAAATTGTTGAATCATAGTTCATCATAGTAAGAAAGAGATTGTTTGTGGAATTCATTATACAACTGCTTCCTGATGGGCGTAAGTGTCACCCAAATGGCTAAAACTCAGTATGTATAGTTTTAAAATAGTAGAGATCTGTAGCTCAGGTGTCGGGGGGATTTTGAGTTGGTTGTGTTCTCTGAGCTAGTTGATTAAAATTGCGGAGCTTTCATTGTCCTTCTGGACAACATCTTCAGCACAGGCTTTTAATATGAATAAAGTGAAGTGGTTTAAATTCTTTATGAATGATGTAATTGTGTCTCCTGGCAACCACCATCGTGATTGGTTGTTAATTTTCTTCTCTATTGATCATTTTTATTGACTTGAGATTTGAACTTGCTTGTCATGTGATTTATTTTCTATTATTTGATCTGTAGTAAGGTGTGTTTGTTAATCACTGATTCTTCTGAGTACTAGGGTTCTAGAAATTCTCTGGCATTACTTTTGGTGGTTCCTCTGTTTAAAATTTCTACATTTTCCCAATTAAATTTATGCCCGTCATTGTCTACATGTATCGCTATGAAGCGATGGATATCGTGTCTTTTCACAGCCAGTTTGTGTTCTTGGATTCTGATTTGAAAGGGTCTCCGACTTTGATCAATATAGTGTTTATCACAGTTGATGCATTTTTTTGTTTGTAAATGATATTGATAATCTTGTCTTCTTTTACTGTTGGATCCTTTGATCTGCACAAAATTCTGGATGAAGTGACCATGTTGGCTTGTGTGCTATGTTTGTTTCAAATGGTTTTAGTATTATAACCTTTATTATTATTCCCTTAGGTTAAGAGCGGAACATAGGGCTTCAACAGTACATCTTCACTTTCTTCTATTTACTACCGTCCTCTTCAGCTGGGTCCACGATTGACCATAGTCTCTCATCTCCTCACTACCACACGACCTCTTCCATGTCACCCTCGCACTAACGACACACTCGTCGCTTCCCATTGGGATTACACTCGAGCCATGGCCTGTATTGCGGTCGATGTCATTCGATGATCTCATCAACGTATGCCAGATCAATCCATCTCCATTTTCTCCTACATATTTGTTGAGCGATCGGCTCTTGGTTGGTTTGTTCCACTGTAGAGTTTCTTGTTATTAATTCTTTCTGGCCAGCCGGCCGGCTGGCTGGCCATTCGATCTTCAGTATGGAGCCGGCGAGGATGTCTGCTGTCGATAAAATTTTGAAGCAACCTGTTAGAAATGCTTTTCATGACGCGCATTCCAAGTTTCTGACCCACTCAGAAGAACTGACTGACTTTACACTTGTGTTGAAAATCCAAATCTTGTTTTTTATGCTGGCTGAGTGAAGCAGAAGATTTCCAAAATGGTTTCAGGTTGATGGAGGCCATTATTTCTGAGGTAATCTTTTTATTTTCTATAGTTTGGTTTGTAAGGGTTTGTTATGTTTTTACGAGTTGATCACGGATTGATATCAGTTAGAGAACCATTGAAAACCAGGGAGTACTGGACAGCTGCTGTTTTATCCTAGTTTGGGAATCATCGGCAGTACGCACCCACCCACTGCCAGGGTACGAACCCAGGACCTTCTAGTTACAAGGCAGGCAAGCTCGTACACCACTCAGCCACCACTGGGACCTAATTCAATGGCCAGCCAGCCCATGAATTCTAACTTCTACCAATTTGTGATTTAGCGCGACCCCAACCATTGTCGTTGGTGGGACATCCATCCACACACGTGACATCTAATTGGACCTCACTGGTCACGACTTCTCACCAGAACTCCAGGAAACTCCATCCTGTAGCAAGTCACTAGTGAGCATCAGATTAATTTTCTATAGTTTGGTTTGTAAGGATGAAACAGCAGCTGTCCAGTACTCCCTGGATTTTAATGGTTCTCTAACTGATATCAGTCCGTGATCAACTCGTATTCTTTTTATATATATGGTAGAATGAATTATGTTGTGGTGTTTGGGTATGGTTTCTTGTTGGTAATTCGATTTGATTTCAAACACACTTTGATGAAATTGAATGAGCATTCATTCTTTCCTGAGTAATTTGTGAGTTATTACTGTTACAGTTGAATATTTGATCTGTGTGTGTGTTGATTTTCTGTATACTTGTGTTTCCGAAATCTCTGTGTTAGTTCTGTTGATTAAGCCAACTAAGGATGGAATTTTGTTGCCTGATTCTTCATCTCTTGTGAACTTAATGTCTTCAGACATGTTGTTGATTAATTTTTGGGTGTATTCTAAATCATTTTTTTATTTTAATTATCACGAACGTTTCCTTGGCATAATGTACCCAGATTTTTGGTTTAATTGTAGTTAGAGCTATTAATTCTAATCTTTGTATAACGGCTCCGGCTATTAATCCTGTAATAGGTGATCCCATCGGTGTTCCTTTTATCTGTTCATATATTTGAGTATTGAATTAGAAGTATGTTGTAGGACATAATTTTATAAGTCCCATCGGTGTCGAACATTACGTGCTTGTGTGTTCATATCTATAGTGTAGTTGATGCATATTTTCGTTTGCTAGTTTTAGACCAACTGAAGTGTACAATATACTGTGACATTAAAGCGCACCATGATTTCATTGTCATCCACTTGAATTTTTTTGATTTTCTCTAAAAATTTGATTGACGAATTGACAGAATGGTCTCATGATTCTGTTAAGTATTTTAATTTCCTGAAAAGTTCTTTAGATAGATTATTTGTTGGCCTTCTTAACTGCGAAACAGCTGGTCGTAAGGGAATATTTGGTTTGTATAGTTTTGGTCTACCGTGACATTGAGGTAAAACAGCTCCGTTTGATTTCACTACCCATTGATCTAGTTTGTTTTGTAATTTGTCCTGATTTCATTAGATTGTTTAATGTTAGTTATTTTGATTTTATTAACTAATGTTTGTATAGGGTTTTTCGTCAACTGTTGATTTACACGATTATCTTTGAGTAAATCATCTGATTTTCTTTATGGAGTCATCTGTGTTCATGATTACTCTTTTCTTCATCCTTTATCAGCCGGTAGTATTGGGGTGAGAGCTGGCTGCTAGCTAAAATATCTTGTTTAGTTAGACAGTTAACTTTGCATAAAGTGGAAACTTGCTCGTCAAATGACTCGCAGGACATAAGAATTTCGATTATTTCTTTCGATGGTGGAATGCACTGATGAATAGATAGATTGGCTTTTGCAAATAATTCACTTGGATATTCATAAGATAGGTACTTCATGATATTTTCAACCGGCCATATAGATGGATCAGAACTTTACTTTGAGGGTTAGTAGTAAAGTATATATAAATGAATAAAAGATAAGGGTCTACTAAGCGTACATTGTAAACATTCAGAAGAAGGGAATTCAATTAACAGGCTGCCAACTGACTGCATACGACTTCTCGAAGGCCAGTAAACAGCACGGTCTAACGATCCCCCTACTCTCAAGAATGTGTTGATTATATGGGAAACACTTGCTGGTGAACAGGCCAAAAATACACTTCTCCCAGCTAAAAACTTGTAGACAGATGGATTAAATATCATGATCACCAACTTGTACCGGGAGAACTCAGAAGCCAAGGGTGCTTGCATACAAAATAGGTCAGCCTTCAAATCGCCCAGATCCTTGATAAAGTGTTACTGCCATATTTGGAGATAATAATTACACACTCCTCGCATGGTATTTAAAATAGCCGCTTTGCGTCGATAAATATCTGTTGATTTCCTAAATAAACGATCTGTTGCCTGTCCCTAGTCTTCTGTTGTTACAGTATAACTATGTCCTTTTTATTCTTCAGTTTCTTCAGTGCGTTTTACTCTAGGATGTTAAGTTGGGTGTTAATTTTTTTTCTGTTAGGCTATAGGTATGATACATTCACTCATTTTTTGTTGTATTTCCTCATTCAATTTTGATGATTTTGAGAGATGACTCCATGGAAGCACAGAAATCTGTTTTCTTTTTGAAGCGTCACCAATCATTTCCTGAAGCCATACAGTTAGAAAACTTAGATGTCATCTGATTATTACCAGCTGAAATTAACGCTAAGCCTACTATATTTTGAAAGACTGTCATATTTTAAACAGTGTTTCAATACCTAGAATAAATTTATATTGTTTCAGCTTAGTAAAAACGTGAACACATAAGACAAAGTTTTGAAAAAGATGACAAAAATAATTATGCATTGAAATCCGACTGACCGTCTCTCTGATTTACAGTATTTAACGACAGTTGTGAACAGCCTGTGGAATGGCTCCGTTAGATTACGTATCTCCTCTAGTTCAGGATAATTACTAATTGTAAGCTTGTACAGGTCTTCCTCCTTATTAATCCATATTTTTTCATTTTCAGCATCTTGAAGACGCTTTAAAACTGCACGAACATCTTGAACATATTGAGTTTGCATTTCAGTATCCATTTCGCCATAATCGTTAAATTCATCAACACGATTTTTCAGTCGATTTATTTCAGTGACTAATTTTTCACGTCTAGCTACAACAGCTGCTTCAGCGACAGTACGCATTCGTTCTTGCAGCTAAATATTGATTTAGAAGAAAAAGAAAGTGAGGCTTTAATGGTAGATATAGTGAAATTTTGGTAAAAGTAAGAACCTAATTGGTGGATGGAGGGTGACTAGCAGTGGAACCCACCAGTATGCGCATTTCGTCCCATTCGGAACTTGTCAACTAGCTGGATGTACCTGCATTCCCCGGTGAGTGAGTGATGATGTTCCCACCGAGTCTTGAACCCAGTGCCCACAGTCTCGAACGTCAAAGCATTATCCACTAAGCCACTTGTGCTACGACAGCCGCGAAAAGTGGGAACATCATCACTCACTCACTGAGGAATGCAGGTACATCTAGGTAGTTGACGAGTCCCAAATAGAACGAAATGCGCATCCACCAATTGACTTCTAATTACATGCCCAGGCATCGTCAAAGCATCTACACAAGAAGCCGACAAGTCAACATGAAACCGAGCACTTCGGTCTAATCAATCGATGGGAACAATCTAAAATTTAATTAAATAAAAGAAAGAACTATTCAAACTTTGTTTTATGGACTTAATCATTTTGACGAACATTTTCATCACAAACTAACATTTTTATCACAAAATACGCTGGTCCAAATGGGTTATCCTAGTAGATTTATAAGGAGACACATGAACACCAGGTACAATAAAGAGAAACTGACAATAGTTAAAAAGAAACAACTGTTCATGAAATTGCAATTTAATGGGGACGTGGCTAGCGAAGTCTTACATCTGAGATTATCCAGGGCGATAAAACGGACTTATACTGCCACCACCCTTTGTTTGTCATTTTGTTACCCGACCAATTATGATTGCTCAAGCGAAAGACAACCTACCTAGCTGTGCCACTTCTATGTGTATCTATAAATTTAGTTGCTCCTGTGGAGAGGGTGAATGGCTAGACAGCTTAACAAACGCAATAATGAGTGTCTTCCTTCATGGTTCGGAAAAGGTCAAATAAAATCTATAAGAAGCTCTATTTTGGCTCATTTGATTGAGGACAGTGGTCACCAAATGGACAAAAATAGTGCCTTCAAAGTTATCTATCACATTCCATCGAGCCTTTCGGACGGAATTCGAATTTGTCTTTTACACATAGCTGAAGCTATGGGAATTAATTCGAGAGAACACTCCTAGTCTTTGCATACAACAAAAGAAATTTGTTCTATCTTTGTCTCTCCCTTGGCCTACGTGAATTCTATTCAAAACCCTCCCACCTTTCCTTATTTCGCATCTCCTTCGTACTTTTATGATATTTATTTCAACTCTGTTTATCTGTCCACTTCACCCTGAGTATTACGCAACTTTTAAGATTTGACCTAATCATTTATTTATTGAATTGTCTACATATACGCAACACATATTACTACCTTCGTCATTCTTATCGCCACCTGCATAAACCTTACTATCAACATTTTGTTATCATTATAATCGTCGTTATTAACTACGTTCACAACATTTACCACATTATTATTAATATCATTACGATTATTTGATCCACAAAATCACCGTCATTGGTTAAATTTTTTATAAATAAGTCTATGCAAATTAGAGTAAAGCCTGAAGAAGATCTAACTGAAAACAACAGTATTGTTTGCTTATACGTCTTGTTCTAGCTTAAATGTCTTTGAGGTTGAGGGAATAGTTTACAGGATCAGTTTTTCCCTATTTTTCCACCAATTATGATACATCTGAGATGCCAGTATGCAGTAAACTATGATTGTTGATACACTCGATTGTGGAAGGGTGGATCATGGGGCAGACCATGGGGGAGTGGGAAGACAGAAATGCATCAGGCCGACAAGAATATGCTAGAAGATTTGGTCTCGTCGAACAATTTATGTCTTATTTTACGTAAACTCGTAAATCTGCAGGAAAAAGTAAATAAGTTGACAGAAAGGCCAAGGCACCTAAGATAGAACTTTAAGTGAATATAAAGAAGACAGAAGTGATGAATATACCTAACTAAGTAACAACAAGCACGTCACCATCAACCGGAGAAATTTCTAGGTGATTACATCTCTCATTTATCAATGCAGCATCGTCTGAACTACAGGCGGCACGGATGACGGTGTCAAAGGCAGGATAAGGAAAGCAACGCAGGAGTTCATTACTCTAAAAGCCTGTGTGGAAATTCACAATATTCACCAAAAGAAACATTATCGGAGCTTCTATTAGTAATATCAAGTCAGTGATTCTATATAGGTCAGAGAATTGATGCGTGCGTCAAGAAGAGCATTCTCAACAGGCTATTGAAGACATTTATCAACGGTTGCCTTCACTCCATCCAGAAGATCAGATGAGCAGAAGAGAGTATCAACAAGGAACGCTGGTAACTAACTAACCAACTAACCAAGAACCTCACGCCCAGCAAATACGCCGAAGAAAATGAAGATGGATTGGACATATTCTTAGGAGACCAATGAAAGACATCCCGTACAATGTAAGCCCTCGAACATAACCCGAATGGGAAACGATGAAATACACTTCTGAGTGTGATGCAGAAGAGATCCGATCTCACGGTCTATGGTTTATAAAGCTAAAAATGACTTAAAAGAACAGCATAAAGTGGAGATGTGTAGCTGAAGCCCTACGCTCTCCTAGGCACCAAAGGGAATAATAATATTATATATAATAATGCTGGGCTTTGGTTTTTAGCAGAAACATCATGATCACTATCAAAAGATTTGAAGAAAACATAAGGGTGGTGGATATTTAATGACTGTCACACCACTGTGTAAAGACGCAGACAGGAAGGTCAAATTTGTACTTTGTTGGGAGGGATATAATGTCAATTCATAATGGCAATCAGCACCAATCACCATCAACGAGAGAGATTTCGCAGAGATTACTCCATTCACTTAACTGGCCAGGAAGTATCGTTTCAACTACAGGCAGTTGGAACAGACGAAGAAATCAAAGCCAGCCAGTGAGAATTGAAAAGGCCTAATACGCCTTCATCAACCTGAAACCAGTTTGGAAATCTTCTGCTTCACTCATCCAGCTTAAAGAACAAGATGGATTCGGATTTTCAACACCACTGTCAAGTCGGTCCTTTTATACGGGTCAGAAACATGCATTGCTCGTCACGAAAAGGACTTACAACAGGCTACTGCAGACTTTTATCAACAGCTGCCACCTTCGCCGGCTCCATACTGAAGATCAATTGACCAGAAAGGATAAGTAACAAGAAACTGTGGCTGGGAACAAACTAACCAAGAACAGATGGATCGGGTATACACGCCACAGAGGAGGCCGTCGAATGACATCGCATACAATGCAGGCCATTTCTCGAGTGGAATCCAAATGGGAAGCGATCAGTGGGTCGTTAGTGCGAGGATGACATGGGGAAGATCGTTTGGTGCGGAAGAGATGAGAGATGGTGGGCAATCGTGGTCCAGGCTGAAGAGGACGGCAGAAGATAGGACAAAGTGGAAATGTGTTGTTTGAAGCCCTATGTTCAACTCGAAACTCAAGGGAATAATAATAATAATTAAGGCATACAGGAAGAACTGAGGAGATGTAGAAGCGATACCCCAGTAGAAAAATGGTAGCAAGAGACAGATAGTAATCAGAGCTTTGTGAAAGTTTTAAACATTTTGAGGACTAAATTGTCTGTAAAAAACACACTTCAAATGATTTTAAAAACATTTTATCCAAGGTGTCCAAGAGTTCCAAGGAACTTATCTAAGCATTCTATGACTTCTTACATGGCTTGGATTGAAAGTAGCGTATTTCGTGGACTGATACCAAGTTCCGTTTTTAACGCCTTCCCCCTTTTTTCCAAACCTAATTCTTACCCACGGCTTATTAAGCAAGGTAATGAATGGTCCAGTACGTTTTTAGCACGTATCACAGCTGCATCAGATACCTTCATTATACGTAAAGTCGCGAAAACAGTATGTGTAAGTGGAGCTTATTGCTACTTCCACTTGTCACCAGCTTTCCAAGTCACACAGATCAATACTTTCTGGCGCATTATTTAAAATATTATTAAATTACCTTATCATTTGCATCGAATTCCGGATAGATTCGTGTCTTCCAAGTTAATACTGCACTATTTTTTGCAATATCTTCTGGACTGAACAAGTAGACATCAAGTAGATAGTTCAGGTATTCCATAGTTAGCTAAATATACAATAAGATGAAGCGTGCATTAAAAAAAGCAAACCAAACAGTCGAAATGTACTCATGAGCTTATGTGAAATCCATTAAACTTTATTTTTTTACGAGTATTTAGGGCAAAGCTTGAAACTTCTCAAATTAGTCAAACCATCGATAATTTTGACATTTATAAAAGATACGTAGACGACAATTTCGTTATCTGCGATAATAAACGTAATTCTTGATGACGTCATGTCCGCTTTCAACAACTGTCATCCTTCTTTGCAATTCACCATAGAAAAGGAAACTGGACTAAGTATTCCGTTTCTTGTTATGTGCCTTAGTAGACGTAATGATGAATCTCTCAAAAGATCTATCCACTGGAAACCTACCTGGGACGGACAACTAACTAATTTTTATAGTTGTGTGCCTATCTCCACGAAAAGGAACCTAATTCATCCACTCTGCTTTAGGATAAGGAACATTTGTAGTTCTGATTGCGTTGACTCAGAACTTGACTTCTTAAAAGCTACGCTTGCGAAAAGTGGTTACCCTAACTGATTTATTGACAGCAACATAAAAGATAAGCAGTCTAAACTGATCACTGACTCAGTTCCAAAGAAAACCTTGTTCATGAACTTGGAATTCAAAGGTGATCAAGCTTCAGATATGCTCAAAAATCGTCTCTCTAAAGCAGTCAGTAAGACGTCCTTTGCAGCAAAATTATATGTGACGTTCACTAGCCGGAAGTTGTTCTCCATCTCTGTAAAAGATAAGCTCCCCATGTGTATCTATAGGCTCACCTACTCTTGTGGAGCAAAGTACATTGGCCTTAGTCAGAGGACGCTTTCCACACGGATACGAGAACATATTCCAGCAGCATGGTTTTACAAGGGAGAATGGAAGTGTGTGTGAAGCTCTTTTCTAGAACACCTGATTGACTCCCGTCACTCTGTCAACCCTGATCATGATTTCAAGATCATATATAGAATCCATGCTAACTTGCCGATCACGTTTTCTTCGTTACAGACTTCTAAAGACAGCTGAGGCCTTGGCAATTCATGACTTTAAGCCAGACCTTTGTGTACAAAAGAAGTATGTACAATCCCTACTTCTGCCTTGACCGTAGAGGGATAGACATTTATTTATTTTGTTTATTTAGTTATTCTATGTACTTTTCCCTTATTACTAGGTTTTTTATTATTATCATTATTATTATTACTATTCTCACTCTGAATTGTTCCCACTTGTCATTCTAAACCCAAAATTATTACTTAATTTTCTTGACCTGTATTACCAACCTTCACTTGTTTAGTTAAAATTAACCTTAACCGATTGTAACTTTGTTTGACAAACTTAATGTACACATACATACCAAAATTATTAGTTTTTGTTTTTTATTTTTACAATATTTTATTCTATCATATCAAATTTCACACCATGTTATGTAACATTTTATATTCGCCTACTAATCCTATAATTATGCACCACTTTCCAACGTCTATGCACCTTTTGTATTATTCTACATATGATATTAATTGTTTTGCCACTTGACTTCTTTGATCGAATTCCCTCACCGGATAAAATTTCTTAAATAAACCATATATATACAATTTTACAGCTTGATAATAAATTCGTTGAAAAGAGTCTCTTCGCTGAATATTGTGTTCTTAATTAATTATGGTACATTTAAAATGATGCAGAAACATCTCAGACGCTTATATCTCTGGATGAAAGTAATTCTTTTATGACTAGTTCGCTAGTTTTCTAACCGGTTTTAAGACCATGAAAAGAGGAAAGGATGGGTATGTGACTAGTGAACACCCCCTAACCCCCGAAAATCAATCCAGTCGCTATGGAAACCTCAAAGCAAAGCAAAAGTAAAGTAGAAAAAACAAACTTGTTGTTAGCTGGAATTGGAGAGACAGAATGATGTGGGCTAGCTGGTAAAGAACTTCAGAGAGCCAGTCAGTCGAACGTGTCTTCCTTCGACCACCGCATAAATAAACTTCCATTATAGAGGAGATTTTATTTTGCTAAACTCTCACAGTGTCATACAGTAATATTTACTGATTGGTGGCGTTTCGAGCACAATTTATTGCTCTTTATCAAAATAAAATTTCTTCTATAGTGGAATTATACTCTATCATAGTGTTCAAGTTCTATTCTCATAGCAAGAATAAACATTGGAATTTAGAATGTTCGTACACTGTACAAAGCTGGTAAGGTTACCTAATAAATATGCCAAAGAAAATATAGATGCATTGGACACACTCTGAGGATACCTTCGGGAGACATCGCACATTAATTCTTTTTTTTGGTTACAGCTTGATTCCATACCGTATTTTTTGGTACATGTATGGAATTTTCAGCATGCGATAGCCCAAATTTCGCAGGCCGACCATAGATATCAGGTGTGCGTCGGCAGAGGGTCAAACCCCGGACCATGTGCATGGTTGGCGAGAGTCCTAACCACTGTGCCCGCAAGTGGAACCTGAGTGGGAAACGATGAGCTGGGCTTTCAAGCAAGGGTGATATGGAGAAGATAGTGTCTGGAGGAGATGCAAGTTCGTTCATGGGGAATCGTCGGGCGAGCTTAACAGTACTGCAGAGAATGGGAAAAAATTGAGATGTGCTGTTGAAGCTCTACTTTCCACTTGGAAACCAAGGGAACAAGGCAACCTAGATGCTATAGTTTGATAAAAGAAGAGGCTTGATGGTCCCTCAATTGTCCCAGGAAGACAGTCATTTTAAGACTGCATTTGTATCTAGTTAGAGTCAAGCACCAGCTTACATTGGAAATGTTTGTACTAATTCGATCTACCAGGCTGAATACATAAATTTCTCTGGTTATCAATCGAAATCAATAAAACAAATGAACAGTAGTTATTCCCGACTATTCTTAAATTCTAGTACGAAGTTAGCGAAAAGTTCTTAAGGCAGTTTATATGGATGACTAAACCTATAATTAAGACATACTAGACAGTTTAGATAATTTGACTGGACACTAGTAACTAGTGTGATGTGTCTAGTCCTTCCTTCGATGCAAACCGAATTCTATCGGTCAGGTTTGCAAAGTGGCCACCATTCTAGTTAGCTCTCCATCACGGTGCACATCGATTTCATGATATTAGATAGTTGGAGGCAATCGGCCACAGGAAGCCTTGCCTGGCCCAGGTTTCTTGCTAGTTGGCACTCACCAACCTTGAAGGAACTCATGTTCCTTCTGAGATTCGAACCCGCGTCACCCAGTGAGTGCTACAGTCAGAGACGTAACCACTGAGCTATTCGGGCTGGCTCACGATTCATCTCCTGTAGGAATGAAGTGGGTATTTTGATTAGACACTAGTAACTAGTGTGATGTGTCTAGTCCTTTCTTTGGTGCAGAATGAATTTTAACACTTATATATATATATATATATATATGAATTAGACTGTTGAAGACAATGATCAGAAAGTAGTGGAACTGAATTCCGTACCAGCTGTCACTCATCAGCAAGACATATCTGCAGCTTCGAATTAACTGATTTCAAGTATTTACTTGTAGGGGATTGATTGATTGGTTACAGGATTTCATCATGAGCTGACATCGGTTAGAGTACCAATGGGAAACTTTCAGGGAGTACTGGACAGCTGCTTCGTCCCAGTCTGGGGCTCAGTACGCACCCAACGCCATGGTTCGAACCCAGGACCTTCTGGTTACAAGGCGAGCTCGCAGACCATTAAACCACTGGGACCTGATCCAATGGCCAGTCTATGAATTCTGTCTTCTGCCAATTCACGACATACCGTGAACGTTAGTAAATGTCTTCGGCGAATATTTGTCCTCACACCCGTGAGCATCTCACTGATATTCAGGTATTGTTTTGTAACGACAGATGTCGGCTCATGATGAAATCCTGTAACCTAACTGATTTCATTTAAGAGATCCGAACCCACGTTAACTAACGCAGCAGTCAGAGATGTTAACTCTGAGCTATTCAAGATCAGGACTGATCTGCTGTAATGGATATATATATATATGTTCTTCCAACATAATACTCTACAAAAGGCTAGATACAATACAAAGATAACCCACAGAAATTTTCTCTGTCATACGAATCATTCCTTGACATCTTGCTTCTTCCATATACTGAATCATATCGATTAATTCTTCACTATTCTGTGGTATTGCACGACAACGATCACGCATTTCTTCAAAACCTTCACAAATCCTGTAGTATTCAAAGTAAGAGCATAAACAGAAGACAACTATAACTATTACTTAGTAATAACATTAAGTGAATATTTTTTCTCTCAAAAAAAAACAACTGACCCTGAGGCAACCAATCAGGAAAACCAGTGGTTCTTTTGTAAAGATAACGTTTATGTACAAGAGAAATACAGAGAATAATGACAAAAAAACACACTGAACAAGATATATTTCCCTAACGTGACTTATTCATATATCTCCCAATTATAATGAGAAGTATCAGTATCCAGTGACGAGTCCCAAATAGGACGAAATGCGCATCGTGGTGCATTCCACTGCTAGTCACCATCCACCAACTCTCAGTTTTTAGGTTAAACCAGTCTCTGTACAGATATTCATCGAGTTAACTGAAGATGAGTTCTTTTTGTAACTCATTTATCGCTCTTTTCCTGCTTCACGTCTTCTCCAAAAGCCCTCGATTGAATCAGTGTGGGTTCCAGTAAGGGGATCGACAACTGCTTACTAGGAAAATGAGGATAGTCAAAATAGAACAATCTAAATGTAACGCTAACGAGCTGTCAACTTATTATCTAAATAGCACTCAAAAACAAGATTGGGATGAAATTTGCACCTCAATTCGTTTATGGTTGCTCTGTTATAATAATAGGTCCCGTTATCCAACGGATAATATGCGTCCAAGGTCTTTAGTGCATTCGTACTTCTGGAGCGTTAGACTTTAACTTATGATTTTATTCCTTTGCGTTACCAGGCTTCAAGCTTGAGCTTTGAAGTTTCAGTAGCAGCGGGGTTTCAAAGGGATGGGGTTGCTAGCCTCACGCCTAGCCTTCCCTCTTATTCAGGATTATAACTGGATAAGGGAGGTAAAGGTGTGCGCCGGTGGGCAGTTAAACTCCGGACCACATTCATGGTTGGCCAGCACTCTACCGCTGAACTACCAACGCATAACTGTAGGTGAACAAATTTACAGTCCACACTAACCGGTAATTCATTCAGTTTGTCTTCAGAGCCAGTAATTTGTTCAGTGGAATCAATAAAAGAGTAAATGCATACATAAGTCAGCCTACATCTATTCATATAAAACAATTCGAATGCTTTGAAAGACTCTTTAATTGATCGGCATACTCAGAGGGTAAATAACACTCATTTTAGGCTGACAGTACGTATCCAACACGCTTGACCTATAATTTATACAAGATCAATGCGACTAGTTCGATTATTTTATCGACATATCGCAAATCAAAAATTCCTGATTTATTTTATCAGTTGTTTTTGTCCATTTGCTAGAAGATAGGTGCCCCTGATACCTTGGGTGAATTTGAAAAGCGTCTGAATACGTCTGTTCAATACTTTCAGTATTATTACTGCAAGGATATCTGATATATCCACGATAGTAGGTAGATAAGACATTCTCTTAGTTCAATGTCTAATATACCTCTCATTTTTCAATGTACTAGAGCTCTTAGTTATTCTTTATGTAAGACGTTAGTTGATAGAAAGCTGTAGACCTAAGTTTGATGTGTGTTAATATTGAACATTGAATCATTTCTAAAATTCTGTAGAACTGTTGCTACCTTCAAAATGTTGAAATGCAATGTAACTACAGTGTTTATAAGAGCACTAGATTCGTTCATATTTCTGATTTATCTAAATTCGTGGTTAAGCGAGAGACACACTCAGTCTATTCGTAGCTCTTTAGATAGTGAGCTTAAAGTTGGTGTTAATAAAGCACTTAAAGTTATTTATTGCGTTCTGAATAGGATTAACTTTGCTTTATGAATATGTCTTCCACATACAACTGAAGCCATCGACATCCACCAGAAGAAGCCGAATCTGTGTATTCAGAAGAAATTCGTACAGCCCCTTTTATTACCTTGGCCATCGTTAAATGAATGCAAAAGGCTGACAATTCCCCCTCGCCACACTTATTAAACCTTCTACAAGTTATCCTTGACTACTTTATCGATGACCGTGACAATAGATTGATATCAGTTAGAGAACCATTGAAAACCAGCCAGGAATACTGGACAGCTGTTTCCTCCATCCTAGTTTGGGACTTATTAATAGTACGCACCTACAGAATTTAGAACCCAGGACTTTTCATTTACAAAGCAAGCCTCATTAATATAAACTTTAAAGTCCACCATTTACAAGGTGTGCTGAAACAGAGTTAAGAATAAATCCTACCTGTTCCTTGCTTAACTATAAAGGATAATGAAAAACCTGTCTAATTGTAAGCCCAGTGTAACTAGCTCCACAGAAGTAGTCAAACCAGTAGACAAACAAACAGGAGGTGAAATCACTTAGTTTATCCTTATTTCATACATTTATTCCCCTGAATGAATTTCAACAAAGCAAAAGCAAGAGATTTTGTAGAATAAAATGGCACCATCATTGTTTATTTCGTTGGCTTCTCATCAGCTGCTTACAGCCCAGTGTGATTATTAAGTATATCTACAGAAACAATTTTAACATTCTAACACAGAGTTCATTTTTAAACAAAAATCAATCAGTCAATATATCCATACAGTAATAATATATATAATAATAAACACTTTATTGCAAACAATAATGATGATACACAATGGAAACTTTTGACATTACGTAGTCAGATGAAAGAGGGGATGAAAACATTCAGTTACCAGGACAAAGAGAGACTGACAACTGCAAATTAGAGTGGAAAAAAGGTGCATCTACATTGAACTTGATTTTAGAGGTGAAAATATTACAGCAATTATCAACCGAAGATTGAGGACATCACTAGGCAGAGCCTATCCTGCAGCTAGCTAATCTGGTTCCCGTCTATTGAACAACTTGCACTTTGGAGCAATCAAAAATTGATAGATATCCTTCTCATGTTAACTCCAAATGTATATGCAAATTTACATGTGTCTACGGGAGCAGTTACACTGGAGGAGCAGAAAGAAGGGCATATCTACGATTTTCTGAACATATACCAAAAGGCCTGTGTCTAAAGGGAACGAATGCTTTCAGCAGTGCCATTGCCAGGCATCTCCTTGACACGGATCATGAGGTGGACGTCGCAAGATCGTTCGAAATTATCAGTGGGAAAAAGAGTTCAATCCTCCTCAAGTTTGCTGAAGCCATCTCCATCAAGCGCCTGAAACCCTATTTATGCGTTTAGAAAAAAGCAGTTATTAGTCTTTCCTTGCCCTGGTAACTGGATATTTTCACCCTCTCCTTTATCTGATTACGTAATGCCGAAAGCTTCTATTGTGTATCATCATTATTGTTCAAGAAAAGGGGTTAATTATTTTATATTATTATTGTATGCATATACTGACTGATTGATTTTTGTTTAAAAATGAACTCTGTGTTAGAATGTTAAAATTGTTTCTGTAGATATACTTAATAATCACACTGGGCTGTAAGCAGCTGATGAGAAGCCAACGAAATAAACAATGATGGTATCATTTTATTCTCCAAAACCTTTTGTTCTTGCTTCATCCTTATTTCTCGAACATACAACTTTAGTGGTTGTGAAGAGACAGAGTATCCCCCTCCACTGCATTGAATGCTCTTCTAGCTGCATTCTTCAGGCTCTCTGTTACTACTTTATTTATATTGTGTTTTATTAATTCTCTTCGTTAATTATCACCCCCTTGACACCTTCCTACTGATGAATTATTGTTAACAAACTTATCATCAGTAGATTGGTAAAATTTTATTTTGTAATAATAATGCTGATATATATTAGAGTAGAGTCATAGATGAGGATCTAATTGAAAATTTCAATATTTCTTCGCTCAATCATTTTGCCGTCTAAATGAAACAATTGGCATTGTTTATTTGAATTTCACTGAAATTTATACAAATATAATTTCCACATGGCAAAGTTAAACTATCAAGGTCAAAACCACACTGACCTTGTACAACTAATCAGAATTCAGATACAAAAAAGTTGCATAGTCGTTGAAAAATACACTAAAATAACATTGCAAACATGATATTACACTGTATATAGTTGTAGCTTATGTGTTGTAAGAATGTCGTTCAGTCACTACACATGCGTGGTATATCCATCTATCTAGGTGACTGTAGGTACTTTGAGATCCATTGATATTTCTGACACTATTCTCCAACCTACTCCTAATTCCTAGCTTATCCTTAAACCTAATTTTAACCCTAGCCGCTAAACCTTAACCCTTAAACGCCATAACCCTATCTTACAGCATAGATTTGCAGAGAAAATACATAATAAGCAAGTAGAATACTGTATCTACTCTCTCCAAGTCCAAAAAGGCAGGCATGATTTGGTTTGGAATGATATTTCATAGCATTCCTTGGATTTGATCGCTTCCTGAAAGTCGACTGTTGAAAGATCTTGACTTTGGGGCTATGATACTCTCACTTCGCCTCTCACACATGTCTACTTTTCACTCGGTGCCTGACTTTTGTGGAACTATTCAGTTAGATCTAGATCATAGTTTATTTAAGGTAAATACTTAGTTCTGTTCATTTTCTATAAGATTACCTGACTGATATTACGCATGGTCGAAAACGTATTCCGAAAACATGGACCTCAACAGTTGTCATTCCATATAGAGCGGAGACGTCAGATGATATCAGAAGAGTACTTAATCAGCTCGACAACAAAGTTTTCTTCAAAAGGTCAGACACACTACGAAACAATCTTATCCATATAAAAGACTAAATCCCTAAAGATTCTCTATCTAATTGTGTCTATAAAATAAAGTGCTTGGAATGTGATGCGATATACATCGGACAAATATCTCGGGAAATCAAAATCAGAAGAAATGAACACCGTAGAGCATCTGTTCGACCACCGATAAATCAAGTTAGTGAACTAGAAAAGCTCGAAAAATCATCAGCCACAGGTGGTGGCGGCCTACGCGCTATAGAACCAGGCCACAAAACTGATTCTGAAAGTGCTGAAATAATCCAGAAAAACTTCTGAAATCACAAAGGACGTCTCATATTGATGAGAAGCACTTCATATCAAATGAAATCCAAATATCTGATGAATAGGAATGATGGACTAAAATAGAATTCGACCTGCTTGCAACACCACTCCGTCTCCCATGAAATGACAAGATCAACACGAATGTGATAAGCAAGTTCACTATGTAAACACACACTGTTTTTACAATTTTACACACCTATAAAATCCAATAATCTACACCTGGCTTTATTATCTTTACCAATTGGTCAACTTGACAACGTAAAAATGACCCCATGCCGAGGAACGATGATTAAGTTGATGTGCATAAGCTGAGATTTTGTAAATTCTGGTTTAATAATAATACTTTGATAAATCTATTAGCGGCAGCATTAAATAGTGAAACGCCAGTAAAAACAATATCGTTTTGTTTTTCATTCATTGGGAAATACAAGAAAACCTTTATTATAATGAATTACCTCAATTACGGGCAGTGAATCTTAGCTACAGTGAAAGCTATCACCACATTTATAGGTCAGTTAAAAAATATCTCTGCCTAGATATAACTATTAGTTGATTCACCGTACACAACTGTGATAGTGGGCTTCTTTAGGAATCACCTCATTTTAAGGTTGCTTAGCCATTTTAGTAATTTCATTCACAAACTGAATCAGCCGCTTAATTTCGTTTCAAATGTCAGATTTTCGCCATGAACCAACATCAATTAGAGAGACCACTGGAAACGAGAGAACACTGTACAGCTGTTTCGTCCTGTTTTGGTAATCCTCACCAGTGTGCATCCACGATGCCGCCTAAGACTAGAAACGAAGCTCGCTGACCATTCGGCCACTTGAGGTGGAATCCACTGACGCCTGAATTCCAACCAGTCACCTCCTGTGTGCTATAAAACTTTCAAAAAGGATAATCAAGGACTGTGAGACAGATTTTTCGTATGCCTCTGGTTAAAAAATATTTTTTTGTAAATCAGCCTAGTTTTCGTTCAGAATAAAATAGCAAACATACTACTTACTCGTCATTATTTTGTCTGAAGTCAGAAACCACACGATCTAAGAGTAAATTTGCTAAACGATGACATTCTTTAGATAGACCAACTTTAACATCTTCACAGTCAAGTCGAATCAGATCAAAGTATTCTGCATTTGGCAGTGTCATAACTTCGTTTGCTAAATCATGCAGCTTAGCTATGTACTATTGAAACAAAAAAATTGATGAAAAATTTAAAACAAAAATAGCCCAATGGGATTACACAGTTTGTAGAAAATAACAAATAAAGTAGCTGGCATAATCCTTATGGACAGGAAAGACTATATAGAGAAAATCAATCACTTACTACAAATATTCAACGAATGCCATTCAGCTACAAAGTTCACTTTTGAAATTGAAAACGAATCTAAAATCCTTTTTCTTGATGTTGAACTTACAAGGAGAGTTGATGGAACTTTAGGAAGATCCATCCATAGAACACCCACATGGAACAGCAAACTGACAAGCTTCTACAGCTGGATACCAATCAGTCGGAAAAGAAACCTAATTAGATCTCTTGCCAGTCGCATCTGACGCATCTGCAGCTCTGATACCCTTGAAGAAGAACTACACTTCCTGAAAGAAATCTTCATACAAAACGGTTATCCATCAAGATTCGTAGACAAAAACATCAAACAGAAAATCCAAAAGCAAGAGACACCACACGTGCCAAAAAAGATACTTTGTATGAACGTTGACTTCAAAGGTGATCTACTCAGTAATGTCCTTAGGAGGAGAATTTCCACTTCTTTAAGAAGAACTTTCTTTGCGGCAACATTGAGATTAGTGTTCTCCAGTCGCCCGCTGATCTGCAGAAGCCCAAAGGACAAGATCCCGCACCTGACCACTTCTATGTGTATATATCAGTTCACCTGTTACTGTGGAGCCAGGCAAATCAGTCGTTCGACGCGCATCCTGTCAAAAAGGGTCAAAGAACACTAACCAGAGTGGCTGCAGAAAGGAAGTAATGTGTGCATAAGGAGTGCAATAATAGAACACGCCGTTAACACTGGTCATTCCACCTCAACAAACGCCTCCTTCAAAACAATCTACAAAGTGAAGAGCAAGCTGTCAAAGACAATATGTTTCCATCTTCTTTGCATTGCAGAGGCCCTAGCCATTCAGTTGGAAGAACCAGAACTATACATAAAAAAGGAAAATTATTCAACCACTTCTATTATCATGATAACAACTCCGTTGATTTGACTTAACTTTTGCTTGTGTGCTTGGTTTGACTTAACTTTTGTTTGCACGCCTATTTTTCTAACTACTTAAAACCCTTGTGTAATTACGTATGTTATTTTGTTTCCATGTACATTCTGAGCACAACTCTTTCATCAAACTATTCACGTTATTACGTAACTCTTCTTTAACAATCATTTATGACAACTCATCACTTCTGTTATCATCCTCTTATATCAACATCCAATTCATCTGAACTTACTAATTGTATTTTTGTTTGACAAATTTAATGTACACACACACGCATACAAAACAACCATATATATATGCGATTGTATAGCTATGAAAATGAATTCGCTGAAAAGAGACTCTTCGCTGAACTACTGGTCTTTTGTCTATTAATGTTCGAATGGGAATTTTTCATGAATAACAGATTTGTTACAGGATTTCATCATGAGCTGACATCAGTTAGAGAACCATTGGAAAACCTGGGAGTACTGGACAGCTGTTTCGTCCTAGTTTGGGACTCTTCAGCAGTACGCACCCACCGGGATTCGAACCCAGGACCTTCTGGTTACAAGGCGAGCTCGTATACCATTAAGCCACTGGGACCCGATCCAATGGTCCATGAATTCTAACTTCTGCCAATTCACGACAGCGCGACCATTTCGCTATGTCTTCTTAGATGAGTTACCTTGTAACCAGAATGTCTTGGGTTCGAATCCCGGTGGGTGCGTACTGCTGAAGAGTCCCAAACTAGGACGAAACAGCTGTCCAGTACTCCCAGGTTTTCCAATGGTTCTCTAACTGATGTCAGCTCATGATGAAATCCTGTAACCAATCAAATCCCTACAAACCAACACTTGAGAATAACAGATTTCTTTCTGCACGATTCCATACGTATTTACAGAAGAATAATCATTAAAATTCTAATACTTCACTTGGGTGTTCAGAAATAGTTACTAGTTCTAACTGTCCTGACAGTCATAATCTCTAAAATTCTATACCATCGTGTTATCCCAGTCATCCTGGTCAATCGCTTTAAATGTCTTAACACATCACTTTGTCATGTGGTAACATATCTATTATAGTTACATTTGTTTAACACCTTTTATGATAACTCTAGAATCTTCCCTGCAGATGAGACCACTGTAATTTGCATCTAAGGTTGATTTCGTCATAAAATCGAAATCACTTAGCAAGTCACTGAGAGCTAGGGAGCACTGGTTTCACAGTAGTCTAGGAAAATTCAGCAGTGTGCACCTATGACTTACCCTCAGGTTGTAAGACATGCAAGTTAACATCCCGCCCACTGGGTTGGAATCTTGATTTTTCTTGTCAATTTCTGAAACAAAATGCTTCTCTCATACATCATAGCCATTAAATTGCACATCATAGTTTCTTCAATACAATTATAGTTTCCCGAGTCTTACCTAAAATTTATCTATTGGGCAATGTGTGTGTTCAATCTCAATCATTCAAATTTCTTTCATAAACTCACCACCAAATAAATACTTCTTGCGAGTAGAATAAGAAATCCAACAAGATTTATTTTAAAACAGTTAACGACATAAAGCCATTTGGTTGATGATGACTAACAGTGGAATCCACCACGATGCGCATTTCGTCTTATTTGGGACTCATCAACTAGCTGGATGTACCTGCATTCCTCAGTGAGTGATGGAGTTCTCACCGAGTCTCGAACCCAGTGCCCATAATCTCAAACGCCATAGCGTTATCTACCAGACAACGTGGGCCACCAGAGACCCCTCTTGTGCAATGGGTCTTATTAACTATTTAATTCAATTTTAGAATTTCGCGTAGATTGATTGGACCGAAGTACTCCGTCTCAAGTTGACAGGAGGTGGCTCTCGTTGCCCAAGTGCTCTAATGGATAACTCTTTGGAGTTTGAAACTATGGGCACTAGGTTGGAGCCTCCGTAGGAAAATCATCACTCACTCATTGAGGAATGCAGATACATCCAGCTAGCTGATGAGTCCCAAAATGGGACGAAATGAGCATCCTGATGGATTCCACTGTTAGTCACCACCCACTAATTTACTTCAAGTTAAATAACCAGACGTCGTCGAAGCATCTGCACAATGAGCCGACATGTCAACCTGAGACCAAGCACTTTGGTCCAATCAATCGACAGGAAAATCTAAAATTGAATTAAATAACTGACAACATAACTAAGAAATGATTGACTAAGAGACATATAACTACCTTATCATTTCGTTGATAATTCACTATGACTGATTTGTATTTTAATAGCTGTAAATGTGGGGTGAGAGCTGTCTTCAAGCTAAAATTGTAAACAACAATTTGCGTGAATGTTTATGTCCCGAATCGGGGTCAGGAAAGAAAACGAGAACAAAGCCTAACCTTCAGGATCTCACCAACCAATTACAGCAGACTTAGCGCGTGCAAATAGGATTCGCAAATATATGGCTTAACTTTCTAAGAAATGGTCACAAGCAGTACAGAATAACCTTCAGCAAGAAAACAACTGTGCGTCGATGGTATAGCGGTTAGGACGCTCACCGACCATGCACATGGTCCAGGGATCAATCCCCGGCAGACGCACTCCTTTGCCTCCCTAAGCCAGAAATAATGCAGGTGAAGAGGAAAGGTTGGGCATGGAGCTAGCAACCCCATCCTGTAAAAATAAACACTGCTACAGAAACTTCAAGCCACTAGCCTGAAGCCCTATGTTCCACTGGGGAACGTGAAGGGAAAAAAAGAAAAAGAAAACAATCAATCAGAGGACGTTGTTTCTCTGCTAACAATAACGCTAATAATAATGTACGTAAAAGTCTATAAATATCTGTTGATTTTCTGAATAAACGATCTGTTTCCTGGCCCTTGTTGTTACATATGTAACGTTATGTATTATATTAGGGTGAAAAGCATGGAAAGATCTAATTGGATGCTGCATGTTATTCATTGTGCTTATATCGTAAATGTACTTCAAAGTTAACACCTTCAGCTTACCTCACAGTAGTGTTCAAACTGTTTACCACTCTGGAGAAATTCTTCCACCTTCCGTGCTTCTCCACCATCAAATATAAATGAATACGGTTCAACTAAATAAACAAACAAACAAAATGGAAGAAACAGTTACAGGGTAAATTCATTGTTTAAAAAAAGGGTGTTTGAAGAATTTACCGATCACTTTGACAAAATATTGATAAGGTGTTTCAAAGTAACGTTTTACAGCTTCTTGTAGTTTACGTCTACATGCTCCATGTACATCGAATGGAACTTTAGCATCAATAAACACTGGGACTGGAGGAGAATTTAACCAACTTTCTACTGTTTGAACCTGTAAAGAAAATGAAAGAGTTAATAAGAAGAAATAATGAGGAAATCTCAGATGATAGATACTATCAGTTTAAAAAAAAAATAAAATATATAAAGCTAAGAGTTAACAACCGTTGGTTTTTAACATCCCGGTAATTGTAGCCAGGCAGCTTACACACTATTATGAAGGTTCAGATCAGCAGTCAGTGACTACTCTACGAACTAGCGCCTTGCTTTCTTCTGACTATCCTTGACCCTTTTCAAAGCTATTTCAGTTAAAATTATTCCTGCATGAGAAAAGCCATTCTCAAATTACCTTCTCCATTGGCGAATAATGCCTAACTGATCAATATTTTACTGGTCGTCCGCTTGATGTTTGCGGTCAATAGATAAGACATTGTGACGCGATGGTTGTTGGGTCAAAGTGTAAAAGACGATCACTTCTGTTGATATGGGACTTCACAGGTATCCCCAGTGTGCTTTTAGAATTGACCCCATCTTCCATTCTTTAGCATTACGGCCACTTACTCAGATAACTATAACTGAGCGTTTTGCTTCTTGAAAGTCAATCGACGGTCTCTTATAAAATTCGTCCTTTGCTTCATTTCCAATGCAGGTTGTTGATGTGATAGTGGAGACTGTCAAAAAGCATCGACTATTATTACTATCTTTCCTTATTTCCATTGACACATTGAGCCATATAACACATAGAGGACTGCGTATTAGGATCAGTGGATCTTTCGTCCTTAGGCTTAGTACTTAGTACTATCCTTACACTAACAATGTCCACGAAAACTACTCAAAGGATCTACCGGCACCCATTGAATGAAGCTAATATATTCACCACTTTGATCAGGTCTATTGCTTGATTTGATAAAAGGTCTACATATTGAAAGATACATACTAAAGTTAGCGGCATGGTTTTAATAGAGTAGAAACGATGTTCTTTAGTCCAAATGACTAAAAATGGGAAATAGTTAAGGGAAGGAGAAGAAACTGCATAGAGAAGAGTACTAACAGTGAAACAAAGGCTAGAAAACATCTAGGAGAACCTTGAATGTTTTTAGGAGCATTTGGGTGGTTCATACTTCCCCATTGTAAGTTACTTTCTCCGCGAAGTATATGAAAGACAGATTCCTTGGTTTTGGACTAATGGAGAGACTGTAGGACAATGGTTTATGACCGATTATATACAGCTCTTTAGGAACAAGAAATTTCATAGTTTCATCAATAGAAAAGACCCTGCAGTCAGCTGATTTTGGATTACTTTTTTTGAGTCTTCTCCTCCAGAGTTGGAAGGCAATGTAGCTGGTTTGGTAGTTGCACGGGGAGAATACCTTTCATTGTGCCAGCGGTGAGACTTTACCCAGAGCCTTTCACCAAAATATAAGCAGCTTATACTGTGGTGGCAATTACGTTCAGCTTAACAGCAATATTATGGACGTTGTTTCAGGCATAGTGGAAGTTTCCTTTGAGCCGTAATGGCTCACTGAGGAGATGTGATATGTTAGCCTGGCTACCATGTCATAGTAATGACTATTGAGCAGTACTTATTCTTGTAGGCTATAAAAAATTGCATTGAATCTAGATTCAAAACCAGCTGAGATGGTAAATGACTACAGTCAACAGTGCAGCGCAGAGATCACAAGTGATCAGACTTACAGACGATTTGGTCCCGAAATATACTTTGTATTTTGGACGATCGCTCTGGTGTTTTACTTTGCCTTTGGTCTACACGGAACAAACACTATAGAATTTGTGGGCATTAGATCTTGCGTTAGTATACATCGCACTATCCATGAACTTCAACAACCTCGGCCTCTAAACTATTTTCGCTTCTAACTGATCATTTCAATGGAATGTTTTGACTTATTAAACAAAAGAAATGGTGTTTAGACCATTTGCCGCCATGATACTTAGATGCAAAATTACTTACATTTTGGAGGGATTCACAAATCTGTCCGGTAATGAAAAAGATCAATTCTTCAAGATCTTCGAAGCTAGGATAGAAAAGAACCTTCTGGTCCTCATAAGTTAGATACATTTTCAAGACTGGAAGTCGCTCCTTATGGTCTTCTTCAAATGTATCAACCCATTCTAATAAGTTCCTTTGTAAAAATTGTTTGAGCTAATTCAACATATTTCTTGACACCAATATCGCATACCTGAATAGATAGTAAAGTAGATACGCTTCTGTAAAATGATTCAAGAGCGTAAGGTTTCATATTCGGTATTGAATTTTTATCCACAAACAACTGAATAACTTTTGGATACCATTTCTGCATCAAATACTCGCACTTAGATTCAACTTCTTGTTTGACTCTTATTCTTAAATCTCCGAAATCAATTGCGCCCAACTCCCTGATAAAGCATTTGTTAATTTTACGAGTTTTACTGACCTGTATTTAGGAATACTAGTCAGTTCTGTGTTATGCAGGTACTGATAACAAAGTCCCAAGATCTTCTGCATATGAGGATACGTTATCATTAGCTGAGGGACTAGCTCCTTTTTATGCATTATATAGTCTGAATGCCATGACTCTGAAAAGTTTGGAATTCTGTGAAATGTGCAAATCAGTATAAATAAACAAACTTCGGTCCTTCAGGTGGCAGTGATAAGTCGTCATCTGAAAGCTGAGGTAAGTTTGGCTTTTTTAATGTCTGTCTGGCCAAAGATTTTTTCAAGCTTTCTAGGAAGTTTTCTCTAACTTCCAGCAAAACACCATTTAGTTCTTCTTCCCTTCCCGTTTTGAGACGCTTTGGAATTTTGGCCAGAATATTTTGAAGCCAACTGTCTTGGATTGGAGGTATTACGCTGCTTTCAACATAAGACTTCATAATTTTAAAGTTTTTCTACAATAAAAGATTAGATAAGTACTCAGCTTGACATACAGCCAGCCTCATTTCTTCACTAACCATCTAAAATGTAGATGTGATTAAAGTTTAATGAATTCTTACGAAAGTTGGCAGAAACGGTGGTTGATTTGGCACAGGGAGGGAGGCTAATTCTATCTGTGTCTTTCTGTAGGCTGTATGCGCTCTCCTGATACTATAGGAAATATTAGAAACCTTGAAAAAAATTACTTAAGCTTGTTTAACTGACGTTTCTTCTCCTTCTCTAATGAGTACTGAATGAACTTTTGAAGTTTAGGATCTTTCTCTTTTTCAGCTATTTCCAGTTTAATTTTCTCAACTTGCGGTAGTGGCATAAGTTTGCGCTTGATAGGAGAGTTGAAATCTTTCATTTTAAAAGTTGAAATCTCCTGCTGATTCTCAGATCAAGATTTGATTTTGAAACTGGTATATCTACGACTTCAGAAGTATTCAAAATATGTTAGTTAACAAGATGACCTCATGCTTCAAAAATCTTATAAATGTGCGTTTTTCAACTATAGTTACTTTTCAGCATTGGTGGTTTAAAACAAAATTCTTTAAGAGTGAGAATTCATTTGCCACATATTTTTGGAAGGCCAAAGACCAAAATACCTCTGTAATCTCTTCATATTATGGTTAACAAATACGACTATTACCTCTATTCCATGGATGAGAGAGTTGATAGAAGCAGCCTGGTCACCAGGTCGGGTTGGGCTAGGCTAAAGAACCAGCAGCTCGTGTGACTGAAGATCAGGTCTGGCAGGATCGATACAATAATCAGCATTATTTCTAGTTGAAGCAGGTGGGAAACTACCTTAAAGTGATTCAAGTGTCCTAACTAGCTGGTTTCCTAGATGGGTTGGCACAGAGAAAAATTAAATGTAGAGGCTGTTTGTGTGTATGTATGGAAAGCCTTTGAAGAGATAGGTAGGCATGGTATGAGCTAGCTGACGGAGGTCTGATCCATAAAGAAGACAGACTCACGTCACTCACATTTAAATCTAATTGTATTTCTGACTGCGTCCATCATCTACAGCAGGATAAATTTTTCTGGGATTTTCAATGGCAATCATTATTAGTAAGTCATTTGTGCTTCGAGTAGTACACTAGGCAATTACGAATGTAACGCACGATACTGTCGCTTCGTCTTGCCTCACAAATGCAGACAAATGTTGCGCACTTTTTCACCCATATATTTTATTTGTTATCGCATGCACATTTTAAATGGAGAGTTGTCGTAGGGAGATCAGTTTGATGATCAACTTTTCCACACCAGAGCCTGATCCTCACCCAATATTATTTCAGTATTTGTATTCGCATTTCAAAACATCGTCCTTACTAAAAGTATCGCCATTGACACTTGGGGAACAAGCGTAATGCAGTCCCAGTCAATGACATAATACAGATACTCTGAATTCTGGGACTATATGCTCTGAAACCACCATTCTGTTTGAAATACAACAACAACTTATAACCTATAAAAAATTTGTTGAATAGTCGAATTCACCGAAAGACGTCAAATAATAGTTGGTTGAAACAGCTATTGGCTATATTCATTAGACCAATAAACAAAGGTAAACATGATTTGGCTTAATGCAAAGTTGGCGGAAAGAGCAAAGGCGCTGCTCCAAACCAAGAAACCGACACCTTTTCACGGTGGATTAGTCTCTATCACGAAAAAGTACTCTTACTCGCAGAGAAATTCTCACTACTTGAGTTAAAATGTTGACCGGAAGTCACCCTAATCTTGCTATCAAACCAACTGGTGATCACACACAATGTGACTCATTGCACAGATTGTCGTGTAATTAGGGAGGCTTATTCACTGCAAGACAGCCGAATAAACATGCATCTTACGAGGCGGCATCCAGACAAGAACTCCACCATGAGGTAGGTGCCAAATTCCGGATTAATTTTGACTCATTAATCTTTCTACATAACATCTTAGTATGTTCGTCCAAATCTTCCTCTCATTCTAGCAAGAGATTGTGAGCTGAAACGAATTCCCTCCCCAGCCTTATAAAATTTTGATAAAAATTTCTCTGTTGCAAATCACGCCGTCAACTTTAAGCCACTAGCCTGTATCCACGAGTGGTCTGTTTTCACGTACATAAAATCCTTGGTGAATTTAGCTGCCCTCATATACTCTGTTGATCAAAGGTATCTTGAAGTTTTGCATGAATCAAACTTCCTGTTGCGCACAACGCGTAGCATGTTCCCTGCTCTTTCGTCACAGCCCTGCCTCCCACGCAGCAACAGCGACCACGCTCGTTTTTCTACATGTAGGCTTTTGTGTCTTTTCCTCAAGTAAACATGCTTTGGAGGTTGATGTCCGCGAATTGTACGATATACTGACGCAAGATCTCATACCAACAACTTCTACAGTATTCGCTCCTTTTGTACCAAAGACAAAGCAAAAGACCAGATGTAGCTGTCCAAAGTACGTAATATATTTCGGGACCCAATCGCGGGTTGAAGTGAATGCTTAGCTAGCTAGTAATCGTGCACGCACGTGACACGACGGAGTACCGAATGGCGGGGATGCTTGACTGGAAACCTTCAGCTAAACAAGTCGACTTAAACAGTGAGGGTCGGCATCCGATGTTGAGTGATGAATGCTGTGGTCAATAATTTTGGGGAATTATTCACCGCTACAGCTCACTCCCCCTACTGCGGTTGTGAGTTCCCTAAGACAGGACCAGCTGGAAGTAAAAAAATCTCGATGGTTCCCTTAAGGATGAAAATAACTCTTCCAAGCGGCTTGGTGGAGTGCCTACTGGTCTGTCTGCCTATGCTAAAAGGGTGTCTGTACATAGCTTCCTCGATGCTGTTCGTTTGATCTCGTGCTTCGTTTGTTTCCTGTCCAGTGCTCGTCGCACCTGGAAAAGAAAACAAGAATGCTAAGAACCTTGTTGAGGAAAATGTACGAAATGACGTGCATCTACGTTACAGTAAAATAATGTAAATTTTATAACATCGAAAAAAATATACATCTAATTTATTTTTTTGTTTTAAGTGCATGTATAATATACGGTTATAGGAAAAAAATCTTTTACTTGTGTTTAGTGATGCTACATAAAAAAATTGATATGTCTGAAGAGAAATAATGATTAATACCGCAAACGAATGAGTTGGGTGAATCGCACCACTCAGTTATGTCATATAGGTGTGAAGGTATTCTGGCAATCTAACGTGACGTCCAGAGCGCTTTCTCTTAGAGGGTTCGACCGAATGTTCGATGGCTTTCGCCGTGCTAGGTAGTTCTTCGAGGGCTAAAGGATCTTCAGTTAGTTGTGGATTATCGGGCACGTTTAGCTCTAAGCTAGTAGGATTACCGCTTCATATCTGACAATAGTTATAATCGATTTCACTAACATCATTCAGTGACTGACGGTTTGAAAGTGTAATGAGACTATTTGCTTTGGCATCTAGTGGATAACAGTATATGTTGAAGATGACGTGGAATTTCACTCCAGTAAGTGCAGTTACTCTGTAGACTAATTGTATTTAAAAGTACAACCATGCCTACTGAGATTAAAAGATCACCGATTGATTAGGGCCTTCTTCCACAGCAAAACCTGCTAGGTGACCAAAGTATGGAATACCTGAACCACAACAAGATCTTGCACACAGACATACTCGGATTTATGGAGGAAAGCTCTTGCGTTACCAATTTGCTGACAGCCTAGCACGACTGGACAGCATGCTAAGACCGGAATATTTCCATCCACTCCTTGATTCTAGACCTTACCATAGTGTTAGTGTACCAGCTTCAAGGACTCAGAAGGCAAACTGACAATTTGGGGATAGTCTATCGTTCCACTGACAATAAGCCAGCATGAAAAGACGATTACAGCCGAAGTAGTTACAGTGCCAAAGGTTGCAGCTTCAAAACTTAATATCTATTTGTTGGACATCAGGCAGTGGTCCTGTTGCGTGTTCTATTTGACTAAATTAGCGGACACGTATTTTCTAGTACTTCTTCACGTTTGTCAGTGTGCGCGGACGTTGTGGCTACTCGACGCCCACAACGTAAAACCAGAAGGCACTTGTGAAGAGTGTAATCGTGTATGATAGCAGTAGTCAAATTTAAAAATTGTCTCAAGGTAACGTTCAACAGTAAATTGACAAATGTTTACGAAGTACACATAAAATCGGTCTGTGTAAACATATAATATAAGTATGCAAATTAGATTAAAATGCGTGTGTTTATAGTTGGTATAGGGGTACTACATAATTCCCCCACCAGAACACTGAAATATAAAAAATACATTTAAGTGTTCGACAGAAACATGCATCAGCGTAATATGCAGCAGAGATAGTACATAGAAAGAGATTTATTAAGCTGAAAAATGAGCAGTTTAATGCGGTTAATAAGGTCGATAATAATGCGATGATAAAAGAAAAATAGGGTTGATAATCATGGTAGAATATATGAGGAATGATAAAATCGGCCGGGAAATCTGTAATCTGTAGACGGAAAGGATACGTGAATATTAAGCACTATATGATTAAATGTAATAATACAGGGAATGTCGATGTTAAAATAGTACTGACGTGATTTACGTATGAAAATATTAACCAGTTAAATGAGTAGTGAAATGACAATTACGAATAAAGATAATAAAAATGCAAATTCGTAATAAGTTATATATTGATGATATGTACATAACGTTTAGGCCAGTGAACTCTCCTACCGGAGCGTGTTGTTTTCATAGGTTTCTCTGGCGACGTTGAAGCTTGCGTGGATATAGGTTTTGGAACGTCGTTCAGCTGGTCTTTATCGTTGGCTTCGAAATCGTCGATGAACGCTGGTTTGACTCTGTCGACACTGATGGCTTCTGCTTTATTCAGTCGTTCTGTCGTGATAACCTTATCATTTCTATTGAGAACTCTGAATGGGCCATCGTAAGCGGGTTGAAGTGGTCGTTGTACACCCTCTCTCCTGACAAAGACGTGAGTGCAATCTGTCAGTTGTTGCGGGATGTATGACGTTCGTTCCTGCTGGCGTGGAAGTGATATCTTAAGTTCGTTCATGTGTTGTTTTAGCTGGTGCACATAACTAGTCATATCTTGTGGAACTTGGTTACCTGGGGTGAAAAATTCTCCTGGTAATCGTAATGTTGTTCCATAGACTAGTTCGGAAACGCAGCAGCCAATATCTTTCTTTAGAGTAGCTCGTATACCAAGTAGTACCAGCGGAAGTTTGGTTGACCAGTCGTTTTGAGTCAAAGAAGCAGCGAGCGCAGCTTTGAGTTGTCGATGAAGTCGTTCAACCATACCGCTGGAACTAGGATGGTAGGCGGTCGTTCGTATTCGTTTAATGCCCAGTAAT